AGCATTTCCGCTGTTTCCAGTCCTTCGTCTCTCCCGGGAGTGTTGCTGTGAAACCCTGTGTGTGCCGCATGCCCCTTCTCAGGGGAGATGCCGGTGGGACAGAGTCACAGAAGCGCTGACACTGAGACGGAGATCTGCAGTTGGAAGTGTGCTGGGCCTCACTCACCCAGTGGTGCGCGGGAGTGGGATTAATAGTGCACAACCCCAGCGTGCACTAGCGTTACCAAACTGTTGATCTCTGCCTGGGAGGGGAGATGGTGTTTCTTAATTTTAATTTGCATTTTATGAGTGAGTGGGAATACTTTTCATAGGTTTAAGATCCATTTCTAACACTTTAATATTTCATTCCTAACACTTTTTAAAAACGGAGCTCTGCCAGTCTCTCCTAGTCTTCATACACTTCCATCGTCCTGTGTCTCGGGGTCGTAAAGTCAGCACGCCACCACTGTCACCTTGTCACCAGGGATGGGGGCGGGGTGGGGAGGCTCCTTCTCATCACCCCGGAGTGCTCCGCTGTGCCACCGTGCCCCAGCTCGTGCTCCAGCTCGGCCCCGGACCGGTGCTGGGCGTGCGGGCCGTGTGCGTGCGGGCCTGTGAAGGGGGGGCTGCCGTCCTGGTGCGGGCGGCGCGTTGGCTGTCCCGCCACAGGGGGCACAGCACCGCCTTTACTGGTTTCCCAGCGGGTGCGCCTAGCCGCCTCCCGCCGGCAGAGCAGGAGGGTGGGAGTTGTGCCCCACGCTCGCGAGCTCGCCAGCACTGGGCACCCTCTGTGCCCTCGGTTCCGCTGCCGTGAACGGCGGGCACACTGGGGTTCAGTTTCCACTTTCCAGCTGCCTCCTGAAGTTGAGCGCCTTGCTGGCCATTTGTGAAATAATGCATTGTTCAAGTCTTTCATTCATGTTTCTCTTAGTTCTGCTTTTTTTTTCCTTACTGATTTTTAAGGTCCTTTATCCTCAGAAAATTCCAGCAAGAGTCTAAGAATTTAGTCTGTTTACTGCTCCTCTGGCTTGTCTCAGCTTCCACCATGTCTGTGTCCCCCACCCCCCGTCTCCGCTTCACCCTGTCTCAGGTCCCGCCAGCTGCACGGCCGGGCGCGTGCTCTCTCTCCAGTTCGGGGGTTTCACGCAGCGCTCTTGTCGGGGCTGCGACTCTGCCGCGTCCCTCGGCACCGAGTCTGCTTACCGCGGCCCTGGGCCCCGGCCCAGTGAGCCTGGCGTTGCTGACCGTCCTGTCCTGTTCGTGCTGTCCCCTGCTTTTCATTTGCGTTTGTTTTTAAGTCGATTTATTTATGTGAGCAGTTTCTTACCTTACAAATTTGCTTGAAAAATATAGAGCAAAATATTTTCTGGTCTCCAAAGCTTTTTCTGTGTGAAGACTTGATTTTGGGATAGTTCTAGATGTTTCTTCATTCTTGGTTCCTAGCGGTGGCAGTCCAAACACAGGCACACTCTTGCTACTGTAGCTTGCCGTGCGTAGTGCCCACCCGTGTTTTGTGTGCATGATACACGGGGTTATTACACCCTCGGTGTGTAATCCTTACACACGGCACAGTAAAGGCATTCCCCAGAGCGGCCCTTCCGGACCCCGCCTTCTTCCTGCTTTGTGAGCTTGGTGAGCGGCCACGAGGGGGTAACCTGACGGTGTCCTCCAGCACCTGCTTCTCTCCTCGGGCCTGTCCTGGCCCCTCTGTCCCCTAAATAAAGGGACTGAATAGGGAGCCCCGTCCAGGACATCTCTCTTAGAAAGCCTCCCGCTTTCCTCTGGAGAAGGACCCCCCCAGCTTCACCGGTCTCACCCGTGGGCCCCGGGGTGCGCGGGACTGCCCCCCCGTGTCCGGGAGGCTTCCCCTGGGTTGGAGGGCTGCTGGGGAGCTCTGGAGACCCAGGGAGGGGGGAGCCATCCAAGGTGACCGAGTCATGTCTGGCCTGTGGGTGGCTGAGAAGCATGGATTCGGTCTCGGGTGGTGGAGTGTGATCGGAGAGAGGCAGAGACCGGTTTTTATTTGGTGGGTGGGAGTCTGCTGGGATGACTCTCATGCTCTGAGAGGTGGACCGTCAGCACCAGGAGAGTCTCAGGAAGGTGACGCCCACAGGGAAGAGCCTGCGGTGGCCCTGAGAGGGGCGGGGGGGTCGGGGTGCGGGTGGGCAGGGAGCACTTACATGCGAGGTGCTGTTCTCAGCACCTCCCGGGGCCCCTGCTGCAACCTGCCACCACGCTGGGATGGGGCATCTCCGTTAGTAGCAGTTCCTGTTCACACATGCGCAAATGGGGGCACAGGGAGGGCTACGTCCGCTCGCCCGGCTTGTCAGGGCCGCGGCCCCAGGGACGTCTCCCGAACACCGTGCTGGGCCCCGTGCTGTGTTCTGTCCACGTCTGGTTACATTCAGTCTGGTAACCGCCCTGCGGGGTGGCTTTCGTCATCCCTCTTTCTCAGCAGAGAAACGAAGACGGTCCGCCCACGTCTCCCAGCCAGTCAGTGGGGCTCAGACAGGCACCCGTGCTGCTTAAAAAAGCTGAACACAAGGTTCTTCAACATTTGTCTGGTCAGTGTTTCACTCCCTGTAAATAATGGCAGAGTGCGGAAATGACAACATTTATCGTTAGTTTCAGGAACTCACCGTCACGTCTTTAAACGTAACAGCTTTGCCTACGGCTTTCTGTCCGGTGGTGCCCAGTGCCCGGGACACTGTCCGGTAGCCCCTCCTTCCTCCGGCTGGTGGAGGGGGGGGCCGGGGCGCCGTCGGCCGAGCTCCGGGATGGTGTGGGCTCTGCGTCTTGCACAGCTGGTCGCGGGGGCGGTGGGAAACAAGACCTAAAATAGCACAGGACGTGAAGAAGCGCATTGTTCTCTTCTGCAAGTGTCCCATTGCTTAACTCCTGAAATAATCTCCAAGTTATGCAGAATGAAGTACAGTATCTTTCTGAAACTATTAGGCTGTTAAAAATGTTCAAATATTAACACTCACCCCAGAGTGAATAAAAAGTAAAAAGAAGTGCTTGTTGAGATTTTGTACCGATGAGACGTCCTCGAGCACCGACCCAGCCGTTGGCCGCCCCCCGGCCCTCCAAAGCTCCCAGCAGCCCCACGCGCACGGCCCCCTTTGTCTCACGGCGCATGCCAGTGTCTGGAGTTTCTCGTTGGCCTGTCTCCCCAGGCAAGGGGAGCTCCGTGTGGGCAGGAGCCCTGGCCTGTTGCGGTCCTCGAGCGGACGGACACCCAGTGAGCTCTTGCTGGGTGGAGGGACGGGTGTGTTCAGCACTGGGTGTCGGCTCTTTGCCGTGCTCTCGGGGGCCTCCGAGGGCGGCTCCCACCTCCCACCCTCCCTCTGGAGGGCCCCCACTCCTCCAGTCTTCTACTTTCCGTCTCTCAGTCTCCCCTCACCTCACACTCTCTTTGCCTCTTTCTGCAGCCCAGCCTGGCCCCCCGCACGTGGTTACCCCAGTTACCCTGGTTAGGGGAAAGAGGGAGCAGCCCGGTGGTTTGTGACCCAGTTCCAGTTATCCCTTCCGTGATTAGCTCTGTAGGTGGTTTATGGGAATCACAGAAGAGGCCATCTATAAAACACTGTTTTTATATTTTCTGAGGCAGAAACATGGTCGCCTTATCATTAAACTGGGAGTTCCTAAAGTGAGTCTTCCTAATAGAAATTAAAGCTGTCAGATGGGCAGAAATCGGAAGTTAAGTAACAAATTGTATTGGTGCATCCCTGGGGAAGTTCATTTTCCTGACGCTGCTGGTAGGAATGTAAAACGGCACAGCCCCTGGGTGGGGCGGGGGGGGGGACACACCCAACAACAGCTAGCAAAGTTACATGTGCGTTTACGCTGTCAGGGCGTCCTGGGAATCCATCCCCCAAACGCGTGGGTAAACGCAAAGACCTGTGCGAAGGCCATAACACTGCTGCGCCATTTGCTGCATCAAAGGCTCTTGACAGCGTGGTGGTGCCCGTGGTGCCCGTGGTGCCCGGAAGCAGGGATTAGCAGGGAACGGCTGCGTAGGTGCGGTGCCCCCCCAGTGTGGGGGCCCCAGCGCAGCCACGAGAGGGCAGGAGGGACCGGCACCCGCTGCTGAGGGGCCAGGACGTGCCCGTGGTCCAGAGGGAGGAGACAGAGGAGGCGGGAGTGTCTGCGGAGTGCTCCCGCTTTGAAAGGGGGCTAGGAAAATGTCCTTGCATTAGCTGACACCTAAAAAGTCTGTATCCTCTTTGCCACCTGTCAGTACTTGAGGAGAGCTTTCTTCTCCTGTGTCTTTGCCAGCACTGAATTGTCATCTTTTAACACTTTGCTGTTCTGTTAGGTGAAACATGACTTATTTTCATTTGTGTCCCTGATGACTAGGGTGGGTAGGCGTCTTCTTACTTGTATATTAGCCACTTTGTATTTTCTCTCAAATGTAAACATACAGCCTTTTTTCTAGAAGAAGAATATCCTCTGTTGATGTATAAGAACGTTTTGTGTGCCGTGGTTGTAGTTGTGGTTTGCCGATTATTACGAGGGTCACGACCTCATTTCCAGTTACGTTAGTTGCTCAGGCCCCGCACGCAGGAGGTGGTTGCTGTCCTCGTGGGACATTCAAAGGTTCCGCACACGGACCTCGACGTGTGGTCTGTGGGAAACGCCCGCGGTGTCCTTGGGGTAACCGGGACCAGACTTTCCTGGACCTGCGTCAGTGCTCGGTGGCGGCTTGCGAGCGTGTCGGAGCAGTCCCCGCTGTGCTCTGTCCGCAACAAACTGTTCCCGTGGCGCACTGCTGCGTCTGAGCGTCAGTGGTTCGCGAGTGTCCGCGTGGGTTGTTTCTGGTGGACGCACACCCTGAATTCGATTGCCTTTCTGGTTTCAGATGGTTCTTGGTCTTTGGTGTTCTGTTCAGTCAAGTATCTGAATCAAACAGTTGTTTCTCATTAAAACATGCGCAGTGAAAGTGGGGTTTAAAGGCGACTTTACAGCTGTCAGTGTTGGTCCTTGGTTCGTGGGTGTGTTGAATGCGCTGCCTCCTCTAGGTCATCACCCCGTGCAGGAAGCTCATCCTGTGTGCAGATAACAGGAAGGAGATGGAAGACTGGATCGCAGCCCTGAAGACTGTCCAGAGTCGGGAGCATTTTGAGGTAGGGAGGGGGGTCTTCTCGCTGCCCTTCCCTTCACACTCTGCCCTCTGGGTGTCTCTCGTGGGTGGGCCGGGCGGCTCCGGAACTCGCTTTCTCAGCACGCTCCTTGTAAACTAACGTTGCCCCATCCTGCCGTGACCCTGCCTTTTGTGCCCCTACGTCCTCTCCTCCCCCGGACCCGTGACCGAACCCTGCTCAAGTCACCACGCTTAAGGATGTCGGAGGTTCCCCTTACCTTTGCCGTCTGTCTGTCCTCCCTGCAGCCGACCCAGTACAGCATGGACCACTTCTCAGGGACGCACAACTGGTACGCCTGCTCCCACGCGAGGCCGACCTACTGCAACGTGTGTCGCGAGGCTCTGTCTGGGGTCACGTCCCACGGACTGTCCTGTGAAGGTGCAAACCGTGTGTTGTTCTGCGGGGCAGGGCGTCCTGACCCTGGAGGTTCAAACGTAGTCACCTCAGATTGGTCAGGGGTAGGGTGATTTCCCCGTGACTATTTATTGTGCCTGCGGAGGAGTCTTTGATAAACTGATTCCCGTGGTCATGGAGGCGAGGAGAGAGGGGAAGTGGTAATAAGGAGACACAGGGGGGAGGACATGTAGAAGACTCGGAGGGAGGAGAGCTGGAACCGTGGGGCAGCCCGGTGTGGCTGTGCCCCTGCGGGCGACGTGGGCTGTGGACAAGTGCGCTGACCTCCAGAGTGGGGGACGGTGGCCCTTGGGCCAGATCCCACCTGTTGCCCATGTTTATGCGGCCTGTGTAGTTAAGAATGATTTTACACTTTTACACGGTAAAAAATCAAGATGACGACTATTTTGTGACACAGAAAATCATGTGAAATGGACATTTTGGTGTCCATACGTGAAGCGTGGTCCCTGGTGACCCTCGGGCTGCCGGGCAGACCGAGCAGTTGGGATGGAGACAGAGCGTGGCCCGTGAGGCCTGAGCTGGTCACTCTCTGGCCCTTCCCCGAAAGTCTGCTGGCCCTGGCTGTTCTGGGTGCCCGGGGTCACCGAGATGGGCCTCCACGTGTGTCCCAGTGGTTAGTTCCAACATGGGGAGTGCCGTGTGCCGTCCCAGCGGTCCCAGAGGCCGGGGGAGTTCCACCGGCTGTCCCCCCGAGCATGGGAGGCAGCTGCCATGAGCGAGGCTTGGAGGTGCGTGTGTTCGTTCCCCCACAGTGTGCAAGTTCAAGGCCCACAAACGGTGCGCTGTGCGCGCAACCAATAACTGCAAGTGGACCACGCTGGCCTCCATCGGGAAGGACATCATCGAGGACGAGGATGGGGTACGCGTGGGGCACCGGCCGACCCGGCGCGGTCCCCCTCCCCAAGACTTGGGCCGGCCCCCTTCCTTAGTTCTCTTCCTCGTGGTCCTGCGTTGTTCCTGCTGGGCGTCTGGGGACTCTGTGTGGGCCTCTGTGCCTCCGTGTCAGTCCCTGTGTGTCATGCTGTGCCAGGGCAGGTGCCGTGGGGGGGAGGGCGTGCTGTCCTCCCGCTGCCTGTGTTGAGAAGAGTGCCTTGGTTGGGTTCGTTGGGGAGCGTCTCTGGCCAGGGTCTTGGGGTGCCCGCGTGTGGGGTGCTGGGACGTGTGCCCAGAGTGTGTCTGTCTCCGCTCGGCCTGCAGATCGCCATGCCTCACCAGTGGCTGGAAGGAAACCTGCCTGTGAGTGCCAAGTGCACGGTGTGTGACAAGACCTGCGGCAGCGTGCTGCGCCTGCAGGACTGGCGCTGCCTGTGGTGCAAGGCCATGGTGAGTGAGCTCGGCCCACCCCGGCTCCCGTCAGGGCCCCGATGGGACCAGCAGGCCAGCCCATGCCTCCTGAGCTGCAGGCCACGTGCGAAGCAGGCTGTGACCCCTCGTGATGCGTGGATTCTTGTCCCAGGTGCACACAGCTTGTAAGGAATCCTTAGTGACCAAGTGCCCGCTGGGCCTGTGCAAAGTGTCGGTCATCCCCCCCACGGCTCTCAACAGCATCGATTCCGATGGTGGGTACCACACCCTCGCCCTTCCTCCACGAGTTCTCCTCGCCCTCTCCGGGGAGGCTGTGTTGTGATTTTGAGATGTGGTTGGGGGGAGGGCAGCCCCAGCGTCCGGGGAGAGCACTCCTGTGCAAAGGTGGTGAATGGTGTCCCACTGGCCACTGGGAAGGCTTAGGACTTGAGGCCAGCACGTCCGTTGGAGGTGTGAGTGAGTAGAAACCGGCCGAAGACTCCTGTGCGTGTCTGATGGGAGCTGTCGTGGTGGTGTCTCCGTCAGCTGGTCTCCGCCTAGTGGCAGACACTGATTCGCACGCTGTCCACGGCTGCTGTCCCTTGTCCGGAGGGTACGGGGCGGCTGCGTTAACAAGTGTGGGTGGAGAGGCGGGAAACCGGGGCGCGTGTCTCAGAGGAAACCGGCTCTTCAGGTTACGCGCGAGAGGAGAGGTCGGAGCCTTGAGATGCCCAGTCCTTCCGAGCGTTCGAGTCCCTGCACCCTCGATGGCAGACTGGCGGGCCCTCACTTCCTTCTTCGTGGGGGGGCGGGGGGCGGCGTGGAAGTGCGCGTGTTACTGGCTTCCTGGGAGTTCCAGGGCCTCAGAATGATTGCTCCCCGCGTGACTAGGAGTGCCCTTGCGTCTCTCATGGCTTCCGGTGTTCTTCCGCCCTTTCCCCTCCTTGCGTGCAGGCTTCTGGAAGGCCACGTGTCCTCCGTCCTGCACCAGCCCCTTGTTGGTCTTCGTCAACTCAAAAAGTGGGGACAACCAGGGCGTGAAGTTCCTCAGAAGGTTCAAACAGCTGCTGAACCCTGCCCAGGTCTTCGACCTCATGAACGGGGGACCGCACCTCGGGTAAGCTTGTAGAATGCATCTTCCCTGGAGTTTAAAAAAAAATCTTGAAGATAATACATGTTTATTTTTAAAAGATTTAAGCATATATTTTTAAAGAAAGATTTATTTAACTTTAGAGAGCAGGTAAGGAGGGGAGCAAGAGAAGGGAGACAGGCATCAGTATGTCAGAGACGCATCAATTGGTTGCCTCTTGCACGCTCCCAGCTGGGGACCTGGCCCATAACCCAGGCATGTGCCCTGACTGGGAATCGAACTGGCAAACCTTTTGGTTTGTGGGATGATGCCCAGTCCACTGAGCCACGCCAATCAGGGCTCAAACATACATTTTAAAATGGGAAATAAAGACTGTGTTTCTTGAACCACACACCTCCTCAAATTCCACTGGCAGAGGTGCTCGCTCGTAATAGTTAGTTGAGTTGGTTGTCCTTCCAGTCTTCAGTGTGAGTCTCAGCTGTGCACGCACTTCTGACCTGAACGTGGCCTGACCTGTTGCCTGGCGTGGCGCACACGCTGTTTAGGTGTGTCAGTGGACAGTGGCATGGGCGTTTTTGAGGTCGGGGTCACAGGTCTGCCTCACTGCTTCTCTGGCTGCTCAGTATTGGGGAAGCTTTCCTCCAGGGAGGCCAGACGAGAGGTTTGTTATGTTGGATGCTCACTTTGCAGGCGCAGTGACACACGCAGACGTCCGTCACTTACAGGGAGACGTGCGGCTTCTGTGGGGACTTGGGGAAGGAGCTTATGAATCACACTGGGGGTCTCTGAGTTTCTCCCTGAGCTGGCGTTTGAAGGGAGCTGGTTATGTCATGGCAGGGAGGGGGGTTGGAGCCCGCCAGGCAGGAGGTGCTGTGCGTGCAGAGGGGAGAAGACTGGGGGCATCCGGGGGAGCGGAAGCTGCTCACCAGGGAGGGTCGTAGGCACTGGCCGAGAGCCTTGAACCTTTGTTGGAAACAAGGGGCAACTTCTTAAAGCGAGACACTTGACGAGACCTGTTTTGGGAAGACCACGCTGTGGCAGGAATTGGAGGTGTCTGTAGGGGATGTGAGGTTGGGAGGGGGCTCTGGTAGGGCTTGTGAGAGAAGCGACTGTGGCTGGGACAGTGGCGTCTGGCCCAGTGACGGTTTGATGGTGGCTCTGCTGTTTTCCAAGGATGGGAACCTAGGACAAGGAGGTGCCTACCCATGCGACACTGTAGTGGCCCGTTGGGTAGGCAAGTGCAAGGTATTGTCCTTCAGGAAAGCCTGGAGGTCTTGGTTTAGGGTCATTCAGGTCATTTGTGGTCATCAGCATTTGCGTCATCTCTGAAGCCAAAACGTAGATGAGGCCACTCAGGACGTGGGTGAGGAGTGAGCAGAGGAGGCTGTGGGTGTCCCGAAGGGGACGCTGCGTGCAAGGGGTGGGGTGACCACGAGGAGCACAGGAGGGGGATGGAGATAGAATTAGGAGGGGAGAGGGATGGGCCATACCATCTGGGAGGGCGCAGGGACCCAGAGGGAAGGTGAAGTGTGGACAGAATCCTGCAGCCTGGGCTCCTGCGCCCCGTGTGCGGGGGCTGGCTGGGCGTGGGGCCAGCCGAGTGGGGAGTGGGCTCAGGGGCCCTGGTGGGAGCCCTCTGCTCTCAGGTGCCCAGTGACCCCTGCAGGCCGAGCACCTGGGAGAGGCCTCTTCACAGGAGGGGGTGCAGGGTCTGCATGGGGAGCACAGATGGGGCCCCCCCAGCCCAGGGCCTACTGGCTGTCATTTGTCAGTCAGAATGCACCTCATTTCATTGACATTCTCTTCCTCCGCAGCTTACGCTTGTTCCAGAAGTTCGACACATTCCGGATCCTGGTGTGTGGTGGGGACGGCAGTGTGGGCTGGGTCCTCTCTGAGATTGACAGCCTCAACCTCCACAAACAGGTACCTGACCGCGGGGGAGCCCAGACCCTCGGGCACAGCGCCGCAGTTAGAGAGCGGCTGGGCGGTCGCGGGGCGTGGTCTGTGAGCCCGCGGAGCGCCGTTCCCAGGTGGGGGCCCACGGAGGTCTGGCAGCAGGGAGCAGGTGGCGTGGTAGCATCCTGGGGCTGTTACACAGGAATAGGGACCTCACAGTTAGAAGGACACCGAGGCACACAAAGGACCTTCCTCTGCAGGACGAATCCGGATTGGGAGCAGGTCTGGGTGGCGCTGCCACCCTGCCTCGTCCCCTCCTGCCCCGTATTGGGTCGTGTAGAGTAACTTACTGCCTGATGCCCCTTGTTGTCCAGGGAGGGAGAGAAGCAGGCTTGCACTTAAAGTCACAGCTGGGGCCCCTTGGATTTAATTTTTTTTGGTATTAAAAGCAGATTTTTCTGGTTGTAAAAGTCAAGTGCTCATTGTTTCCACTCCCTGCCCCCTCCGTCGCTGCCCACTGCTGCCACCGGTCACTGTCCCCAGACCCCTCGGCGACACGCTCGAGGTGTCGTGCGGCTCTGAGTCCAGCTGCTGCGCCAGGGCACTTTACACAGCAGCATGTGGCGGGCCCCGAGCTCGCCCTGCGGCAGTGGGTGGAGGTCCGTGGGGTGGTTCCCCGCCGGGCGGAGCTCTGCCAGCCCTGGGCTAGCTCCCTCGCCGCGCCGTCCGCCTGGGCCGCTCCGTGAAGACGCCTGGCGGGGACCACGTGGACCCGGCCCCGTCAGCCCCTGTCAGGGGCACCCACGCTCAGACTCCCTCCGGGCCACGCTGGCCTCGTCTCCCGGGGCCACGGAGAGCTGCCCCCCCCGCCCCCTTCCTCGGGCACCTGTTGCTGCCCTTTTTGTTTTTGCCCAGTAAGTGGGCAAAAAGGGTAGGTTTTGTTTTTCTTTCTTTAATACTAGTGAAGTCAAACATCTCAGTCATGAATTTTTAAATGAATCACCTGTTTATGTTCCTTGACTAGATTTCTATTGGGGTAGTTAGTTACCTTTTAAAATTGATTTCTTTGAGGATTATTGTCATATTGGGGCTATAAAATCTTTGTCGGTCATATTTTCCCTAGTTTTTCATTTGCTTTGAACATGCTGTTTTCAAGTCTTGGGCCTGACTCTCCATGTAGGCGGGCCTGGGAGGTGGGGTGGGCTGGGTTTAGTCTGCCTTTAGCCCGGGCGCTGGAGTGGTGTTGGAAGGTGGACCTGAACGGCTCAGCCCCAGCGAGGCCACTTGCTCAGGGAAGAGGATGCTGCCCCCTAGTGGTGAAGTCTGGGCACTACACTCAGGTCCTGTGTTAAGTTGTGTTGACTTCTAGGATGACCTACCTACAAGTTCATTGTTGCTAGTCAGGAAGGCCGGTTTCATCTAGTCAGGGGAACTCAGTGAGCACTTACCTTCTCCGGCCTCCCTGTGGCATGTGCTCCTCACCCCCTGTCCCCTGGCTTCCCCTGGACCCCACCCCTTGGTGCTCCTCATCTTCCTGGCTGCCCCACCCCACCTCAAGCCCCTCATTTCCTGCGCTGAGCCCCCACCCCGCCCAGCCTCCACAGCCCACATTTTTTTCCTTAGAGTCTGGAAATTATCATCCACCCAACAACGAGCTAGAGATCTGATGGCTATTCTTAATTTTTCCCTCGCCCTCCTCATTTCTGCGTAGTTGCTGGGCTCAATTCTGCCACCCCTGTATGCTGCTGACCCTGGGCCTCCGTCCATCCACCCTCCCCAGGGTCCTTCCCCACAGCAGTTCTGCGCATGAAACCCTGAGCATCTCTAGGTGACCCCTTGGCTTTAGGGTGCAATCCAGACTCCCTAATGCAGTTTCCCAGGGCCCGGTGTGGCTCCTTGCTCCTCTGCGTCTCCAACTTCCTCCTCTGCGCCCTCACTTTGGTGGAGTCTCACGGGCAGGAGGGCCGCCTCTCCAGCAGGGGGCCCACTGCAATGCCTTCACACCCCTGCCCCTGCCTCTTCTTTCAGGCTCTGGGGACCCAGTGCCCACATGTCCTGGTCCTCACCTTCCAGCTCGCTGTCCCCAGCAGGGTGGGGGGCCTCCCTCATGGCCGGGGCGGGTGACCGTGGTCTGGCAGAGCCTAGGGAGGACCAGCGGCCCTCCCTGCACACTGCGTGTTGCAGTTGGAACTTCCTGAGTGCTCTCCTGGCCTGGTGGGAGCTCTGGGGTGGGGATTCAGGGGGCCGAGGCCTGAGCAATGTAAGGGGTCTCTCTGGGGAGTGGCAGATAGAGGGATGTTGGCTGAGCACTGGGACATTGTCAAGTTTGGTGACCAGACTGGGTGTCCTGGTACCTGTTTGGATGGGACTCAGAAGCCCTTGAAAGTGTGTTTAGAGGGGGAAGCGACACTAGTGATGTCTTTGGAAGATGAGCTTGGCCTCAGTGATGAGTCAGACGGCGTGGTTGGAGGGAGACACGGGGGGTGGGGAGCCACAGAGGGTTCTTCAGCATCCAGATGCCCAGCAGCCAGGGACAGGACTGAGGCCATCGCCGTGCCAGTGGGAGGGGAGGGGATTTAGGACGCGGTTTGGCGAACGAGGTTCTAGAGGCGGCCCCCACAGGGCAGCCGGCGAGGTGCGGCCTGCGGCAGAGGGGGGCTCGGCTGTGGGACCTGAAAGGCCATCTGTCCTGTCCTGTGGCTCTGCCTGGGGTGGCAGGGCCTTGCTCCTGGAAGCGACTCTCTCTAGTTAAGCCACCGTGGTCAGCGACGAAGAGGGCTCAAGGCCGTGTCTTCCCCCCGTGTCTGTCAGTGTCAGCTGGGCGTGCTTCCCCTGGGCACAGGGAATGACCTGGCGCGTGTGTTAGGCTGGGGCTCGGCCTGTGACGACGACACTCAGCTCCCTCAGATCCTGGAGAAGCTGGAGAGAGCCAGCACCAAGATGCTGGACAGGTGAGTGGGTGCGTGGCGGTGCTGCCTGCTTGGGGGGGGTGGGCGGAGACAGGTCGCCTCAACCAGGGGTTCTTACCAGGGTCCCTGGAAACCGTAGGCCTTCTGCAGTTAGTAGTAGAAATTACTTTCCTGGTAGTCTTTACCTTTTGACCAAGACTATGAAAAAGATAACAGACAGGTTAGGTGCCCAGTGATCAGATCTTCTCTTGAGGCCAAGCCTGACCCACTGGGGCCACCGAGGAAGGTGGCCCTGTCCCCTTCCACCATTGCAGCCCTCACCTGACACCTGTGAGCAGGGTGCCCTTTCTCTGTACTTCATGTTCTGTTCCCAGAAGAACCCTAAGTATTGGGTGCATAGTTTCTGTGCTTTCAACAACCCCTCGGCATCCTTGGGGTGAACTGCCTTTAGTTCTGAGCGCATGTCTGAGGTCCCACCCGCCGGAGCCTGTGGTGACTTGGTGGTGTTGAGACGCCACACGTCCCCTCACAGGACCCTGTGGTTGCCGTCAGGGGGTGTGATCTCAGCGCCCCCGCCATTCCTTCTCCACTTACGGGGGGTTCTGTGCGTTTTGTGCATGAGAAGAGCTGGCTGCTGGCCGAGGGCTTGTGGCTCTCTGTCCCGTAGTGACAGTCCTTCGTCCTGGGAGGAGCCCAGGTCAGGGACTTGGAGACACAGCTGGAACCGGCGGGAGGGTCCCGGGCCTGCGGCGGGAGGTGTGGGGCCCGCCCCGGGAGGTGGGCCAACTGCTGGGAGCCGCCCGCCCCTGTGTGTGCAGGTGGAGCGTCATGGCCTACGAGACCAAGCTGCGCCGGCAGGCCTCCTCCGCCACCGGCACGGGCACCGAGGACCTCAGCGAGGGCTCCGAGGTTCGTACTTCCTTCCGGCCGCCCGCCCCAGCCCTGCCTGCGCTGTCATCCTCTCCCTAGTCCGACCTGCAGAGGCTCAGGGGCAGCTCAGGACCGAGCTGGGGCCCCATGGACTCCGACCTCCCCGGGCTTTGGGGTCGTCTGGGAGCTTCCTGCTCGCCATCAGGATTTGGGTCCTTCGTGGGGACAGTCTCCTAGGGCTTCCCACTCTCCTCACCCCTGCCGCCGCCCCTTGTCCCCTGGGGTGCCTCCTCGTGCAGCTGGCTGTGCCAGCTCGACGACGTTCGGCTCTTCTTTCATTTCCGGGTGGTTATGGTGGCTTACCAGCTCCACAGGGCGCAGCTTTGCCTGCCTCATTTCCTACCCAGCGGCAGCACAGCCCCGGTCCCATCACTGCGCTCAGGCCCACCGGGGCAGCTGGCTGCTGGCTGAGCAGGAGAGGGAGTGCTCTGCCCGGGGCCGCCTGCCAGTCGGCAGGGTGGACGGAGCGCAGTGGGCTGGGGCAGCCGCCGGTAGGCTGGGCCTGCTGCGGCGTGGCCTGCGAGTGGAGAGTGGTCGCACCTCTCGGGAGAGGAAGAGTGTTTGGGCGAAGCCTCAGATGGGTGCTGTCAGCCAGCGGTGGAGCTCGCTGCCGCTGGGATAAGGCCTGGAGTGGGCTCACCACGCAGGGTCAGCTCCCCTGTGTCGGCAGGCAGACGTGTGTGGGGAGGGGCGCTCCCGTCTCGAGGGGAGGGGCCGGGCCTCGAGCCCGCCAGGCGGACCGACGTGCCGTCTGCCGGGAAGGGGCCTCAGCGGAGGAGCGCTGCCTGTGGCCGCGGGGCGGCGGCGGGCTCGCTCCTGGCATGGGCTGCTGCTGGTGAGCCTCGGGCTGAGGGGTGAAGGAGCCCGAGGGTGCTGAAGTTTTCACTGAGGCCCATCCGTGCACGTCTTCGGGGAGCCTTTGTGGCCTTCCCGGTGGCGCTGGCGGGGCTGGGGCGCCGTGGGCGAGGAGGTCACCGGCGGACTGATGGTCGCCCTGCCCTGTTCTGGGGTGACCATAGGTGCAGCAAATTCTCTTCTATGAAGACTCTGTTGCGGCCCACCTTTCTAAAATCCTGACCTCCGACCAGCACTCGGTGGTGATCTCATCGGCCAAGTGAGTACCGGTGGGCCGGCAGAACCGGGCTCCACCGTGCGGGCGCCGGGTTCCCAGCCAGAGCTGTCTCTCTAGAAGCGTCTCCCTGCGCTTCCCCCCGCAGGGTGCTCTGTGAGACGGTGAAGGACTTCGTGGCTCGAGTGGGGAAGGCCTACGAGAAGACCACCGAGAGCTCAGAGGAGTCGGAGGTCATGGCCAAGAAGGTCTGTGCCCTGGCCCCCGGGTGGGAGGGCGTCGGGGCAGAGAGGAGCCTCGTGCCACTCCCTTCCGCTCTGCTTGCTCCCGTCCAGTGCTCTGTCCTGAAAGAGAAGCTGGACTCTCTCCTCAAGACCTTGGACGACGAGTCCCAGGCCTCGTCCTCTCTGTCCACCCCGCCGCCCACCATCGCCGAGGAGGTGGAGGACGGGGACGGGCTGGGCAGTGGCTGCGGCTCGGCCGTGGACCGCTCGGTGGGGCCGGCGTGCCCGGCGCGGCCGCAGATATTCCGGCCGCGGGAGCAGCTCATGCTGCGGGCCAACAGCCTGAAGAAGGCGATTCGCCAGATCATAGAACACACCGAGAAAGGTAGCTGGTCTCTCCGTGACAAGGGCGATTTCTTCAGGCGGGCGCTGGCCACGGCGCCCGGTTTCCTCCGAGCACGGTGGCAGAAAGGCCTCCACCGCTCCCTGGAAGGGACCTCGCCTGTGGGGACTCCACCCAACCTCGGGTACAGCCCTGCGGGACAGGCCCCTGTCCACCTGGAGGTCGGGCTGCCTGGGGACCGTGCTTCAAGGAGAGCCCCAGTGCTCACAACCGAGAGGCTCCCAGGACACCGGGAGGGGTGGCCCTGCCTGGAGGCAGCGGGTGGACAAAGAGGCTGGACCTGGGGACAGCGACAGCAGGAGGGGTTGGACGGGTGGGAGGACCGTGTGCACCGTGGGGTCTGAAGCAGGGCTGGCCGCAGTGCAGAGGGTGCCCGGGGCCTGGTGTCCCTGGTCAGCCTCCCTGGGGGAGGCAGGGAGACCGACGTAGGGCGACAGGTCTGCCTGGCCGGCCGCGCCCTTCTGCTGGGCTCAGTTTGCTAAGCTCGGATGAGATCGGTGAAAAGCCACATTGACCCGTGAACTTCATTGCCTCCCATCTCGCCGGGACCCGTCCGCTCCCTCCTCAGCAAGTTCTTCCTTGTCCTGGGCTGTCCACGCTCTCCTTACCTTCAGAAACCGTTGTGTGTTTTCCACGTGTGTTTGACGCATTCCCAGCCCTCACCTCTTTACTCTGAGTAGATCCACCTGCTTTTTGCCTCAGTGAGAATAATAAGGTCATGACCTCCCAGCTACACACTGGTGGGTGCACAAGGTGGAACCCCTTGTCAGTCCCCCGGGGATGCTCTGGGCTCTCGGGCCTTCACTCACCTTCTCTGCGCGTCCTCCAGCCTCGGGTCCTCCTCCTCGGGCTGCTGGCTTGGACGCCCGGTGCCCCTGGTGTGCAGGGCACTGAGCCCGGGGGACAGTGAGGATGAGGTGGGAGCTTCAGGGTCTCAGCCGCAGCCAGGAGGACACTTGGAAAAAATAAGACTGGGAGACGCACAGGGAGTCTGTCCAGCAGGCCCTCTGCCAGCCTGGCGCCGTCTGCGGCTCACGCCCACAGGCTGAGCCGTGCCCATTCTTGCCCCGTGCAGCTGTCGATGAGCAGAATGCGCAGACCCAGGAGCAGGAGAGGATTGTCTTGGGTCTCCCCGAGACGGAGGAGAAGAAGGACCTGAAGCCGGACGACAGGCTGTGCCACAGAGACAGCTGCGGGGCTGCCAAGCCCAGGAGCCTCCGCAAAGGTACAGCCCGCCGGCCTGGGTGCCCTCGGGGCTGCGGCCAGGCCTGCGTGCTGCTCGAGCAGCTGGCCGAGCGAGGTTTCAGGGTGCCTTCTCGTGGCTGCCCCGGCCACTTGGCAGTAGGAAGGGCAGGGCGCACGGCCTTTCTGTGCACCACCTGCTGCGGGCGGTCTGTCTGGTGGCCGGTGGGGGTTCCGGGGGGGCCCTGCTGCTGAGCAGTGTGCTTTCCCCAGGGCCTCCCCGTGCACCCCAGATCCAGTGGGGCTGAGGGCCTCCCGGCTGCAGCCAGCTGGGCTCCGTGCATGTGCGAAGTTGCTCCCTGAGCCTGGCATGGTGGCCAGGGCAGCACCCAGCCGCACGGGCCGTCTGCCCGGGGACCCTTACCCCTCCTAGCAGAGCCCCCAGCGCAGGCTCCCGACGTGGAGGGTCGTCCCTTCCCACTGGCTGTGCGCGGCCCCTCCCTTGCAGCCCAGCAAGACCCTGGGAGGCACATCTGCCTTAGAGGTCACTCCGTGGTCATTCCTACGCAGAACTCGGCTTGGCCCCTCGAGCCCTTAGTATGATGAGGGCTTAGCCTCCCCCGTGCCCTGCCCCGGCCTCACCCTTGGTGGCCTTTGTCACTCTTTAGGTGGCATTCAAACCCACCTGCCTCTCCTTGTGCCCTCCTCGTCTCTCTCTCTCTGGGCTTCTGTCTTCATCTCGCCCATTCCGCCCGGGCCGCCCAGTGGCTTGTGAGTGCTGCGCTTCCCCTGGCCCTCCACCTGGTGTTTCTCCAGTGAGCTCTCCCAGCGGGCAGTCGTGGTCCCTCCCGGGCAGTCTGATGGCTTTGTGTCCTGTTTCTATAGTGTCCAAGTCCCCGTGTGAGAAGCTGATAGGCAAAGGAAGTCTGTCACTGGGCAGTTCTGCCTCTCTCCCCACCCAGCCAGGAAACCGGGACGGCCTGCCCACGCTGAACACGAAGATCCTGTTCCCGAGTGAGTGTCCCCGCCCCCAGGTGGGCCAGGCTCCCTGGCCGAGGGTGTCTAGGGAGGGCCTTGGGGGCGGGAGGGCGTCGGGGACGCGCCGACCAGCCAGCCAGCCAGGTCCGGGGCCTGTGGCTTTGCCAGGTCCGGGGCCTGTGGGAATGAGTGAGACCAGGTCCCTGTCCTCCTCGGGAGTGAGGACGGGCTCTCAGAGTCAGGTCACGGCACGAAAGTGCCTTATCAGTGACAGAGGGCCGACGGCGCCCACCCTGCTGCTCAGGGGCCCCAGGAAGGTGCCTGGAGCAGGTGATCCTCCAGCCAGCTAGCTGGGTGCCAAGGGGTAGGTGGGCGTTATCCTGAGGGAAAAGAGCAGGGCAGGTGGGCTGTGCGGGACGAGGGGGGGGGCGGGCAGGGGCACCACTATTTCTAGCGTGATCACAGCAGCAGCAGCACAGCCAGCCGCCGGAAGGGCCGGCCCTGAGCTCTTTCCTCCCCGTGCTCGCTTGTTGCTCCGATAAAGTGGAGGCAACACCCGTGGCTGCTTCCCTCGGGGGAGCTGGGACGGGACTTGTTGCCTTCGAGGGCAGCAGCGCTGCAGTGTGGCCCGCAGACCCCCTGAACCAGCTCGGGCCGAGTCCCGAGCCCTCCTGGCCGCACCGTCCGCCCCCTGAGTGCTTTGGAGGCTTCTAGCGACTCACCTGTCAGAAGGAAATTCCAGAAGCCCCTGGGAAGTGGGCCCTTGCACTTGCGAGGCCTTTGGTCAGCCAGTGAGGAAGACCTCACCGGGAGGCTGGGCCGGGCCGGGCCGGGCGCTCAAACGCGGGGCTTCGTCCCTGCCTTCAGGGTTGGCTCAGAGACTTCAGATGGGTGCCGGGGGCTTGAAGGCTGCTGTCCCTGGGGTGTCCCTGGGTTCATCCCTCTGAAAGGAGCCTCCCCAGGCTGGGCACCTGGACGCCCAGAGGCCGCTCTGGCGGGGGTCTGTACACTGTCTCACTGGCATCGGTTCCTGCCGCCGGGTGTGTGTGTGTGTGTGTTTCTTGGGTGTGGGCTGGTGACGGCAGCTCCCCATGCCCAACTCCTCGTCGTCAGCGTGTGGACCTGCTCGTCCGCTGCTTTAGAGACGTCCGACGTGTCCGTCAGCCGCGGGGGCTCCTGACCGGGCCCGCCCCCGCCCTTGTGTCCCTCACAGATGTTCGTGCCGGGATGTCTGGTTCCTTGCCTGGGGGCTCGGTCATCAGCCGCTTGTTGATAAACGCTGACCCCTTCAACTCCGAGCCGGAAAACCTGTGAGTACGGCGTGAGCCAAGGGGCGAATTGGGGACAGAGTGCTGGGGTGGGCGGGGGTGCCTCGGGGGTCCTCTTCAGCTGGTGCCGGTGGATGGGGGAGACAGAAAGCCCCCGCTGGAGGGGGGGGGCGGGAGTGCCTGCGGGGGCTCGGGGGCGCAGGGCCTGTCCCGGCTCGCTCCCAGGCCCCCGGTGGTCGCGAGTCGGCCTCTCCTGAACAGACGTGGTGTTTGAGGTTCAGAAACTCCTCTTGGTGCCTGGCTTTGCACTTGCCCTTCACTGTTGCTCTTCGGTCCCTCGGCCGGCCCGCGCTGGTGTCTCCTCCTGACCCCTGCCCTCTCCCCGTCGCTGTCCTGCTGCTCTCCCGTGCGGTCGACCCCCGCCCCGCCCCGCCTGGTGCCCCGGTCCCTGGGCCGGGTCCTCCCCCTGGCGGTCTCCAGGGAGACGCTGTCCCGGGCTTAGACGTACGGGGAGGGGTGCGGGGAGGGGTGCGGGGAGGGGTGCGGGGAGGGATGTTCCGGGCTGCCCTGTGCCCTCGTCGCCCTGTGCCCCGCCGGGCCCCAAGGCGGAGGGGCTGTAGCCAGCCGTTGAGTTGAGTCTGTCCCAGTGTGGATACACGCCGCTGCGGACACGTAGGGGTGTGCAAGCCCACCCTTCCGGGCTTCCCTTTTGGCTGGCTGCGAGCGCGTTTCGGGCCGCCAGCGGCCGGTGGTATTGGTTAAGAGCTGCCGAGTGTGTGTCTGGTGTGGTGGGGAGAGCAGCGGGCATTCTGCGTTTGAGGAGGGCAGGGCCGGGAGGGTGCCGAGCGGCGGCCCCATCAGGTCAGCGAGCCAGGGAGGGCCCTGGGTTCAGACCCTGCTGCCAGGTGCTGGCCTGCCTGCTGCCTGGCACCCCCTCCCCCCCAGACCCGACACTGCTGCCTGCTGTCTGGTCTGCACTGCGGGCCCCTCGCAGGGCTGCTGGGGCTCCGGCCTTGACCCTCCCTGACGTTTCCTCAAAAAGACCAGAGCTGTCGTCCTCCAGGGTCAGTGCCCCGGGGCCCCCGAACTCAGCATTTCATTTGTCACTCGTTCTCTCAGGTGAGACCCCCGAGGGTCCATATTGGGCAGCCAGGGCCATTGGCTTCTCTTCGTTCTGTCCTCTTCAGACGGGGAGACTTCCCTTCACGTGGGGAGACTGTGCTTCCCCTCCTCCACCCTCGCCCAGGCCGGTAGCCCAGGCCGTCACCCACCAGCCCAGGCCTTGGTCCCTCAGCCTCTGCCTGCGATGGCCTCCGGGAGCCGTCCCGGCGCACTTCCCAGGCCCCTGCTGCCCGCCGCCCCCAGGCCCTGGGCCCCGTCCCGCCACCCGTGCCCCTCGTCCCAGGCCGCTTCTCTGGCTCGGCCCCCTCTCTCCCCCAGGACCTGCAGGTACTGGGTGGCGTGCGGTCTCAGTTTTGTCCAGAGCTGTGCTCCCACCCAGCTCTTAGGCACTTGCGTTGAGTGTGTCATAAAAACATGGGCATGCGGTCATCACTTGTGAGAGCAGGCTGCAGACACCCGTTCCCCTGAAACGTGCCAGGACCCCGGCCCCTGCCGTAGTCTCGAGCCCACCCACCCCGTTGCATTTCCTTGGGGACTTCTGCCGGGGATGTCACGAACGTGCTCTTCTCCTTGCTGCTTCCTCGGGGTGGAGGGTCAGGGCCGCCCCCTTCACCCGCCTGCCCTGGAGGGGAATCGGGGCCCTAGAGCCCCAGGTGTGATGCCCGCGGCCCGATGGGGCAAGAAGCTGGGATATTTCTTGCCACGGTGGGTGTGGGGAAGGGAAGGGTTGCCGCGGGGCTGGGAGGGACGTTTCGGGCTAGTGGACTTGCTTTAGCTGGGTCCGAGACGACCGGGGGATGTCCTGAGGAACAGTCTATGTGCCATGGAATCACCAGGCGTGACGTTGCCGGTGGGAATGTGGGCCAGGGCAGCCGCTTTGGAAGACAGCCTGGCAGGTCCCCCGAACCCAGAGTTTGCACGGCCCCAGCAGTCCCAGTCCCGCTCCTGGGGGGGGCCCAAGAGAGAAGGGACCCGTCCACACGAACGCCTGTGCACGAGTGTGGGCACATACTGGCCCCGAGTGAAACAGCCCCGGTGCCCACGGACCGATGGGTGCTGTCCCCACAGTGGGGTGGTGTTGGGCCAGTAGAGGGGATCAAACACAGAGCCAGACGAACCCCGAAAACACCGTTCACTGAAGGGAGCCGGGCGCAAGGGCCCCTGTTGTAGGGTCCCGTTGACAGGAAGTGCCCAGCGGGGCAGGTCTGTGGAGACGGGAGGCAGGCTGGTGGTCGCCGGGGGTTGGGGAGGGGTTGGCACTGCTGGCTAGGGGGTGCGATGCGCCCTTTTTTTCTGGGGTGATGCAGTAATTCTACAACTGGTTGTAGTGGTGGTGACGTGACTCTGTGAATGCGTTAAAAATCACATTGTACACTTCAGCCCTGGTTGGTGTGGCTCAGTGATTGAGTGCCGGCCTGCGAACCAAAGGGTCCCTGGTTCGATTCCCAGTCAGGGCACAGGCCTGGGTTGTGGGCCAGGTCCCCAGTAGGGGGGTGTGCAAGAAGCAACCACACATTGACGTTTCTTCCCCGCTCTCTCTCCCTCCTTTCTAATCTCTAAAAATAAATAAATATTTTTTAAAAGTCATACTTTTAAATGAGAAAGTTATATGGCATGTGAATTATTTCTCAATAAAACTGTCACCAAGAGAAAGAAAAAAGTCCAGAGTCTTGCCCCCAGGGAGGACTGCTCGGGGGCTGGGGGCGGAAGTGCCGAGCAGGCTGTGGGACCCGCTCTGCCCCCTGCAGGGAGTGTTACACGGAGAAGTGCGTCATGAACAACTACTTCGGCATCGGCCTGGATGCGAAGATATCCCTGGACTTCAACAACAAGCGGGACGAGCACCCCGAGAAGTGCAGGTGGGTGGTGCTGTGTGACGCGTCCTTCGAGGCTCCCTCGCTTCTCCCCTGGCCCGTGAGGTCGTTCCTGGGGTCAGCGGGGCCACCGTGCGCCGTGTGCTGAGGCGGGGCACGGACTCCGAGCCTGGATGCCTGGGTGGGAGCAGGGGCAAGCCCAGGAGGCCAGCCTGGAGGAGGGTTCCCCTGGGGTGGGCCAGGCTGGGGCAAACTCAGCGTGAGAAAGCGAGTGACCCTGCCTGAGGAGAGCGGGGGCTGAGTCTCTCAGGAGAGTCGTGAGCCTCTCGTGAAGGATCACCGCACAGAGTGCGCGTGGAGGTGCCGCTGCGTGTCCTGGGCCAGCGGGGCGGCCCGGCCTCTTGCTGGGGCGGGGTCAGGGCCCCGAGCCCGAGCCCCCGGCAGAAGACTGCCACACGAGAGGCCCCGAGGGCTCTTGCTGGGGATGTCACTAAAGCAGTGACAGGAAGCTGGCCCGGGGCCGCTGCTGTGTGGTCAGAGCTGGGGAGTGGGAGCGTGCTGAGCCCAGCCAGAAGGGTCGATCCAGTACGAGACGCGGGGATGTGCCCACGGAGATCGGCCACGCGGCAGGATGCACGGGCCGTGTCCCACTCGGGGGAAGGGGGGCAGGGCGGGCTGGGAGGCTCCGTGGGCCGGCTCTTGCACCCGTGGCTCACACGTCCAGGACAGACAGGAGACCACAGAAGTGTCTGTCGTCGGCACAGATAGATGTGGGGGGATGAGACTATTTTCTCCTGTGCATTTTCCTGTACTTTCCAAAGTTTGTGTGGTAAGCATGGTTTTATAGTCAGAAAAACTCATGATTTATAAACTTTGGGTGAGGTTCTGAAGTGTCTGGACCTTTTTGCCTTTCAAGGTATGATTACTTTCTTGGGAAATGCCGCTTTTCCTCCAGTAAGTCTGGCTCTGCTCACTTTTCATAGACCCCTAGCAGGAACACGTCCTTCCTGGAGGTGTCACTGCCGAAGGGGAGGGCTGAACCCGACCCGTTTGTGAGCGGGTGCCGCCCCCACATCCTGCAGCAACGACTGCAGTTACCTGTGCAGAGAAGGCCACGGCCACGGCCGTTCTTTGCTTCCCCTGCCCAGGAGTCGGACCAAGAACATGATGTGGTATGGGGTTCTCGGGACCAGAGAGTTGCTGCACAGAACCTACAAGAACCTGGAGCAGAAGGTCCTGCTGGAGGTGAGCCGGGGGGTCTCCGTGACTGCAGGTGGTCAGGGGCCCGTCGGCCTCCTGTTGGCCCTTCTGCCCCGTGCGGGTTGCCGGTGGAGGAGGACTAACGGATGCCCTGCGTCTCTCCTCTCTCCTTGTCCTGCATGCCCACTGCTCAGTGTGACGGGCGGCCCATCCCGCTCCCCAGTCTGCAGGGCATTGCTGTCCTCAACATTCCCAGCTACGCCGGAGGGACCAACTTCTGGGGGGGCACCAAGGAGGATGATGTACGTACACGGGTGCTGGGTGGCACGGGCCTGAGCTCGGGGGCAGGGTGGTGGTGACCAGAGGGGTGGCCCCTTCACGCAGTGTCAGCCACCTGGGGCCCCGGTGGAGCCTCGGCAGGCACTCGGGGCGCTCTGTCGGTGATGCAGAGGGATGGGTGCGTAGCTCCTGCCTTGCACTGCCCGTGGGCTGGAGTGGAGAGCTGGACAGATGGGGACCCTACTCACGAGAAGAGGGGCTGAGTACAACAGGTGTTGTCAGAGGCATGGGTGCGATGCAGAAGCCAGTCCCACCCCCGACGTGGGGTGATCTGGGAATGTTCCTAGGAAGAGGGGACATCTGTGTGGAGACCTGAAGCACATGACTTGGGGTCAGCCAGGTCAGGTTCGGGGGTGGCGAGGCGAGGCTGTTCTGGGCAGAGGGAGCCGCTGACGGAAGGCGCAGTGGCCAGACGGCAAGGCAGGAAGAGAGTTCTCGGGTGGCACCGTGCAGCGAGTGGGGTGCAGGGAAGCTGGAGCTCCAGTGGGGTTGTGTGAGCCAGGGGACGGCTTTGGAATTGATGCTGAGAACTCTGGGAGGCATTGACAGGTTTTTGGGGTGCGGCTTGCTTTGTACGTAAGAGCCGGTAAAGGCAGTTAACACCCGCTGGACACTTCAGAACAGTGCTGGTTGCTGTTCTGGGAGCGCACGTGCTAACCCAGTCCTCACAGCAGCCCGTGAGGCGCACGCCAGCACGCCTACCGGTGTTGCCCACGCGCAGGTGAGGGCACTGAGGGGCAGGGAGCTGAAGTGACTTGCCCAAGGTCACGAGGCTAGTGTGTGGCAGATTCGGGACCTGATCCCAGGCAGCTGGTTTCAGGATCTTAGTAACGAGTTCACCCCACAGCTGCCCCTTCAGTTGGGGCGCCAGTGTGGCAGCGCGAGCGGGGAGGTGGGGGCGCAGGTCAGCTCTGACTCGGGCCTTGCAGACTTTCTCAGCACCGTCGTTCGATGACAAGATCTTGGAGGTGGTCGCCGTGTTCGGCAGCATGCAGATGGCTGTCTCCCGGGTCATTAACCTGCAGCACCACCGGATTGCCCAGGTACCGGCTGGGGTCCCGGAGGCAGGGAGGGCCTGGGGGCTGTCTGGCTCACACCCGTGCGGTGAGGCAGGGCTCGGCCCAGAGCTGCAGTCTCACTGCACTTGCTCCCATCGATGCGTCCCGGCCCAGAGCCCGGGAGAATACATGGGTGTCCCCCAGCCCCTGCCCTGCCCCGCCCTGTGCATGCCACCCGTGCCCTAGCCCCTCTCGCTGAGGCGGGATGAGATGGGGAAAGTGTGGGCTCGGCCCAGCTGGTGGGGGCGCTGGAGGGCCGGGCGCCTCCGTTACTTGTTTCTGGCCCTGGGCTGGGAAGGGTCTGTCTGTGGGGGTGGGGAGCGTGGTGCTCTCACGCACAGAGTCGCTGGGGGGAGCTGACACACCAGCTGCCAGGACCCCCAGGCTGTGCTGTTCAGTCTGTGCCCACTGCAGGCAGCTTGAACTTCACAATTATCACTCTTTAGCGGCACTGTTTTTGTTGAAAAGAGGGGCGGTGCACCCTTCACCACTTGTTGGCAGTTTGCTCAGTTCCGGGCATGTTTGCATGTGCCCGGGGACCCAGCCAGGGCGGCTCTTGGAGGCCGCAAGTCTCGCTGTGGGCTGGTGCTGTTGTCTGGTCACCGAGACCTCACTGTGGTCACAGGTGCAGTGCTGGCTGAGGGGACCCTGGGGATGGGGGTGCAGACCACTCAGCTCCATGAACTTCAAACAGGAGGGGGTGCTCTGGCCACAGGGCTGGCTGTAGGTGTGGGGTCTGCGGCCCCGGGGGTCGGCTGGCGTGCACAGGGGCGTGCAGGGCAGGACGGCACCGTAAGGCTGTGTGGCCGAGTTCAGTGCACAGGTAACGGCTGTGACATTTGCTCAGTGTCGCACGGTGAAGATTTCCATCCTGGGGGACGAGGGCGTACCAGTGCAGGTGGACGGAGAGGCCTGGGTCCAGCCTCCGGGGTACATCCGCATCGCCCACAAGAACCGGGCACAGATGCTCACCCGAGACCGGGTAAGAGGGCTGCCCGAGGGGCGGGGCTCTCCTGCCGGCACTCCTGCGCTGCTTCCGTAAGGAGATTCAGGGGTTTTCACGTGTAATGCCAGAAATTCTTAGCTGTAAGAGTTGAGCCAGGGAGGCGGTTCCCCGGTGCAGAAGAGAGTCCCGTCTCTGGCCCCGCCGGCCCGTCAGTGTGCCGGGCACGTTCGCTGTCGGGGGACGTGCACTCGCCCCCCGAGAGTGGTAGACAGTGCAACGCTGGGTTCTCGCGCCCCAGGAATTTGAGAACACGCTGAAGTCCTGGGAAGACAAGCAGAAGTGCGAGACGTCCCGCCCGCCGTCCTTCTCCCTGCACCCGGAGATCCTGTCCGAGGAGGAGGCCACCCAGATGGACCAGTTCGGGGAGGCGGCGGGGGCCCTCATCCACAGGTCAGCGCCGCCCGGCTGCCGGGCCGGGGCCTCGCTCCGTCGCCTCGCTCCGTCGCCGGGCACGGGCGTGGCGGTCCTCACCCAGGCCCTTCCCGAGGCCGAGCGGGTTTCCCCTTGCCCTTGGCTTTGGCTTACGGCCCCTCGTCGTCGTCTCTCAGAGATCGCTCAGACTTTCTGTAGATGGGAGCCTACAACCCGCGGGCGCCTTCAGAGCCGCCAGCTCGTGGATCTGAAGACATGCCCTGGACTCGGGGAACAGTCCACTTACTGTCCCCACCTGATTCCCGAGAGTGAGGTGACGTCCGGGCCCCCCCTCCCCTGGCCTGATGAGGATGCGCTTCTCCTCCCTCCAGCATCCGGGAGATCGCCCAGTCCCACCAGGACATGGAGCAGGAGCTCGCCCACGCCGTCAACGCCAGCTCCAAGTCCCTGGACCAAGTGTACAGCAGGCCCAGAGCCGCGGAGGTGCCCGCCCTGCCCTCCCCCAGCCCCGCCCCCCGGGCGCGTGCAGCCCTCGGGCCGCCTCCACGGTGCGCGCTCTGTTCTCCGCAGGGGCTGACCTGCAGCTTTGTCCCGGAGATGGTCAGTAACATGAAGGCCCTGCGCAGCGAGACGGAGCTGCTGCTGGCCGGGAAGATGGCCCTGGTGAGCTGGGGGCGGGCTCCGCTGGGTGAGGCGGCCACTGCCGCACCAAAGGGCTGCACCTTCTAGTCCGGATTTCCTGGCCTTCGGAGCCTAGACCCGTTGTCGGGAGGCTCCTCAGAGGCCATGACTTGATCTGACCGCGTGGTTGGTGCACACACCCTTCTGGCCACAGCTCAGCCACGTCGTCCCCTCTCCAGCACGGCAGATCCTGTGGGGGACGCCGTCGTCTCTGTAGACAGAATTCCCCCTCGAACGTCTGCACACGGCCACGGTCCTCCTGGGGCCTGGGCAGGCCCAGTGCTCGCCACCCGTCCTCCCTGACCCCCGCAGACCTGGCTGAGGCGGCAGCTCCCAGAAGCCCTCGGGGCGGGGGTGGGAGTGGGGGGTTGCTGAGTCACCGGAGCCAGAGCAGAGAGAGGGCCCAGGCAACCGTCATCTTCTACCAAGTGAGGGTGTGGGCGGCCGAGGAGGTGACGGGACTTGCTAAAACCACACGCTGGAGAACGGCCCCAAAAGGCCAGCCTTTGTACCCTCTCCCCCTCCCTCCAAAGTGCCCGCTTCTGGGAGTGGGGCAGCGCCTGCCTCCCGCACACGCCCCCTTTCCCACGGGGGTCCCAGGGCGGCGGGGGCAAGTGGGGTGTCAGCCCTGCAGCTGCAGTTATCTGACGGGTCTGGTCTGCTCCACTGCGTACAGAAGGAGAGTTTAGTTCTCTCGCTGACACTCCTGGGGAGGGGAGGCTCTGAGTTTGACCCCTTAGCCAGGCTCCGTGACTCACTTTCCGGAAGTCCTTGTAGGAACTCTCCGGGGGGAGCCCAGCACGTGGGGACTTGGCTGTGGCCACAGCTCTTCACAGTGCACAACCAGCTGTGTGTCTCCCCCCCCTTCTCCCCCCGCTCGGGAGCAGCAGTTGGACCCCCCTCAGAAGGAGCGGCTCGGGGCTGCTCTCACCGAGATGGACCAGCAGCTCAGGAAGCTGTCGGACACCCCCTGGCTGTGCCAGCTCATGGAGCCCAGTGATGAAGAGGTACGTGGGCCGTGGGGCTCCCCCGGCTGGGGCACCGCTGGGTGCCGTGGCTCTCCCTTGGGTGCCTGTATTCAGTGTGCCCCGTGCGGCCTCAGGGTTAACACGGCGTCAGTCTTGCAGTCCCGATGTGGCTTCTCAAGACTTCTCGAGTAAAATGCCTTCAAGGCGTGGAGAGGGATGGGCAGAGGGAAGGAGCCAGTATCAGGACTGGCCCTGGTGCCCGGGCACAGGCTGCCCGTGGAAACAGAACTGCCCGGCTGCCCAGGGACTGGGCAGAAGGCAGGCTGAGCCCCCCTGCCCCACCCCCCATGTTTTGCCCGGCTGGGGAGACGTGTTGGTCAGTTAAACGGCAGCTTCCTAGAAGTTTGTTTTCTTTTTTTAAATATAGTTTATTGATTATACTATTACAGTTGTCCCATTTTCCCCCCTTCACTCCCCTCCACCCTGCCCACCCCCCCACACCCACATTCCCCCTCTTTAGTTCATGTCCATGTGTCATAAATTCTTTAGCTTCTACATTTCCCATACTATTCTTGCCCTCCCCCTGTCTGTTTTCTGACTATTGTCCATGCTACTTATTCTCTGTACCTTTTCTCCTCTCTCCTCCTCCCACTCCCCTATTGCTAACCCTCCACGTGATCTCCATTTCTGTGGTTCTGTTCCTGTTCTAGTTATTTGCTTAGTTTCTTTTGGTTTTGCTTTAGATGTGGTTGTTAATAATTGTGAGTTTGCTGTCTTTTTACTGTTCCTATTTTTTATCATCTTTTTCTTAGATAAGTCCTTTTAACATTTCATATAATAAGGGCTTGGTGATGATGAATCCTTTAACTTGACCTTATCTGAGAAGCACTTTATCTGCCCTTCCATTCTAAATGAAAGCTTTGCTGGATAGAGTAATCTTGGATGTAGGTCCTTGCCTTTCCTGACTGTGAATATTTCTTTCCAGCCCCTTCTTGCCTGTAAGGTCTCTTTTGAGAAATCAGCTGACAGTCTGATGGGAACTCCTTTGTAGGTGACTATCCCCTTATCTCTTGCTGCTTCTAGAATTCTCTCCTTCATTTTTACCTTGGCTAATGTAATTATGATTGCCTTGGTGTGTTTCTTCTTGGGTCCAACCTCTTTGGGACTCTCTGAGCTTCCTGGACTTCCTGGAAGTCTATTTCCCTTGCCAGATTGGGGAAGTTCTCCTTTATTATTTGTTCAAATAACTTTTCCACTTGTTTTTCCTCTTCTCCTTCTGGCACCCCTATAATTCAGATGTTGGAACATTTAAAGATGTCCTGGGGGTTCCTAAGCCTCTCCTCATTTGTTTGAATTCTTATTTCTCCATTCTTTTCTGTTTGGTTGTTCCTGTCTTCCTTCTGGTCCACTCCATTGATTTGAAACTCAGTTTTCTTTCCATCACATTGGTTCCCTGTGCATTTTTCTTCATTTCACTTAGTGTAGCCTTCATTTGTTCATCTAATTTGTGACCAAAATCAGCCAACTCTGTGCTTGATCACCAGTGCTTTGAACTGTGCATCTGATAGGTTGGCAATCTCTCGTTTGCTTAAAAGTACTGGCCTAGGGGCTTTTAATTCTGTTTGAGCCATCTTTCCCCCCCGCCCCCCCCTTTGGTCTGGCCACACCTGTTACTTATGAGGGGCGGAGCCTTAGGTGTTCACAAGGGCGGGGCACCTCAGTCACTGGGTTGTGACGTTGTGGGGGCGGGGTCCGAGAGGGAACAATGGCGCCTGCTCCGCTCTCTCTAGGACTTCAGTCCCCTCTGCCGCTTCCCACAAGCAGATTGGGCCCTTCTGGTGCTGGCTCCCAGGTAGGTGGGCTTGGGTACTTTCTAGGGCTCTGTGGGTCTCCCCAAGGAGCTCTCCTGTGAGGCTGGGAGATTCTCCGGGTCTCAGCCCCCACAGGTGTTTTCAATTGGTGCTTTTAGGCTTTGTTTCCCGGCGCTGGGTCCCTGCGTTGCTCGGTCTGTGTCGCTGCCCGTTTTTACCTGGTTTATCTGCGCAGGAAGGGCGACAGCCAGCTGCCTTGCGCCCTTCACTGGGTCTGCTCGTTGCCTCCCACGCCCAGGGTCTGCCACCGGGTCCGCCAGCCGCCGCTTTGTCCTGCCGGGACCCCTCGACCCCTCTCCGTAGGCCTCTGACTCCTCCCCTCCTTACCGGTCTGGATGAATGGTTGTCAGACTTTCGTCCAGTTCATTTCTCTCTGTTCTGGTTGGGTTATTTTTTGTTTCTAAATTTTTGTTGTCCTTAGTTTTGGTTGTGCGAGGAGACAGAGTGCGACTACCTACGCCTCCATCTTGGCCGGAAGTCCTAGAAGTTTGTTTTTGACAGGGGCAGAGGTGGTGTGCTTGGCTCACACCCTCACTTTTCTTTTTTTTCTTTTTTTTTTTAATGTATTTTATTGATTATGCTATTACAGTTGTCCCATTTCCCCCCTTCTCTCCCCTCCACCCTGTACCCCCTCTCCCACCCACATTCCCCCCCTTTAGTTCATGTCCATGTGTCATTCTTATGAGTTCTTTAGCTTCTACATTTCCCGTACTATTCTCGCCCTCCCCCTATCTATTATCAACCTACATTCTCTGCTACTTATTCTCTGTACCTTTTTCCCCTCTCTCCTCCTCCCACCCCCCTGCTGCTAGCCCTCCGTGTGCCCTCCATTTCTGTGGTTCTGTTCCTGTTCTAGTTGTTTACTTAGTTTCTTTTGGTTTTGCTTTAGGTGTGGTTGTTAATAATTGTGAGTTTGCTGTCCTTTTACTATACATGTCTTTTTCTTTATCTTCTTTTCTTAGATAAGTTCCTTTAGCATTTCATAAAATAAGGGCTTGGTGATGATGAACTCCTTTAACTTGACCTTATCTGAAAAGCACTTTATCTTCCCTTCCATTCTAAATGAGAGCTTTGCTGGATAGAGCAATCTGGGATGTAGGTCCTTGTCTTTCATGACTTGGAATATTTCTTTCCAGACCCTTCTTGCCTGTTAAGGTCTCTTTGGAGAAATCAGCTGACAGTCTGATGGGAACTCCTTTGTAGGTTACTGTCCCCTTATCTCTTGCTGCTTCTAGGATTCTCTCCTTCGTTTTTACCTTGGCTAATGTAATTATGATGTGCCTTGGTGTGTTTCTTCTTGGGTCCAACTTCTTTGGGGCTCTCTGAGCTTCTTGGATTTCTTGGAAGACTGTTCCCTTTGCCAGCTGGGGGAAGTTCTCCTTTATTATTTGTTCCAATACGTGCTCCATCTGTTGCTTTTCTCCTTCCTGTTCTGGTACCCCTATAATTCGGATGTTGGAACGTTTAAAGGTGTCCTGGATGCTCCCAAGGCTCTCCTCGATTTTTTGAATTCTTATTTCATCATGCTTTCCTGCTTGGTTGATTCTATCTTCCTTCTGGTCCACTGTATTGTTTTGAGACTCAGATTCCTTCCTTTCACTATTGGCTCTCCTCCGCGTATCTTCCTGCATCTCTTTTATGGTAACCTGCATCCTTTCATCTAAATTGCGCCCAAAATCAACCAATTCTGTGAGCTTTCTGATCACCAGTGTTTTGAACTGTGCATCTGATAGACTGGCTATTTCTTGGTCGCTCAAAAGGATGAGTCCTGGGGGACTGATCTGTTCTGTTGGATACATGTCTTACGTGTTTCCCTGTCTCTGGTCGCTCTTGTTACGGTGGGGGGCGGAGCCTTAGGTGTTCACCGGGGCTGGGCACCCTGGTCGCTAGATTGTGACGTTATATGTGTGGGTGGGGGCGGGAGCAGGAGGGGACAATGGCGTTAGTTCCGTTCTCCCGGGCTCAGGCCCTTCCTTGGGATCCTGGGCTGCGAGCTCTGCCCTGGTCCACAATGCGCCACAGGGTCCGCCAGCCGCAGCTTGCATATTCAGGGACCCCCGCTGCGTTCTTGCGCCCTGGATGGCTGTCGCGCCGATTTCGCGCCAAATTTTCCCCGACCTCCGTGCGCCGCTGACCCGCGCCGACCCCCGGGCCCGCCCAGCTCGTCGTCTCCTACCGGTCTGGATGTACGGGTCTACTTCAACTTCTTGGCTGTCCGACTTCCATTCAGATAAATCCTCTGTCAGTTCTGAGTGATATTCTGTCTGTAAATTATTGTTGTTCTAATCTTGGTTGTGCAAGGAGGCACGGTGCGTGCACCTATTCCTCCATCTTGCCGGAAGTCTCCCTCACTTTTCTTTTACACACATTTGGAGACTTCCCAACTCACCACAGGCCCTGGGGCTGGGCAGACAGGACCCCGGGCGCACTGTGACCCGGGGCCCAGTCCCCTCCCGCAGCAGGAGAGTGGGCAGCAAGAGCCCCGGCGAGGGGCTGTCGGACGGGCAGTTTTCGTGGGCAGCGTCTGGACAAAGGCGAACCCTAGACTTTCGGAGATGGAGAACGCAGTGGGCCGGGAGAGAAGCTCACCTTAGGGTGCGCATCCCACAGGGCACTGGGCACTAGACGCTGGGCACCTGCCCGCCGCCAGTGTGGCCCGTCCCCCCTGCTGGCAGCCGCAGGGCGAGGGGGCGGGCGGGCTCGGCAGCAGCGCGGTGCACCCGTCTCCGAGCCCTCAGGTGTGTGCGGACAAACCCCCGCGTGGAAAGGCACTCAGGCCCCCAGTCAGGCGGCAGGACTCAGCAGCTTAAGAACGGGGACGCTCTGGTGTGAGGGTATGCTGCGCTTACTGCAGTTGGCGAAATAGTCTGTTATAGGCATAATAAATCTTCAGTTAAAGGGAAATTACTAAAATGACAACATACAAAATATGCAGCAGGTGTAACGTGGCATTGCCCTGTGGTCCCAGATGAAGTCCTCAAGCCCGTGAGGTGGGCGGTGGGGGGAGGTCGGGAAGAGAACTGGGACAGAGGAGTGAAAGCACATTCAATGCCTCCTGGAAGGGCGAAGGAGGTTAAAGCCAAGTTCTTGGCTTTGATAATTAGGGAAATGTAGAGTCAGTGATGTTTTTTAAAAACCAAAAGGTAGTTTCTAGTAGAATTGAAGAGGTTTTATCTTTCCAAACCATTATAAAGGACAAAAACAAAATATATTATGAAAGACAATTCGGGATCTAGTGTGTCGCTAATAACATGAAAGTGAGACTCAGAAAACGACGCCGACGGCACTCCTAGAGCAGACCGTTCCCAGACTGTGCTAACAAAGCAGTCTGACCCTACACGGGCCGCAGAGCCCGGTTTTCTCCCCCATGCCCCCAGTAAAAACTGAGGGCACAGGAAGATTAAAAATAAACAATTTCCAGAAAACACAGTAAGAAAATTCCAGAATCACAATGTTAACATAAAAACAGTTGCAAAGCTAAGGCAATACATGATCAAAGCGATCACTTTATGTTGGTAAGATATAACGGTTTTGTAAAACTTGTGTTTCTGTCCTGGCCTGCTGAGTACTGCCCAGCTCTGTACGCACACGGGTGTCTCCGCCGGCATCCGTGACTGCGTGTCCCTGCGTCAGCGTTCGGAGGCTGGGGACTGGGTGGGTGCGGGCGGGCTCGTCGTCCCGCGAAGACCTCCAGTCGCCCTCTCCCCTCAGGTCTGCCTTTGCGGCGTGCGCTTGTCCTGGTCGGACCCCGGGCCTCGTTTGGGGGGTCTCTCAACCGCGCATCACTGAACACCGGGTTTCCACCCAGTGGGGTCCTCTGGTTTCCTTGGGGAGTCCGGCCTGCTTTACATTTACCTGTACTGTCTGTGATGACTGGTGTGTTCAGATATGTTTCTGTTAGGTTTTGTGCTTTCTGTTTGTCCCACTTCTTCTGTTTCCTTTATTTCCTCCTTTTTGATGCGGCCCCGCTTCTTCCCACCCAATTCTCTGTGCCCTCTGCGAGTCTGGGGCTACATACCCCTGGCTGTTCTTTTAGTGAACCCCCCGTTCTCATTTTAATTCGTACGCACAGGCGTGTAAGGCAAAGACTTCCGGAGACGAGAGGGATGAAACCCAGTTGGGTGTGAGCCGCCGCTGCCCACCCACGACGGGTCAGATGCGGCCAGCCGCGTCACGCGTCTGGACCGAAGGGCGCCGAGAGGGAGTGCCTGCGCGGGCTGTTGGCGCACGGCGCCCGCGCCTCCCTGTGGAGAGGGCCGCTGTGCGCTCTGTGAAGGGGGCACCGGGGGACGTGCCCACGGGGCCTTGTCCGAGTCCGACCGCATTCTAGACCAGCGCTGCGGGCGGCAGGGAAGGCGTCATCAGTACAGATGCTGGGAGGAGGAGTTCAGGAACTTCAAAGCAATTGAGAGTTTGTGTTTTTTATGTACTTTTTGGTTTCATTTTTCTGGTAATGGAGTGTGTGGCATCAAAGCACCGGCCTGCCGCGGGTCGGAAACTCCCGAAGCCGGTTCTGTGTCAGGGACGGTTGGAGCAGCAGCTGGGGCCCCGGGGAGCCTCAGGCGCGGGCCGGCTCCCGCACCCTGCCCTGCCCTGCCCTGCCCGGGGTGGGGGTGGCCTCTCCCCCCATGGGGTCTCTGTGGAAGGCGGGTGCAGGGCCCGGACTGTCTCCACCTCATGGGCAGGGCAGCAGCTGCCGTGGCGGGAGGCTCGCAGCCTGGCGCCTGGCGGCAGGGTGACCGGCAGCCGGGTGTGTCTGGGGCTGCCCGGTCTTCGGGGTGAGAGTGTGTGTCCCGGGGACTGTGGCTCCAATGCCGTAAACCGAGAAATGTCTTCAAAACAACCTCAGCAAGCCCTGCTCAGCCGCCGCAGAAACACACACAGGTGACCGCACGTCTGATCCCACGGTGCCTCCCGGCCGGCCGCGTGTGCGCCCGCCAGTCCTGGTTTCTAGGATGTGGGTGGGAGGGAGGGGCGGGTGTCAGTCCTGGCCTGGGGGTGCCGGGGTGGGGCGGCGGCAGGTAGGTGAGAGCTCCTGCAGGTAGGTGGCGCCTGCGAGCAGGTTCAGTCACAGAACCAGAAGCGCTTCGCCAGCGCCGGGAGGGGCTGGGCCGCACCCTCACCTGGGGGAGCCTGGGGGCAGAAATCGCAGCCTGTCCCCGAACAGCACTGGGCCCCGGCCTCCCGCGCCCCCTCTGCTGGCCTCCTCACCGCCCGGTGCTGCTGCCCACACCGCGCTCTGGCTCGGTGTCCCCGTGAGCCCACCGAGGGAGGGTGTGGGGGTGAAGGGCAAGGGGCCAGGGGAGTCTGGGGGCCGGGGGGGGCGGGCAGTTACCAGCATAAAGATGAGGGCATCATGGGTGGTAAATCCATGAGCTGGGTTTTTGAAAGTAAAATAGAATAAGTTAAACCACCCTCTGGCAAATCAGATAAAAAATAAACAAAATGCAGTGATAAAGGGAATGTGACAAAACATAAGAAATCAAGTTATATTCCAAGAAACAATAATAAATTTAAAAACATTGATGACACTTGATTTTTCAGGAAAAATTTATGCCAGTTGAAATCTTAAGATATTTTTCAAAAAAGCCCCAGAACATCCTGAAAAGACTGTGTAAAAAGGGCCTCCAAAGGGAGCGTGTCAAGGAACCGGCCGTTTCCGTGACGTGAGCGGCACGGCTGAAGCCAGGTGGAGGCGGACACTGCCTCAGCTCGTGCTCTGAGCTGCGGGGGGTGTAAAACCTCGCGAGCGGTCTGCGTCACCTCTGGCCGTGCGCCGTGCAAGTGGCGCTGAGTGTGCTCAGTGTTGGGAGACGGAGGTCCAGGACTTCCACGGTTCGCGTTTTAAAACCAGTACATTTATTCCGGAATTCAGCATTATCAGTAGATCCGGGCAGATAATTTCTTTAAATCCAGTAGTTGATGAAAGAAACTGTTTTAAAAGAATGCTAGCCTGGCTGGCGTGGCTCCGGGGACTGAGTGCCGGCCTGCGAGCCGAAAGGTCACCAGTGTGGGTTCAGTTCGCAGGCAGGGCACGCGCCTGGGTTGCGGGCCAGGTCCCCGGTTGGGGGCGCGCGCGAGAGGCAGCTGATTGATGTGTCTCTCCCACATCCATGTTTCTCTTCCTGTCTTTCTTCCTCCTTTCTCCTCTCTCTAAAAAAATAAAAAGTACTTTTAGAAAAAGAACTCCATCTGGAAAGTGGGAGGGATTAAAAGACCGTTCCATCCCCTGGACAAAGACGGGGTGCAGGCGGGTCGTCGGTGGATGGGGGGGGCGTCCGTGTGGGGAAGGAAGGGGTGGGCTCACCCAGGGACAGGGTCGGGCCTGGAAGTGTCGGGGTGGGGCTCGGGCGGGAGGGCCTCCTGCCCACGCCCTCGGCGCCCAGGGAGCCGGAGGAGGTGCTGGACAGGCAGCCGGTGTTAGAGTTGATGGCTGTCAGTTTTGCCAAGTGCCAGAAACTTATAAAAGTGAGTTTCTTGAGCACTCACAGTGGCTGGTGAGAAACTGTTCCTGGGAGCGGTCTCCTTTGCAGTAGAACACTTGAAAACAGAATGCCTGTCATACGAGGTCCCTGCAGGCGGCCCCGAGTGGGGGAGGGGTGTGGGGGGAAACCCGGGTGGTCCCCGCAGCGCACCCCGGCACGGAGGTGCTTGTTGTTCCCAGACTCTCGGTCGGTGCAGCTCCAGCAAACACCCCTGTGGAGTGTTCTGCAGGGCACCCGATGTCCCCGTTACACAGCTGTGAGGCCGAACCCCGGGGGTCGGTGGGGGGACGAAGGGGGCGGGGTCCCGGGGCAGATTCCCGCCCAGCGAGGGCGGGAAGGAGCTGCACACCTGGGAGAGACAGGAACTCTGCCTGACCTGTGAGCGCCACAGGCGGTCCATGCGCGTGGCTCCTGCGCGCGGGGGTCCGTGTGTGCACAGAGGCGGGGTCGCCGACCCCGGGACGGCCGAGGGCAGGGGCGCTGGGCAGCGTTGGCTCTGCCCCGCTCCTGGAGTGCCGTGGCCGCCCTGCTCCCGTCCTCCTGAGACTTTGCCGGGGGAGTCGGTGCAAGGAGAGGGCGTGTGGGCCGCCGCGGGCCCGGCCTGCCCGTGCCGCACCGGCAGGTCGGCCGGACAGCCCGTTTGGTGCTCTCCCTGCCGGGGGGCTGGTGTTCAAACAGCTCTACAGAGCTCTGTCATTGTGTGGGAAGTGCGCGTTGTAAAATGAAAAACAGACTGTGAAAACACAGTGACCGCGTTGAAGCCACTTTCGGCAGGCATTAAAAATCCACAGTAGGCACGAGACCAGCCGTCGAGGGGAGCCACAGGGTGAGCGCGGCTGGAGCGGCTGGAGCGGCGCGCCTCCTCCTGGCCTCCCCGGCCGGCCCCAGGCCCCAGGTCCCAGGCCCCAGGCGGGACGCGGGACTCGGGCCCTGGGGCGCTGCGTCTGACGCCCGCTGTCTCTCACTTTGCACTGCAGAACGTGGCCTCGGACCTGTCCAAACGCAGCCGCAGTGGGAAGTTCCGCCTGGTGACCAAGTTCAAGAAGGAGAAGAACAGCAGGAGCAGAGACGCCCACGGCAGCCTGGGAGCGCCGGGTACCCACCCTCCTCTCGGCGGCACACGCCGCCGCTCGCTGCTGGCCTCCATTTCCTCCCGGGGCCTCGCGGCCTGTGTGGGGTGCCTTGCTTTCTGGCTTGCTCTGGGCACCGGCTGTCGCCCGTCCCTGCGGCACATGTGTTTCCGGGGCAGACTGTAGGCGACCGGCCACCGAGCCCCTGCCTGCCCTGACTTGGGGGTGTAGGGGGGGACAGCAGAGGCGACGAGACGGAGACACGGAGCTCACGCTCAGGCCTGCGTCTTGGGGGGGCTGCTGACCGCCTTCCGCCCACTCACCGATCAACCCCCCCCCCCGCCCCACCTCTGGGAACCTGGGCCACCGCCATCGTGGGCGGTGGAGTCAGCAGGAAACGGCTCTGAAGGACGTTTCCTTGGTGTCAGTAAACTGGGACTTCAAATTTGCGTCTGGAGGGTTGGCCCTGAGGACGGCTGTCCCGGCGCCCTCCGTGCCGGTGGCCCAGCCTGGACTTGGCGGCGCTGGCGCCAGCCAGGGCAGCGCCCTTTGACTCTCCCCTGCTCGTGACCGTCCAGACGGGGGCGTCTGTCGGTGACGGTGGCTCTGAGTCCGTGAGGTCCGTGCACGCCCCCTCCCTGCTGCGCCCCAGCCGGGGCGGACCGCCCAGAGCAGCGGTGTTCGGCCGGCGCCGCGGGCGCGGGCGCACGGCGCACGTGTGCTGCCCGCTGTTGCGGAGGGCCGGGCGCTGGCCTTCCCCTCAGGGTGTCGGGCGTGAACGAGGCCCACCACTCTCATTTTCCCTCCGATCAGCTAACGGTACATGTTTCGAAGTGCCACAGAACTTGAGTGGTTCCTTCCCGTGGGCTGTGGGAGGGGAAGGGCGGGAAGTCGCTGCTCTGGACGGTGGGGCGGAGCCGGCTCGGGCTGCACAGCCAGACCCTCGCCTCCCTCGGCCCGGGGCCCCGCGCCCTCCAGGGGCACGGGCTGCCCGCTGCTGCCGCCGCCGCCGGGGCGTCTGGGTGCGGGTGTCGGGGTCTTCGGGCTGCCTGCTGCTGCTGCCGGGGCGTCTGGGTGTGGGTGTCGGGGTCTCCGGGCTGCCTGCTGCTGCTGCTGCTGGGGCATCCGGGTGCGGGTGTCGGGGTCTCTGGGCTGCCTGCTGCTGCTGCTGCTGGGGCGTCTGGGTGCATGGGTACTGAGATGTGGGATGTCCGGGCTGCCTGCTGCTGCTGCTGGGGCGTCTGGGTGCGGGTGTCGGGGTCTCCGGGCTGCCTGCTGCTGCTGCTGGGGCGTCTGGGTGCATGGGTACTGGGATGTGGGATGTCCGGGCTGCCTGCTGCTGCTGCTGGGGCGTCTGGGTGCGGGTGCTGGGGTCTCCGGGCTGCCTGCTGCTGCTGCTGCTGGGGCGTCTGGGTGCATGGGTACTGGGATGTGGGATGTCTGGGCTGCCTGCTGCTGCTGGGCACTGGGGCTCTCTGGGGTGCCGGCCACTGCCTGTCTGGTGCTGGGTGCTGGGGCTCACTGCGCTCCTGCTTCTCCGTCTCTGACAGTGCACCTCTGGGGGACAGAGGAGGTGGCTGCCTGGCTGGAGCACCTCAGTCTCTGTGAGTATAAGGACATCTTCACACGGCACGACATCCGGGGCTCTGAGCTCCTGCACCTGGAGCGGAGGGACCTCAAGGTACTTGCACAGCCGGGCCTCCCCGCGGCCCCCTCCCGGCCCCCTCCCTCCGATCTGGCCGTGTCTAGCACCAGGATTCCCTTCAGGGTTCGCGGCCAGGCCGAGCCAGAGCAGACACACGAGGGGGCGGGGGGCCTCGCTTTGCTCAGCGCAGGTGGACAGTGAGTGGGGTCACCGGAGAGCTCTGTGGTGAGGGATCTGTGGTCAGGGAGCTGGCACACGGGGTCCCTCTGTTGGTGACGTAGGTGGTTAGAGCCGGGGTGACCCGGTGGCTGCCGGGCACATGGCGGCCCCCCTGCGCAGTTCCACTCGCCCGTGTCCAGTGCCTGCAGCGCAGGCACCTCCCCTCGTCCAGCGGGAGGGGGGTGCTGGGGGGGAGCAGCAGCGCCGTGCCTGCCTCGGGCGGCAGGGTCGTTGGGCCTGTCCCGGGCGCTGGCGCTTAGGGGGCTGGTGGCACTTACCACTGGCCTGTGTGTGGTTTCTCTGTTGTGGGCTGTCCCCTTGGTGGTGTCAGTGACGGGACCACAGGAGGGGGTGTCTGCATGCTTGTCACTTCTCCCATCGTTGCTTCCACTGGCGTCAGCGTCACGCCCCCGCTGGTGTGCAGAGTCCTGGGTGGTCTGCGGCCGGTGGCCCGGCCCTGCGCGGCGTCAGGGGGCTCTGCTCTCGTTGCAGGACCTCGGCGTGACCAAGGTTGGCCACGTGAAGAGGATCCTGTGTGGCATCAAGGAGCTGAGCCGCGGCCCCCCAGCCTCCGAGGCCTAGCCTCCGCCCTCTCCGCCTGCGTCTTCCACGCGTGCCACTGAGGGCGTGAGCGTGCGGCCCGGGACCCTTCTCATGGTGCTACTTCTCTGCCCCGTGCTCAGGATGGGGAGCCTCTCGGCCCCCGCCCGGGCAGCTCCGGGGCCTGGGACTCACCAACACAGCTACCTTCGGACTCGCAGCTCCCCACCCGGCGGCGTGCGGGCGGCCGTGCCTCCCCGCACCAGGCGTCCGGGCAGGAGCGGCCCGGCCGGGCTGGCGCCGCTGTCCCCTGGACTCCCGACTGTGTGCCCTGCCATGGCGTGGCGTGTGGCCCTGTGTTCTGGCCGGCTCTCTGAGGGGTTGGTGCCCAGACCACACCGTCCCTCCCCGGGCAGTTAGGAGCCCCCTGGCCACTCGTGGTTCTCCACAGCAGCCCCACGTGGCGCCATGGCTGTGCCGCCAGCCCTGCCCGTTTCAGTCTGATGGGGGGTGGGGGGGACCCGCTCCTCCTGCGGCCGGTGAAGCGGCAGCCGGGCTCCTGGGCTGGCGTGTGCCGCCCGCGTGTCCTTCCGGAGCGGCCGGCGTGGGGACACTGTGCCCCCGAGTGCTGCCAGCCTCCCTGGGACAGTGGCCGTGTCTGTGCTGGGCCAGGACTCCTGTGGAGACAAGGGTGTCCGTCCTGCTGGGCCACAAGCTGCCGTCCCAGCAGAGTGGCCGTGAGTGGGCAGCCTGGGCCGGCCTGAGAGCCCGGGTCCCTGGAGGTGTCCGCACGCCTCTTGCCGAGTTGTCCCTGCCTTTGGCTGTGCCCCTCGCTGCCCTTCCAGAGTCCGCCGTGCCTACAGGGCTCCTGTCCGCCCTGGAGGGGGCGTCCTGGGACCCCACGCCAGCCCCCGGGTGAACCCCGGAGGGGAGGGCTGACCGAGCGAGGGGCTGGGCAGGAAGCCTCGGAGCGCTGTGCGGTCACCGTGGGGCCTGCCGGGGACTTAGAGCTGAGCGGCATTGACCTGCCACTAGCTTTGCAGGTGCCCCGCCGTCAGCTCCTCTGCCCAGTGCGCCCCGGCGGGTCCCCTCCTTGGGCCTGGCCGGGCGCCCACCTGCGGTCCGCGGGCGCTTCCACTCGTGGTACCCCCGGGTGGCCGCGTGTGGCGCGGCGGCGTCAGGGCTTGTGGGGGGAGCCCCGCACTGCACCCGTGCCCTCGGCTGCCTGCTGGAGGGGAGCCGCGGCAGCTGGGTGTGGCCGTCCTTGCCTGGGACGCCCCCCCACAGCGGAGCTGTCTGAGGCGGGAGGTGGAGAGAGAGTCTGGCCCCGGCTTCCAGGGAGAAGCCGGCTTCACAGGAGAGACCCCAGGGTCCCAGAGGGAGGCTGCCCTGTTCGAGGTGGGGCGCTTGGGCCCTGAGGTCCCGGGGCCCCCGGACGGGACAGGACGGGACAGGCTGCAGCTCCGTGAGCAGGTGCAGGGGAGCTGCCCCGGGGCCCGTGGATGAGGCCGAAGTCTGGGTCCAGCGCGGCGTTTGACAGCAACCTGCTGTCCGTGACTGAAGCAGCCGTTTGCGCGAAAGCCGCTCTCTGACTCCTGTGCGTCAGGAACAGGAGGGACGGACGTGACTTGCGAGGACGTGCACTGGCGGGGGGCCAGGGCTGCTCCTGCGCCCGCCCCGGCACCCCTGCTGTGTCCCGGGGGCACCTCAGGGACCTGTCGGCGTGGGGGGGGGATCCCCGGAGTCTTGGACAAAGGTTTGTACCCTCGGGTGGGGCTCACCCTCGTATTTATGACCCTAATTTATGCCTTGCCCCCCGTGGAAGCAAATGCCCCCCGAGTGGCCGCGTGCGGAGTGCGCCCGGGGCCGCGCGGAAGTCGTTGCGCGTGTAAATAAAATGGGCCCGCGCCGGGTCCCCTGCTGTCGGGCTCCTGTCCTCACTCGCCGCTCCGTCCTCCCAGACTGGACTCAGCATGGGTTTCCCGGCTGCTCTGAAAACATGTCGAGCTGGTGGTGGCTGAGGAGCAGCAGGGGAGGCAGGGTTCGGGGCGTGGGTCCCAGGATCTGCCAGGCGGAAACGCAGCAGGGCGGGGGCAGGGGGGCCCTGGGGCGCGTGGAGCTCCCCCGCGTCAGCCCCAGGCAGCCCCGGCCCAGCTGCTGGCCGAGGCCAGGCCGTTTTAGCCAGCGTTCTAACTGAAGTCTGTGTGAAACTGTGGACTGGCGGCCCTTCTCTCTGTTTACTCGCAGTACCTTTATTCCAAGGCCACTTTAACTGTCACCCCCGTTCCTTGGGGTGAGGGGTGTGGACTGGGGCCGTGGGACCAAGAAGCAGACTGGCAGGGTGCGGGAGGGCTCTGTGTGTGGAGGTGGCCTCCCAGCGGCTCTACGTCCCCTTTCTTGCTTAGCGGAGCCCACCTTCATCCTGGTGTGCACCCTCCTCCCGCGTGGCCACCCAGGAATGGGCCTCATGGTTACCCGATGGCTGCCACCAATCCGGGCATCACATTCATACTTCACCATGCCCAGTATAAGGTGTGTGTGAGCAGGTGGTTGTCTTTTATGTGTGTGTGTGTTTTTTAATCCTTGCCTGAGGACATGCTTACTGATTTTAGGGAGGGAAGCGGGGAGAGAGCGAGGAGAAACATCCATCAGTTCTTGTACGGGCCCCGACCCAGGACCAAGCTCCCCACCTTTGTTTACAGGACGGCACTCCAGCCAAAGGAACCTGCCAGAAGCCCTGGCCTTTGCGGATGGACCTCCCCGCACGTCTCAGTGTCTAGAATCGGGTCACACACCCGTGACCGAGTCCCTGCGGAGGGAAGGGCCTTGCTGACAGTGGCCGACGGGGGTGCTGGTGACAAGCACGTTCATAAGGTTGTGTTCGTGCACTGGCCCCCCGCCCCCCCAGGTGGGCGTCTGCACCTTGCAGGCGAGGGCACGGTGCAGAGGCTCTCCACCCGCCCCCAGTCATGCCGTCAGCGCGTGCGGGGGTCGGGTCATGGGGCAGCTGGGCACCTGCGTCGTGCCTTGAGTGCTGTGACCCCAGCCTGTCACCAAGCCCAGGCCACACGACAGGCAGGGCGGCAGGAGCCCGGGAGGGCGGTGTGGGCTCGGGCAGCCCCCGGCCTGCACTCCTGCGGGGGGGGGGGCAGCTGCCAGCCCTGGGGGGCAGGGTGCACGTGTGGGGTGGTCGCAGGGGTAACGGGGCCGTTCCCCGCGGAGAACCCCTCCGCCCCAGACACAGGTAGGTGCTCCGAGCACTTCCCGCTGGGTCTGGTCTGGCGGCGTGGGTGGCCGTGACCTGGGGCAGGCGGGGCTGCTTGAACCGGGAGACCCCAGTGTCGCAGCTCCGACAGAAGAGGAAGAGGAGGCTGGGAAGTGCCACCCGGCCCCGAGGGAGGAAGGGACAGCCAGGGGCCGTCCCTGCTGCAGTCCCTCGGGGGCTTAAAGTCCCCTTAGGGGGAAATAGTAGGTTGGCCAAAAAGTTTGTTCCTTTTTTTCCCGTAAAATAAAGACACTTTCACCTTCACCAGTGACTTGATTCGGGTGTTCTGAGTACGTCAGCTGTCTCCACCATTGGCTTCTAGTAGGTGGAGGCCGGGGGGCTATCAATGCCTTCCGACGCGTGAGCCAGCCGCACGGCACGGCGCTGTCTGGCCGCAATGTCAGTGGTACCAAGAAGCTTCCAGAACCACTTTTGACAGTCACAGCACCTTCTCCATACACTGCACAAATCTCTTTTTGCGTTTCAGTTGCCTTTTTACCTTTCTTGGAATAATAAACATGCTGAAAACGTTGATTATTTTCTTCCATCTGCAATATTAAAATGGCTACACAAAAACTGACTTTTAATGCATGCCGATATGACAGCCGTCACAATGCAATGTAACCAAGTTGTTTCAAAGAACATTAAAGACAACAAGCACTACTGAGCAGGAGGCAGCGGAGGAAGAACTCTGGGGCTGCCTGCTGTTCCTGGCCCGCATCCAGCATCCTGGTTGCCAGGAGACACGTCTGACCACTTAGGCAGAATGAAGAGCGAGCTGAGGCAGGGGGAGGAGGGAGACCTGTCTCACCCACTGACTCAGGAGTCCTGGTGTTGACGGGAGAGACCTGGTTCTTCCTGCCGACGCATGTAAAGGATTACATATCAGCAAACCTAGTATGTAATCAGTTTATTAGTGGTCCGCTTCCACGGAAGAGAACAGGACTGGGTAGAGTAGGGGGTGGAAGGCAAAGTTTCAGAGCAAAGCAGGATGAAAAAAACGAGCCGCTGGAGACCAGCGTGGCAAGCCCCTGGGCAGCCTGAGGCCGGGTGGCCAGAGGCCCTGGCCCTGTGGCCCGAGAGCTAAGAGCCCCCTGAGTCCCTGAGAGTGAGAGAGCGAGAGTCCTTTATTCTCAGGACTTACATAGTTGATGGGATAGGAGGGAAAAAAGTTACATATTGATTAACAGGTAAATGTGGCGCCAGCTTTCCTGGGAGGATGTGACTACCCAAACTCAGGTATGTGTGGGGGTCTGTTAGCCCAAATTCTTATCTTGCTCCAGACCCCATTTGGTCATTTTGTTGTAAAACAAATATCTGACAGTTAATTAAAGTTGGGGCACTTTCCCAAGTTACTTACGGGCTCTTTCTGTGAGCATCAGGGACTCCCTCGTAAAACAGTGACCAGAGGTAGGCAGTTAACCAAAGTTGTTTCATGGGCTCTTTCTTTGGGCCCCGGGACCCTCTCCCACATTCAGGCCTTGGGATGAAAGCACAGTTTCAAGGCTTTCTTTCCCAGACAGTGGAAATGTTACATAGAATTTCAAGGACTTCCCTTCTTCCCTGCTAACATAGTGTTTCTTGTGATGCTGGAACACCTGGAAATATTATCAGACCAGGCTCAGGACTGCTGAGTTAGCGTGTGAGACTTGTCTCCTTCCTCCTCCCTGCCTCGGTTTACTATTTATTCTACGTAATTGGTAAAAGGCGTTTCCTGGCAACCAGGGTGCTAAATGCTGCCGGCCAGTGACAGTGTTGCAGTCTGAGTTCTTCCTATGCTGTCTCCTGCTTCACTGGGACTGGTCCGACAATACTGCCAGGTGTCCCGACCTCCCAGCATGCACCATGGTAGCGCGGGAGGGGGCAGTCCTTGAAGTTCTATGTAGCGTTTCCACTGTCTGGGAAAGAAAGCCTTGAAGCTGTGCTTTCACTGCAAGGCCTGGAATGCGGGAGGGTCCACAGCGCCCAAAGGAAGAGCCCATAAAACGACTTTGGTGAATTGCCTACCTCTGGTCACTATCTGTTTTACAAGGGAGTCCCTAATGCTTACAAAAGGAGCCCATAAATAACTGGGAAAGTGCCCCAACTTTGACTGCCTCCTGTACCTGTTTTACAAGATGAACAAAGGGATCTGGAGCAAGACCAGGATTCGGGCTAACAGACCCCCACACACCTAAGTTTACGTAGTCACATTCCCCCAGGAGAGTGGGTACCACATTTACCTGTTAGTCAATATGGAGCTTTTTCCTCCTGTCCCACCAACCGTGTACGTCCTCCGAGCAAAGGATTTGCATGCGCGCTCACTTGTGCTCGAGCTCCCTCCCCCCCGCCGCCTCCAGACCTGGTGGTCTGCAGCCACTCCTTTGCCGCCCCGCTTTGCCCTGAAACTGCCTTCCAGCCAGGCCCCGCCCCTCTAGCCAGGCCCGTTCTCTTACATGGGAACGGACCCCTAGTAAACGGACTACACGCCAACAGATCTGCTGGTGTGGAATTCTTCACACACATCGAGAACCAGGTCTCTCGCGTGAGCAGGTTTGGTGCCGACACCCGGGACCCTGACTTGGACCCCCGCCTCTGTCTCCAGCCGGGTGGGGCGCGGTGAGCGCGGTCTGTCTCACCAGCAAGGCTGTCCTGCCTTTCTCCCCTGCGGGGTGCAGAAGCCGCGCGGTGCGGGTGGGGCACCCCGACCTGCTAGGCCTGGTTCGGGGGTGGAGACGAGGGGCTCTGAAATGGTGCTCCGGCTCTGCCCGGCTCGGAAGACGAAAGACGTACTTCTTCCCTCCGACCCGAGTCCTCGGGCGTCTCTGTGGGCGTGGGGCCCTTGCGGAGGCGTCGGGTGAGTCCTTAAGTTAGACGTGCAGGGGCCTCGAGGGGCCCTCCCCCATCACGGTAACGTGACTACGGCTGGTCCCGGGACGTGCAAAATAAGGGCCGGCCACCCGGCACTCCGAGCCCCCCACCCCCACCCCCCGGCTGTCCCGGACGGGAGGAGCCGAGACCCGCGGGAGGTGGGGACGACCACAGGGGTGACAGTGGCCTTCGGGAGCCCGGCCCCTGAACAGCACTCCGACCCCCTACTCGAATCCCTTAGCCGCTTCTGCCTCCAAACCCGGACGGGAGAAAAAGCCAGTTTGAATCCCTGGGCTGTGATGAGCTTCCAGCATCTCCCTCCGCGCAGGGTGGCTCCTAGCAACTCCATTTGCATCCGCATGCCCCCGGCAGGAGCTGTAGGAGGGGCAAGGATACCTCTGCTGGGCAAAGTGTCTCGCTTTCCTTAAAGAAGTCCCCGCCTCCTGCGGGCACGGGTCGAGCATCTATTTAAAAGCTGCAAGGGCGCTCGCCGCAACAAAGACTCCCGTGAGAGAAAAGCTGGGACGTGGGCCGGGACCGAAGGCCAGGCCTCCCGCCGCCGCAAGCAGAGGCCCAGCAACGGGAGGCGCGCTGTGAAGCATCCACAGCCCCACCCTCGCGGCGCTTTCCCCGCTTAGGTGTGGTCTCCGAGAGGGGAAAGCCAGATCGTAGCCTGTAGGAGGACGTCCTGGCTTTCCCAGGCCCTGTTCTCCTAACAAGGCCTTTTTGTTCAAATGTGCCTGGTTCCCGAGTCGTTTTCTCCTTTCTCTGGCCACTCCCACGCCTATCTGCTTTACGAAGTAACCGCTGTGCCGTTTTCCCGCCGAGCAGCCCTCTCCTCCCTAAAACCGTGCCTTGGATCGCTGTTGCCCAGCAGGCGGCGCTGCTGTTCCGACCTGCCTAACCCGAGCCCTGCGTTCCGTTTCAGCTTCACGCCGCCGGGCTGGGCCCCCGGTGTGCTCGCGTGCTCGCGGAGGGAAAACCTCGCCCCCTCCTGGACTGTAGGACTGACTCAGGAGGAAGTACGTCCTTGGAACACTGTAAACTTCCAGACCCAGGAGCGGCTAGGCGCTGAGAACAATGGGGTAGTTAATTTGTTACTCCACTGCGTCTCCAGTGCTGTGGGAAAAGTGACACTTTTTGAAAAGAGTTAATTTACGTATTTTTAGAGAGGGAAAAGGAAGGAGAGAGGGAGACATCAGTGCGTGGTCGCCTCTGATGCGCCCCCTGCTGGGCGCCCGGCCTGCAATTGAACTCAAGTGGTTTTTTCTGCAGCGCTGGAGGCCTGAGCCGGACGTCTCTGCTGCTGTTTTCCAGTCTCCGCCCGGAGCAGGGCGGGGGGCGGGGCACCCTGAGGGCAGTCCCGCCGCTGGCACCGCAGCACTCGGGGGTTCCGAGGTGCTGCGCGGCAGCTTTCCCCCAGTCTAGACCTAGACCGGCCGTTTTCCGGCCGAGCTGCCGCCCGCGGCCAGAGCCTGAGATCCCAGCCCACTTCCCAGCTCGCTCCCCAGCCGCAGGTGTTTTCACAGAGGCCTGCTTGCCTCTCCTCCTCCGGCAGCTTCTGTGTTTTACGCTCAGCAGATCCCGAGGTGGGAGCGTTATTTCGCCAGAGTAGAGACCTCTCGAACGGGACGAAACAGCACTGTGACAGCCTCCAGCCCTCGCGGGGAACACAGAGTGACGAGTGCCGTTTTCTCCCCCGGCTCCTCGCTGGGAAGAGCCAGACTTGTAACGGCCTTGAGATCTGCAGAAAGGGCCCAGTGCGGTCAGAGCTGCCGGCTCCACCGGCAGTGAAGGGGGTACAGACAGCCCGTGGCAAGCTTAGCTCCTGGTCTCGCGCTGGCCAGCGCATCGTGCCTCGCGTCGCCAGAGACGCCCGGAAGCTTCGCGGTGGGAAAAACGGGACGCCCTACCTACGTCACCCTGGTCGGCTCCTGGAGCAGCGACAGGGGACGCCCCTCCAGGCCCAGGAGTTCTAGTCTTTGACTTCCTCCCCAGGGTGCACCGCGGGCCGAATGGGAAGTACACCCTCTGTGCCCCCAGGACCCCCGCTGGGGTGCACACTTAGAGACTGGGACGAGTTTGACCCTGAGTGTCTCAGGAAAAGGAGACCGATTCTCTTGTGTGACACGGCTTGGCCTCAGTACCAGTTGGGAGCGAGGGAGACGCGGCCCCAGAACGGGAGGAGCAGTTACAGCGCCTGCTCCAAACACGCGTCTGTCGGAGGCCAGGCAAGGGGTGGGAGCTTCCCTGCGCACAGGCTGTTCCTGTGCTGCCTCGCGCTCCCTCTCTGTTCCAGGTCGGAGGGAACATCTACCCCGGGGTCCCCCGATGGCATTCTAGACGACCCCCTTTGAGGTTCCACCCCATCTCAGAGGGGAACAAGGGAGGCCCTCCCACCTGTCTGGGGAGGGCGGCTTCCTCGCCCGTCTCCCAGGGGGAACCTAGCAGGCCTCAGATCACCGAGACCTCAGCCCCCGACTCGCCCACACACCCAAGTGACCGGAGGAGAAGCCCAGCCCCGCGGGGCGCACCGGGAGCGCAGCCTCACGGCTCCCTGCGCCGTCGCCCCCTGCCGGAGAGGAGTGGCGGGTGCAGGAGGCCCCGCCCGGGCACACGCATGCGCCTGTCCCGACAGCTGGGCTGCAGCAGTGCAAGGAAAGGCTGGGAAGCTTTTCTGAGGACCCCTCGCGCTTCACCGGTAACTTCCACATCTTGACCCTCGCCTTCGATGTGGCCTTTACGTAGTTCTAATACGTGTTGCTTTCCAGAAGAGAAGCAGCTAATTTGGGGAGGGGCCCGCAAACACGCAGATCAGCTGCGCACTGCAGACGCCGGCATGCGAGGCGGGCGGCCGAGGCGGCCCCAGATCGCGGGCCCGGCCGGCCGGGACTCACACACCGGCCGGGAAGGAGGGAGCGGAAGTAAATCCGCCGTGGCACAGCGCTCACTGGCGGGAATGGGGCCTGGAATGTGTCAATTCACCCAGCGAATCGGGATGAGGGTGAGGAGCCAGCACAGGAAGGGAAGAGAAGCCTGCGCGCGCCCACGACGGGCAGGTGAGGCCGTTCAGAGCCGCGCCGACGCAGACCCGTCGTCTCCGGAGGAGACGCTCACCTGTTAATAGGGCAACACTCGATCACCACTCTGCTTTAAGTGGTGTTGATACTTTATTGCCACTTTAACACGCTGTCTTACCGATATACCCGATATACCCGTAAGAAGGGGCGGAAATTACAAACGGGGCCCAAACCCCTTTGGCACAGCTGATGGATGTTGCCTTCTCGGTCGGCATCGAACAAGACTTAGAGGCGAGGCAGGCCAGGCTCCTCGCACTGGCTCTCAGAGGCAGCACTGGCCGCGGCCAGCCACCGCATGGTCACCTGGGAGAGCCACAAAGGTGTGGAGGGCACAAGCATCCAACATGTTTCAGGTGCAAATGCCCTGGATACCGGGCAAAAGAGTGCACGAAGCCACCCTCAGGGCCCCGTCCCAAGAAGGGGGACCACCCCGTTCCCAGAGCAGAGAGGGGTCATCTCCAGTGGCCACGGCAGCGGACAAGCAGGGGGGCCCCAGCCACACCGGCGTCTCGGTCTCTGCCGAAGAACCCGGGTGACTCTTAAGGTGGCAGGTAAGAAAACTGATTTTCCTGTTGATACTGGGGCCACTTTGTCCACTCGTACGCTGGGAAGTCCTTGGAATTCTACGTAGTGTTTCCACTGTCTGGGAAACAGCCTTTGAAACTGCTTTCACCCCAGGGCCTGGAATGCGGGAGGGCCCACGGCGCCCAAAGTAGGCTGTCAGTAGCTGGGGGACGTGCCCCAACTTTGATTGTCTCCTGTCACACCCCTGCTTTACAAGGAACAAGGGGATCTGGAGCAAGATCAGGATTCGGGCTAACGGACCCCCCCACACACCTGAGTTTATGTAGTCACGTCCCCCCAGGGGGACGGGCACCACGTTTACCCGTTAATATGTCCCACCAACTGTGTCAGCTCTCAGAACAAAGGACTCGCTCTCTCTCGGGGGTTCGGGGTGCTCTTGGCTCTCCGGCCACCCTGCTCTCCCCGAGCCGCCCTGGGAGTGGGCCGGCCGAGGGTGGTGTGGGTGGGTTTGCAGAACAAAAGGGGCTTCAGGAGGCCCCTTCTGAAGATAATACCCAGACCTGCATGACTGGGCATGTTGCTGCTTTTGTTCATTATAGACTTTTCTGCATTAATTCCGATTTCTAAAAGTGTACTGAAAAATGACCTAGCTCCCTTACTGAGTTTCTGGGTGCCTTTAGATTGTGCGCCCAAGGCCTCACATTACCCCAGTGCTGGCCCTGCGCTTTGTGATCTAACTCTGAGTGCGGGAACCTCAGACTCTCGCTTGGCTCCTGTGGGAGCTGCTGCTTGCTGCCTGTGAACATCAGCTCTCGTCTTTCCCTCCTGCGGCACTGGTGGGGGCGGTGCCCATGCCCACACACGCCCCTGCAGACGCCACCGTGTTCTCCAGTCTCCTCTGCAGTGTCAGTGATGTGACTTGCTTTTGGGCAACAAGATGCAAGTGTTAGCTGAGATTTCCAGAATGTTCCCTTAGAAGTATGGGAGCATGCCTTCCTGTCTTCTGCTGCTGCCCTGGAGGGTAGACATGATGGCTGGGCCTCCAGCAGCCATCTTGGGCCATGGGGTGTCCTTGAGGTTGGAAGTGTAAGGATGGCAGACAGAGAAGCCACCGCTTTTGGATGTCTCCATGGCCTGCCTCCACAGAGCCCTGGATTTCCCCTACATGTTTAGTCTTCTGTCCCACAGCTGAGCCTAACCCCTGCTGTGACAGTCGTCCTCTCTCCCGATGGAGGAACTAGGCAGTGAGCTTGTATGGGAAAGCAGAAGCATACAGAGATGTGAGTCACACCTGTTCCGAGGGGCGAGGCCAGAGAGGCCAGAGGCCAGGGACCGCTGCCAGAGACGAGTGCACTGACGCAGAGAGAGCTGAGCAGACCGGGGCAAAGCTGGGCAGGTGGTCGCGGTGCAGCAGCCTCTGTGGAGGCACGGTCTGAGCGCCGAGGTGGGCGGCACAGGCGAGCTGCCCGGGCCGGGGCGGCAGCTCTGACCGCCCAGCCCGGCTGGGGCACTGGCCTCAGGACGGGTGTCTGCACCAGGCAGGAGCCGTGGCACCACCTTTACGGTTTCGATCGTAGAAGTGCGAATAGGCTGTGGACCCATGGGTGACGAGTGGCCGGCCGGGCGGGGAAGGCTCTCCACCTCGCGCTGTCGGCAGGGGCACATCCAGTGCTGAGTCTCCTGAGCTCGGGAGGAAACCAAGGGGGCAGCCGTCCCCGAGCTGGTGAACCACTGGAGCCTGTGCTCACTCGGCCCCAAGCAGGTCGGTCCCCGGGCCTCTGGGACAAGCGTGTCAGCTGTGCCCACAGGGCAGTGGGTGTGGGAGACGCCCCGGAGCAGGACAGGGCGGCCGACGGAGGGCACTGGTGTGACCAGGCCGCTGCTGGGGCTCGTGGCCGCTGAGTTCGCGTCTCTCCCCTTTCCCAGGGGCGAGGGTTCCCTGCGGCCGTCCCCACCCCCGCTGCGCTGGTTCCGGGCCAGCTGTGCGCTTGCCCCTTGGCCACAGGCTGCACCTCGAGGCGGTGGCGCATCCCCCAGGACCCGGGCGGCCGGTGGAGGAGCTGTGTTACGGGGATTCCTGTCCCCCCCCAACCCCCCCCAGGACAGCGTCGCTGTGGAGTCTCAGTGACCCGTGCAGTGCCGCCCGAGCTTGGCCGGTTTCTCCCGGCCCGGGTGCCCCCAGGAGTCCGAGCTTCCTCAGAACCAGCCCTGCGCCTGCTGTTTCTGAAGCGGTGCCGATCCAGCTTCGGGATGGAACCCGTGTGTACTGAGGCGCTGACGTGCGCTCGGGACCAAGCCCAGGCGGGACATGGATCAGCGGGCCGACCAGACGGGCCGCCTGGAGATCGGTTTATTTCCTCTCTGACGGGCCGGCCGGCCCTCCCTGTTGCCCCTGCCCCCCGTTGAGTTAACAAGGGGCAGAGGGAGCAAGCTTGGCCGCACAGGCCACCCGGAGGCCGTGGGCCCGGGGCCCGCTGCGGACACCGAGGCCCCAGCCGGGCTCGCCCTGCGTCAGCGCAGGTGAGCGCAGGGCCTGAGGCCCGCCGACCTCCGGCAGGTGCTCCGCGGAGGTGGGGTTTCTAGTGGGCTGGTGGCTGGGGAGGGCACAGGCGGCATAAGCAGGCCCGCTGCGCCCAGGGCCCCGCCCCACGGGAAAGCCACGGGGGTGCAGCAGGGACTTCCTCCCGGCCGCTGAGGCCGGGCCCCGTCTGCCCACGTCTCCTGTCCGTCCCGCAGCATGGGCGTGCCGGCGACGCCAGCGAGAAGGGGCCCGGAGGAACCCGTGTGACGCCGCAGCCGTGCAGAGCCTGGCTGGGGGTGAAAAGTGAAGGGTTCACTGTTTTAGGAATCCCTCTCTGGACCACGTTTAAGGGCCTCATCCGAGTGTCCCACGTCCACTGCTTCAGCAACAGAGACACTGTGTTTGTCACAGATACTGGTTAACCCTTTGAAATCCGACGGTTAGCCACCCCTGCAGAATGAGGAGGAAAAGCATCTTTGTTTACATCTCCCTTTTCTGTTTTAATCACAGCTTCTCAGGGCTGGCAGCTCAGCGCCCACGCCCTGTGGGTCCTGGGCTGCCTCCCGGCTGGGCTTCCCACGGCGGCTGCGGGAGCGTTCTGACCACAGGCCTTGGGGGCGCCGTGCGCTGTGTGGGGGCCAGGACACCAGGACACAGCTGAGCCGGGCCGTGCGCACCGCAGCGCAGACTGCACGGAGGTCAGCACGCGCCGTGTCATCCAGGCTGCCTGCGGCTGGTGCCGGACTCGGGCCTGTGCTCACAGCAGTGGCGGCTGGGGTCAAGTGTGGTGTGGGGACAGCATCTGACCGGCCCCTGCGACACGCCTCGGTCTGCGGGAGCCCCCCACGGGCGGATGTGCTGTGTAGCGCAGGGATAAAGTGAGCTTGCCTGGCCTGAGGCCGTCCCTGGGACGGTGACGACGCAGTTGTCACTTGGCGTCTGTGCGCTGGCGGAGCCGACGAGCGGGGGCTCCGCCCTGCGCCCCCTGCCGGCCGGCTGGGGCGCCGCGGCTCCGGTGCCAGCTCTGACTGGGTGCGGTGCCCGTGGCGCATCTGTGGGGCCGGTGCTATCTGAAACTCCCGACGCGGATGGAGAGAGAAGCTTCCGGTCTGTGGGGCTGGCCGGGCGTCTCTGCGCTGGAGAAAACGTCGCCACTCCGCACACGAAGGGCTTCCTGGCTGCGGGAGACAGAGCCGTCACCCCCTCCCAGTCACGGACACAGGGTCGCCAGGTCAGGAGACGGAAGTGGGGGGCGGGCAAGGAGGACACGGTGCCCTGGTGTGGCCCGTGAGGGTGATGCTGTGGACCGCGTGGGGGGAGCGGGTCTGGGCACTCGGGGATGGGAGCGAGGGTTTCGGAGCACGCTCCGGAGAGCCGGAGGCCCGGGGAGCAGGCCGACTGTGCGGCAGAGGCCGGAGCGAGTCTCCCCGGTGCGAGGGGCGAGGGGCGAGGGGCCCGGGTGGTGTGTGCGGAGGGGCTGGGGGCAGGGTCCACTCTGGAAGACGGTGGCGGGGTAGGAGCGAGGAGTGTCTGAGCCTCCTGCAGGCGGGGGAGGCGGCCCGGGGTGCCGCGCGTGGGAATGGGGCTGCTTCTGCTTCCGGGCGACTGAGGCCTGTGTCTGAAGGACAGACCCAGAAAGTGCGTCTCCGACCAGGAGAGTCTGCACTTCGGAGGGGGAGGAAGACTGCGGCGGAGAGAGGTGCCCAGGGCAGAACGAGGCCCTCGGGCCCGGGTCACGAGCTACTGGACGCAAACCCCACTGCTCCTCCCGGCGAGCGGCCCTGCGGCGGGCGCCCAGCCAGGCCGTGGCCCCGAGGGGCAGCTGTGGCGGCAGGAACCCCGTTACCTCGCCCCTGTCCCCAGAGCGAGCTGCTGCGTCCGGTTCCCTCTTCCAGCGTCGTCTCTGGCGGTTCCGAAGTCGTCGTCATCTTCAACCAGGAGATTCTACATTTCAAAGTGAGGAATGCTCAGACGTCTTTTTAGCCTGTGTCTACTAAGAGTGTGTAAGTTCATGTGAAGATTTAGGTGCCTGATGTAAGAAATCGCCTAAACCAGCATAAGGAGACATCCATGTTCACACAAACTGGATTAACAGCGGAGAGACACCCCCCCCCCCACCCCGGTGTCTGGAGACAGCGGAGCGAGGGGCAGGCAGAGCAGAAGGGACCTCGCAGTCACCTGGCCCTGCCTGTGGCTGCCGGTGCCCCCGCTGGGCGGGGCCCCAAAGCGTCCGCGGGGCAAGGACGGGGCGCGGCTCTCCTGTGGTTTCCTCCTGTCTGTGGGGTCTGTCGGGGTTCTCTGTCTGCCCCGAAGCCACAGTCCCCTGACCCTTTGCAGGCCGGACACCCTGACTAGGCTCTGGAGCCCACGGCTCTCCCCCGCCCCCCGGGCTCTGGAGCCCGCGGCTCTCCCACGCGAGCCTCCCCCTGAGAACAGGAGCAGCCCCCCCCCCGCCCCCCCGCAGCTCAGCTGCCGCCAGTGCCCCTCACGTCCCCGGGAGGTCCGGGAAGGCTTCATGTCGGGTGCAGCCCCAGTCCCTTGTGATGTCGTGAACCCTGATCTTGTAAGCCTTTGAGTCTTAATACCTCTAACGGGTTACCTGCAGTCTCTTCAATCTCCTTCCTACCATGTGAAAAAACCAGGTTTATATTTTCCTTTCAGAATTTCTCTTAACTGTCTTTCAATTGTTTATTTACTTTTCTTTCTGGGGGGAGGAGGGTCATATTATGTCGGTCACTCTCCAGCCCAATGCTGACTAGGAGTGATCGAGAGAATCCTCACCCCTTACTAGAAAAACATCAATTACTAAATCAGGAATTACATTAAGTCAGTAACTTGTTATCAGTAGGTTAACAGTTAATTTAAGGATTAAAATTCCATATTTACCTTAATATAAAAATATTGCTACACGACAGCAAGCCCGGTCTGTCCGTGGGGCGTGAGGACACGGTTACCTGGCGGGGCCACACTGCCCAATTCCAGGAGAAAAGCCACCTGGCTGACCCCGCAGGGGCGGAAAACGCCAGAGTAAACTTTAGCATCACGGACCCGGAACTCACGCGCGAGTCAGAAAGGAACTCGGCGCGAACCAGAAAGGGAAGGGACCGTGTTCCCCTGACGCGGGCACCCCCGCGGCCCCACGGCGCCGAGGCTCCGTGGATGCGCCGTCCGAGTCAGACTCCACACCACGGCTGTGGCGTCGAGGTCTTACTGGCCCCCGCAACGCCCTGTCCGGCTCTCCCCTGTCCCTCTGAGGCCGTCTGTGTGGACGGGACCATCTGCGTGTCCGGGAGGACGCGCCGGGTCATCTGACCCGCTGTTCTGTCAGGGGGTGAATCTGCCGCTCATGACTGACCTTGACCCCGACGGTGTCCCCATCCTTCAGGTAGTAGGGTGCCCCCAGCAAATTATCTTGCTTTTTCTTCTTTTTCCTCTTGGTCGTTTGCTGGTTCTGTGGGGAAAGCAAGTGTGCTGGATAAAGAAAACAAGCTAAGTTCTTCCTAAGTCCCCTGCCCGTGAACCGCCGGAGTGAGGCTGCTCCCCGGGCAGGAAGGCCCGGCTTCTCCGGGGGCCCCGACCTCACCCAGCTGGAGACTGGAAGCCACTCAAACTTGTCCGGAAAGTATTTGGCGATTTCGACCTTCTCCACGGGGAGCGAGTAGAACTCGGCCACGCGCTGCCGCAAGGAGCTGGCCGTGCCCCGGGCGGCGTCCCACACCATGTCCACGGGCGGGGCGTACGCCCGCTCGCCCGGGAGCCGCAGCCTCGTCCTCAGCAGCACGTCCCGGGGGCTGCACCAGAAAGCAGGCGCGTGTCAGGCTGAAAACGAACAGTACGAGAAACCTCCGACACCTAGGGGGGCATGGCGGGCGAAGCTTACCCTGCAACTCGTCTCATTCTTCTGAGGCAAGGTTTCCCCTGAACCCTGCATGCTGGTGGGGAACCCTCTTTACTTCTACCCTTTCCGTCCCAGCCCGGATGGAGGGGGAGCTGCCCTCAGAAGCCGCGGCAGAGCCCTGGGAGAGGCGGCCGGGCGGCGGGAGAGGGGCTGTGGGGTGATGGGGGACGGAGCCAAGGGCTTCCAGTTGGGGAGACGGGAGGAGCTGCCACAGCAAAGGGGACCTCCGTGGAGGCGGGGCGGGCAGGGGGCCCGTGAGGTCGCCGTGGGTTCCGTGCACACTCGGGACTCCCTGGGCAGTGAGTTCTCGCCGCCACACAGACACGCAAACACACTTCTGGAACAGCCGCCACGGCGAGAGGGCGTGCGGCCGACGACTCACCCCAAGAGCTCCTCCTCCTGCAGGGGCTCCAGGCAGACCGCGGCCCTCCTCCCCAGCTTGTGCTCCCTGACACGGAATGACGCAGGGTATCAGCGAGGGGCAGCCTTTGAGTTTTTAAAACATTTCTGGGTCAAATTTAAGTTTCTTCAGCAAAATATCATGCATAATGCTCAAAGTTTAGGGACCGTGAACAACTGTACCCCAATCACTTAGGCAACTCACGAGAAGAAATGGGCAAACCCCTAGGAACACGCAACCTACCAAGGGTGGGTCCGGAAGAAACAGAAAATGTGAACAGGCCAATTACCAGTGAGGAGATTGAGTCAGAAATCAAAAATCCCCCAACAAAGAGAAGTCTAGGACCAGACGGTGTTCACTACTGATCCCGCCCAACGTTTGAAGAAGAAGACCAGTCCCTCTCGGACTCGCCCGAGCAACGGAAGTCGTGAGGGCACTTCTGAACTCACTGTGCGGGGCCAGCGTCGCCCCGGGATCAGACAGACGAGGCTGCTTTAAGAAGACTACAGGCCGTGAGGAGCACGCACACAAAAACCCTCAACAGAACACTAGCAAGCTGCCTTTAACAGCACAAGGATCGCACACCATGGCGCAGAGGGACTCACACCGGGGACGCAAGGCTGTGTCAAGCAGCCATGAATCGATCGGTGAGATGCCCCGCACCACCGGAATGAGGGACGAAAATCACGGTCATCTCGACAGATGCAGGAAAAAACATGGACGAGATTCGACGTCTCTCTGTGTCGGGAATAAACGACACAGAGGAAATGGACGTGAGAAAGGTCACACACGACAAGGCCACAGCTCACATCATTCTCGGCGAGGAAAAGCTGGGAGCTCTTCCTCCGAGGTCAAGGGCCACCGGACAAGGGTGCCCACCGTTGCCACGTGTGGGCAGCGGCCCTGGAGCTGCTGGTCGGAGCAATCGGGTAAGAGAAGGAAGTGAGAGGCACTGGGGTCAGATGGGGAGAAGTAAAGATGTTTCCATTTGCAGAGGACACGATGTTCTATTTAGAAACCCTTAAAGATTACACCAAAAAAATCTGCCCTGGCAGGTGCGGCTCAGAGGACTGAGTGCCGGCCTGCAAACCACAGGGTTGCTGGTTTGATTCCCAGTCAGGGCACGTGCCTGGGTTGTGGGCCAGGTCCCCAGAAGGGGGTCATGAGAGGCAACCACACGTTGATGTTTCCCTCCCTCTTTCTCCTTCCCTTCTTTCTAAACATAAATAAAATCTTTTTAAAAAAGATTACACCATAAAACTATTAAAACCCATAAATGTATTCAGTAAATTTTCAGGCTACAAAATCAATACGCAGAATCAGCTGCACTCCACACACGAACAGCTGCCTACCGGAAAGCGGAAGTAAAAACCCTATCACAACAGCACCCGGAAGCACAAAGTGCTGAGGAACACGTCTAACCAAGGAGGGGACAGATGTGTCCTCCGAAAACTGACGTCAGAGCTCGATGAAGGATGTCGACACAGACAAACACATGTGCAGACAGTCCATGTCTGTGGACTAGAGAACACTGCTAAAATGCTCCTACTGCCCAAAGCGATCTGCAGGTAAAACGCAAACCCTATTAAAACGTCAGTGGCATTTTTTCACAGAAATAGAAAAACCAGTCCTCAAGTTTGAATGGAACCACAAAATACCCCAAGTAACCAAAGCAGTCTTAAGGACTCAACTGGAGGCATCGTGCTCCCCGATTCCAAATCAGGTTACAAAGCTGTAGTAGTCAGTCTGGTACTGGCACAGGAACAGACACACAGGCCAACAACAGAACACGACAGAGACCCCAGAAATAAACCTACATACACATGGTCAATTCACGTACGACGAAGGCACCAAGAATGCACCGTGGGGAAAGGACAGCGTCTTTAATAAACGGTGCTGGGAAAGGTGCACAGCCCTGTGCAGACGAACGGAACTGGCCCACTGTCGCACTGTACCACACGCACCCAAAACTGGAACCGGAGACCCAGGGCTGTGACACTCCTAGAAAAAAGCATGGGTAGGCTCCTCAGCTCCGGGACATGGGCCTTGGCAATCATTCTTTGGGGTTGACACCATGAGCAAAGGCAACAAAAACAAAGTGAACAAGGGGGACCACATCAAACTAAAAAGTTTCTGCACAGCAAAGGAAACAACGCAACAAAAAGGCGGCCTGTGGATGGGAGAAAGTGCCAATCACACACGGGGTAAGGGGTCGATACCCGAAGTGTACGAAGAACTCAGACAAGTCAACAGCAGAAACCCCAAACAACCTGACTGAAAAGCAGACAGAGGAAATGAGCAGACACTCCCCCAAGAAGACAGGCGAAGGGCCAGCAGGAGCAGGAGCCGGTGCTCACCATCGCTGGTTGTCGGGGCGGTGTACCCCAAGACCCCGGAGTTTCCGCCCCACACCGGTCAGAACGGCCGCCGTCAGTGAACCGCAAGCGGCCAGTGCTGGTCGGGCGTGGAGGAAGAGGAGCCCGTGTGTGTGGGCAGTGGGAACGTAAGTGGGTGCAGTCACCATGGAAACCAGTGTGGAGGCTTCTCAGAAAACCACAAACAGAACGACCGCACGGCCCAGCGACCCCTCTTCAGGCCTCCAGAGAAGCTCCTGCACGCCCCCGTCCAGCCGCAGCGCGCTCACGCTGCTGCGGCACGGGGACGGGCGACCCAGTGTCCACCCGCGGGAGCACACTCACACGCTCACACACGCAGACAGGACTTATCCAGCTGCCAGAAGGCAGGACACGTGGCTGCGGGCGACCGCACGGACGGGCCCTGCGGGCAAAGTGATGAGGACAATGGAGTCAGAGAAGGATGAGCACTGGGTGACACGTAAACGTGGCACTAAACACGTCACAGCGGCAGAGCCGAGCAGGGGCACCGGGGCTGGCAGCGGGGGAGGGGAGGGGCTGCTCGCGGGTGGGAGTCCGCAGCGGGAGATGAGCGAGTTCCGGGGGCCCGAGGTGCTGTGCCGTCTCACACGCCTGAAAGGGGCTCGGAGAGGAGACCGAGCGTCCTCTCCGTGAAGAAGAAACGGCAGCTGCGCCACGCGAGGCAGGTGTCTGCCGACACCGCGGCGGCCCCGTTCTGCAGGACGCCCGAGCACCGAATGCACGGGCCATGTGCCTTAGCCTCGCACGGCGCCGCACCAGCTGCGGCTCAGCAGAGTCGGGGGAAAGAACACCCGGCACTCTGCCCAGTCTCCACGGCACAGCGGACACACACGGACACACATGGAGCTGCGCTGCACACTGAGTCTGGAAACTGAAGCTGCCTCGGAGTGGACTCACGGGAACAGGCGCCACCCCACCACCCTGCAGGACCCCTGGGACCGGCCTCCCTGTCCCCGAACGCCGCGCCTACCTGAGCTGCTGCCGGCTGTCCCGCAGGAGCCGGCCGGGGCGGCGGCCGTCCACCGTCCAGGCCCTGAGGAAGGCCGGGGACGGGACGCAGAGCTCCGACAGTGAGGGCAGGGTCAGGGCCTGGAGGAGAAACAGACGTCTGTCCACGGCTTTGAAAAAGCCGTCTTCCAGTACGCAGCGTAGGGGGGAGTGCAGCCCCACAGCGCACAGGCGAGGGGAGGCTGTCTTGCGTGATGACGGTGCCTGTTCAGCAGCCACAGGCTCTCTCGGTAAAATCAATCATGAGGAATTTCTGTGTCTCTCTGTGCTGGAATCAGCCTGAGAGAGAAGTCAGATTTCAATTTCTAGGTCTGAGTCAGAAGCCCCTTGTTTCAGAAAGCGATTCTGCGAAGCTGACTTCCGGCGAGCACCGCCCACACGAGCAGAGGCCTCGCGGGGGAAGCGGCGTCTTCGGCTCCGCCCTGCGGCTCTCCAGCGGGGTCTGCCGGCCGAGGGGATGGCTCTGCGTTTTTGAAGTATTCCAAAATCTTTGGATCCCACTGCTAAACACGAATGGCAGAACTAATTCTGGAGTGGATAACTTCTGTATTAGATTGTAGTGTATAATAGAGCCAATATTATCATTTCTTACCTAAGAACAGCAATCTTATGTCTTCCAACCCAATACAAGAAAGAAGTCTCTTCCCCCTTGCTCTCAGGAGGATAAACCCTCCCCCCTTTTTCGAGGAAGGCCGCTTCCTACATCGAGGACCCCCAGGCCGAGTGCCAGCAACGGGCACTCGAGTCATCTGGGCCCACGTTCCCCTCCGAGAGGACGACGGGTGTCCGCCTCAGCCCCACCGCAGCGAGAGGCTCCGGAGTGCGTGGCTCCCGGAGCGCGCAGTGTACGCTGGACCGGGCCCTTCCACCGACCAGCACTCTCTGCGTCAGGGGACACTGCACTGCCCGGCTCCACACCGCAGCACCCGCTGCCACTCACCGCCTGGGGCACCAACGCTTCTTTTAACTGGCGACACACAACAGAGAGCCGCCAGGGCCGCCGGCGGAAAGGGTGCTGGGGCTGTCGGAGCCAGCGCCTGTGGCCTGCCGGGCCCTCGGCCCTGAGCGCGGCGTACGGCACGTGCCACCCAGAGCAGACCGTGCCCCCCATAGCAGACCGTGAGTGAGGGCGCCGGCGACGGAAGGACAGGCTGACACCTCACGGGAAGAAGCCAGACCAGCACGCAGGCACGCTGCGGGAAGCGGTCTCACCTGAGACTTGAGCTCCGCCAGAGTGGCGTCTTCTGAGATTTCCAGGTCCCCCAGGTAGCGGAGGCAAGTGTCCTCGTGCGCGTCACCAGGAGCACCTGCAAACGACACAGCTAGATGTGTGAAAGGGCTCGAAATGCACTCAGTTGATACTTCTGAGATACAGGCTGCGTTCTGATTTAAAAACTGTCAGTGCAGTTGCATTCACGAAACTCAGACTCCCCGTTCCTTGAACTCTGGCCTCCTCCCTCAGCAGCCAGGGGCCGCCCGGGGCACAGCCGGCCGTTTCCCTTGGGGTAACACTGTGACTAGTGGGTGGAGGAATGTCACCCTTGGGCTGCCTGCCGGACGCTCTCCTTCCTCAAGAGGACCGTGCTGGTGGGCTGCCCCGCCCTACTCCTTGTACTGCTGTCCGGTGTCCTTCCCCCGTCACACTCTGCCCGGCTCGTCTTGTTGTTTCTGTTTCCTTGGGTGTATGGGAGAGAACACGACTGTCAGGAGGGGACAGGCCACCATTCTCATCTGTCTGTCTGGGGCCTGGTCGGGTGGGTGTCACGTAAGTAAAGGTTGAGTGACTCACAGGATCCCTGACGGTACTAAGGCCTTCCACGTTTGTTTTAAAAAGGGGAAAAATATGCCCTGGCTGGTGTGGTTCAGTGGATTGAGTGCTGGCCTACACACCAACGGGTCGCTGGTTCGATTCCCAGCCTGTGGGGCACAAGCCTGTAGGCCAGGTCCCCAGTAGGGGGAGCACAAGAGGCAACCACACATTGATGTTTCTCTCCCTCTTTCTCCCTCCCTTCCCTTCAAAAATAAAGAAATAAAATATTTTTTTTTAAAGAAAAATATAAAATGCTCTTTCATTTCATGTAAAATTCTGGATATAAAAACTGGCAACTAAATTTAAAATTCAGAATAATTTAACTCATTTTTTGTTTTGATTAAATGTTTATTGCTGGGCACACTTAATATATAATAAAATTAGATTATAAATAAATTAAGCAAAAAAGCTTCATGTTGTTATAAAGAAGGAGTATGAAAAAAATGAACCTGTTTCTTCCCTTTCATGAAGAAGCACACTGATTAAACATGCTTTTTTAAATTTGTAGCTAACTCTGTATGTAATTATTATTCTATTACCAAAACATTTTTAGAATTAGTTAAAATATCTATATAACCCAACCAAAAGATAATGCCAATTTCATAACTAATTCAACATGAAAATATTTTATTGTTCTAAACATATATTCCTAACTTCAATGAATAAGGAGATAAGAATTTGATTCATTTTCAGTAATTTCAGTACTGACGCTTAAAAATAAAAAGAAATATAAATATAGAATACTTTAAGCCCCAACCCAAGCTAAATAATTAAGACATGATTAAAATATAGAGAGAGAGTTGGTCCTCCTACAATTTTATCTACAAAGGAGACTGGCTGGTGTTTTCTTTGTTACCAAGTGGCAGCCGACTTTTCACAACGCACGTCTGGACGCACGGCCAGTGCCCTGCTGCCCAGCATGACGCGTGCACTGGGTCCGCTCTGTGGAGAAGCGACCTGGAGCCCAGCAGGGTGCTCGCCCCGCTGTGTTTGCTCTCCGAGGGCAGTGGGGGGGTGCAGTGCCCAGGGGAGCTCCTGGCGCTGCCGTGGGAGCGGCAGGAAGAACGGGAGCAGGAGTGGTGCAGGGTGCCGGGTGCAGGGGCGTCGCTGTGAGGGGAGCCCTAGTGTCCTGGTCTAGCATGACAGACGAGGCCCCTCTTCACACTGCCGTGAGAACCTTGGGAGAGGACATATAAGAGTTCCTTGGAAAACTTGAATGCACTTCTGTCACAGAAAGGTTTTAACAGGTTGGACCTGAAGGGGTTACAGAGCATTGTACACAGCAGGATGGTGCTACTGTTATGGAATGACTTATGCACTAAATAGGTTCTGATTTTCAATCACACACTTTCCAAAAGTAACTCTGTCATCTGCCTCAGTCATTTCACTCGGTGACACGCTGGCTGCTGCGGTGTGTGCTGTGTCCTCACCTGGGGCGGAAGCAGCTCTCCAGAGCCCACCTGCAGAAGGGGTACCGGTCGTCTGGTCCTGGAGGCTCGTCCCCTGAGCCGCGGGCCCCCGAGGCTGGTACCACCACACGGGCACCTTCAGGAAACCCTGGAATGGAGAATTTCTAACTGCCGGATGTACACAAGTGAACTTCCACTCTTACTTTCATTGAAAGAAGCATCTTGATAACAACACGTTCCCGAATTCACCGGTTTTCCTTTTAGACGTAAAACTGCCCCACAAGGTCTGTCTGGGAAAATGTCCAGCCATCGTTCACATCATGACAATGACTTGTGCAAAGTCGATGTCACCCGGCAGCCAAGGGGAGTGGGCTGGAATGTGCATGTGTGAACAGTGACAACTTCACTGTACTCGTCAGTGGGGACAGTAGACGCTGTTGAGTGAGCATGTGTACTGTGTGGCCGTCACATTCAAAATGACTGAGCGAGTAGAACAGTGAATCTGCATCAGAGTTTGTGTTAGGCTTGAACATTCCTCTGCAGAAACTATCTGGATGACTCAGAAGGCCGCAGCTGTGGGCAACTGGTGATTGGCAGCTTCATTATGACAGTGCACCCGCTCATGCATCACGTCTCACGTAGAGTTTTTTCGTGGAACATCAAATCACCCAGGTGACTCAGCCCCACTGCAGCCCAGATTTGGTGCCCTGTGACTTCAGGCTTTTCCTGAAACTAAAATCACCTTTGAAAGGGAAGCAGTTTCAGACGGTTGATGAGATTCAGGAAAATACGACAGCGCAGCTGATAGCGACTGGGGGACCTGTGTGAGGTCCCAAGGTGCCCGCACTGCATGGCTGGGGGCCGAGGGGATGCACACCTACTTTTCTTTCCCAGCTTTTTATACACTTTGAGTTTGGTATCGTGAACATTATCAATTTAAAAGTTAACTTGAAAGAGCACGGTTTAAAGCACCACGGAACTCCGGGAGGCTGTGGAAAAGAGCAGGACAGGTGCTGGTGAGAGGAGACCCTGAAGACACACCGAGTGAATGAAAGCACCGAACAGCAGGTGGAAGCACCTGCCCAGAACGCGACCCTCTACGGCACCTTTGAAGAGGACGCGTGTGTGTATTTACCTCTGGCATAAAAGCAGGCACCCTTGTCTTGGAAAGATACACGAAGAAAAAGTTGTTAGTCGTGGCTCTTTCTGGGGAGAAAGATGTGGGGGGAACTTCCATTTTTATCACACGGCCTTCTGTGCTGTGTGAGTCCTCCAGTCACAAGCAAATGGCCACCCAAGTGCTGGGATTTAGGGTCACTTTCAAAACATTTTTTTACATGTATCCACATTTAAAACCCCAGTAAAAAAAGGTTAAAAAGTGGTGAGGAGCAGTGTTTGTGAAGGAGCAGGAGATCAAGCCCTCTCACACCCAGCTGATAGTGCTGCACATTTGGCGCAACTCTTTGGGAAGATAATTTGGCAACACGTATTATCAGGCCCTTAAAAAGTTTTGACTTATTGATTCCATCTTTAGAACTACCTTAAAAAGGATTTGTTCTTAAGTATTATTAAGAGAAAAAAATTAAAACAAGCTGAATTTCCAACGATGTGTTTAAAGTGAAATAAACCGTGGTAAGTCACACATCAGATATAATAACAGTTTTTGGATTTTATGGCCAGGCTGAAAGATCGAATCTGAAAGGAGAGGGTAAAACTGCACGCAGCTGCGCCTCGGTGGGCTCTGGGGGAGCGCCGCCCTCTCTCTGGCCGCCACCACCGTGCTTCCCCACGGCCAGAACCCACCGCCCTGTGACGGGAGGACAGCGACGGCTGCAGAAGCAGAGCCTTACCGGAGGAAGAAGTCTTCCTTCAACCACAAGCAAAGTGTCTCCAGAACGTATCATGAGCTCTCTCAGTGTTGCCTCCTGGGGACACAGAAATGCTTTTTTGTCACGTGTACCTTCTGCAGGGCACAAACAGATCACTGGGCATTTTCCCCTGGAACCCTATGCCTCCATTACCCTTGAGATAGACAAAAGAGTGCATAACGAAGCAGATGTTGAAGAGCAGGAAACGGGCTCAGCTTACAAGACAGTCTGTCACTGTACATGAGATACGGGTGTGAGCCGGGGGTGCCCTGAAAGGTACAAAGGGAAGGGAGAGGGACGAGGCGAGAAGTGGCGAGAGACTGATTTACAGGAGACGGACGTTCCGTCCAAACAGATGGGTCACATCGGGAAAGCAGGGTGAAACAGGAGAAGGAATTTCTCGTGAAAAGAAGAACAGAGCGAAGTGAAGCTCATGTCCAGAATAAGTGTGGCTTGTTTTGGGGAAGAGCTTAGGGACTAGATGATTAGAGTGGGCAGCACCAGCCGGAGAGAAACAGAAAAAAACCCTGGGTTGAAAGAGTGGTCACAGATGGAAGGGATGTGGAATAGGAAAAGGAATTTTTAGTTCCTTTGAAAAAAGCAACCCAAGACTCCAGAGGAGTTTTTAGAAGCAGTCTGGCTGCTACATGTGCGGCACGCGGAGGGGGCGCACCTGGGTGCAGGGAAGCCCGCTGCGGTGCTGTGTGTGAGAGGGGAAAGGGAGAACCAGGCTGAAGGAGGAGGGGCGTGGGGGGTGGCAGTGGGCATGGTCAGGAAGGGGGGGGAGTGACAGGCCTCTGAAGACTGCACCCCGGAGCGGGGCGGGCGAGCAGGGAGAGCCACGTTTCAGGCCGAAAACGCCCGGGTGGCACAGACAGCAACTCTGGGAAGAGGAACCAGCTCTGAAGGTCGGGAGTCTGCTCTACACGGTGCTAGAACGCTCTGCTGCCAACATGGGGCGTCACAGACGGCCACAGAGAAACGCTGAGACTAAAATAGGTCTCCCAATTCAGAGTGTATCTTCAAATTCTTCCATTAATTCAAATGTCTTTTTTCCCTCGAGTTTCCTGTCTCCTAAAGAAGAACTGCGACTCCCAGGGACGCCCTCTCTGGTCAAAGGGGACCAGACACAGGTCAGAAACGGGCCCCCTGGGCTGAGATTTGTCCTCCTAACGCTCTCAAGCAACTGTGGGAAGGAGAGCGTGAAGGCAGACTCAAGTGTAAACTTTCGTATGCTAACAAAGGTAAGGCTTTCTTTAGAACTATGAGTGAGTGTCCTGTATGAAAATGCCAGGTAAACAGAATCATTTTAAAGAACGAAACGTATGCAAATGAGCTTACCTCCTCGTACAAAGGCTCCCCAGCTTCATAGCACCAATCCACTTTTCGTAAATGCCACGTGTCCCCTGAGAAAGAATCAAAACCAGAATTAAAAAACTCTGAAGAATATGTTTTCAGAGTTTGGAATAACAGTTCTGGGTAAATGAATACCAAATGAAACTTGATCTAATAATTATTAACTAATTTTCTTCAAAAATTTCCTCTTCCAGAGCATGAAAAAAACTGTGTCCCTAATTTACTTAATTTTTCTCTCTATTCCATCAAGAGAATTATAATTGTATATAATTAATGTATACTTGCAAATAAAAATAACACTTGCTATTATACGACAGTGCATTATGCCTTTATTTACATGAACACACACATCACACGAGTATGTACCACATTATGTACATACATGTAAGTGTGGACTTTCTCCTAAGACCATGAGGTTGCATTTCATTTCACTGTCTTAACTGGAAGCACGTGCTAGCCCCGCCCATCAACCAATGAAGTGCACCCAGCGCGGGTCCCTCCAACCAGCGGCTCGCACACAAGAAACCGCGATCCTGGCACAGTGCGCACAGTGAGGTCGGCGTGGGTGAGCACTGGTAAGTGGCAAACGGTCTTTATGAGACTCCGGTTCCTCACGCGCCCGCGCCCTGCAGAAACGGGCCGGGGACTCCCGGAGCCGAGGGTCCCTGGAGACGAGCGGGGACGCCGGCTGCTGAGGAAGACGGCGTGTCTCCGGCGGTCAGCGCCGCCCCCCAGGCTCAGGAGGAAAGGTCTCCGCCACAGGAGCGAGCACACGTCTCCAATTCATGCTGCGGCCACAGCTTTGAATTCCAGTGCCTCCAGTGCCGCCGTGCCCTGCAGACCCTTTTTGTCACAGTGCTCGTTTCAAATAGTGACACTTATATGGACATTTAACTCAAATCTAAACACGGTTTTTGAAAGACCACCACCAGTGAGTTGAAGGCCAGCAGCACCACCTCACAGTGCAGCACGAGGTGGAAAGACTCGGCTCCGGAATGGGAGGGGCCGTGCACGTGCGGCCGCCCTGGGCCACCGGCGTCTGTGAAAGGGGCACAGACAGTGAGCCTGGTCGGGAGGACTGGTCCCGAGAGGAACCGGCCTCTGCGTGAAGCTCCAGGGCTCGCTCCCTCCCCTTCCCGGCAGCGAGTGAGGGTGAGGCCGAGGGCGCACGGCCTCCAGCGCAGCAGGCGGAGCGCCGCCTCACACGCTCCCCGGGCAGCTCCTTCTGACACCACCCTGCGCTGGTGTTTCCCCTCATTCCCATCCCCGGTCTGCACCTCAGCTACCGGCGTGAACCACAGTCCCCGAGACTCTGAACCAGTGAGGGGTGCAAAGGAATCAGCAAAAGACTGGGTGATTCCAGAGGCTACGGACCCTCCCGTCCCCCCTCCCGTGCCTTTGCTGGACCCCACCCAGCTTCCTTCCTCAGTGGCAGGCTCACTCACAACCGTGTTCTTTCAGCTATGGCTGCGAACTGGGAGAATGAGTGTGCATACACAAGTGTAGAGTGCAACGGACAACCCTGGGGGGGAGTGTGAACCGTTTCCATAAGGCTTGTTAATCAATACTTTCTTGTAAGTAGAAATTGTGGGTAAGATTATATACCTTACATGGCCTGTCACTTACCTGGTAGGCCAAATTTCTCCAGCATTATCTTTAAACACTGTAAAAAAAAGTAATAGACATTAGTTTTCTGTTTCTGAGTGACAGTATTGAGAGAAACAATCTTTTTGGACCCTTGGCCTATGTAATTTAAACCCAATCCTCTTTAATGATCCTCCAGTAGATAAAGATGTACTCAGTTAAGAAGAGGATTAAGCAAGCCTTAATCCTCCTGAAGAGCGAGGTGGGGCCGGCTCAGGAGGGAAAACGGCTGCCTGGGATCACACCCAGGACTTAATTCAGAATCCTGTCCGCCCACTTCCAGGGCTGCACGTGACTTCCATCGCAGGCAGACGAGCACTCCGGCCGATCGGGCTGGCTGCACAGCCGCACTTGAGACGCACTTGGGACGCTGAAGCCCACGCAAGGGCACTAGCCTCTCTGGTGCTGGCGCAGCACAGCCGGTCATGTGTGCCCTCACAAGGAAGAGGTGTGCAAGCCACGGCCTCACGGAACAAGACAATCAACACGGCACCAGGGCAAGCTTCAATAAAGATAACTAAGTACTCCCGCTTCTTGAGAGGAACAACACTCTTAAAGAAATCTAGGAAAGAAGCCAAGTCGTGCCTGGCTCACGCTGTGCTGGTGCAGGCGAGAGCGAGACGGAGGGCTCTGTGCTGCGCCACCTGGAGCAGGAGGAAAGGCAAAGGAAGTGTCCTTCACGGGACGCCTCAGTAAACCATGGGGAGTCTTAAAGCAAAGGACAAAACAGGTGTATATGTGCTTGTCTGAAAGATCTTTAAAATGTTTTCAGTGAAACCAAGTTCTAGTGCACTCCATGCAGCATGATCCCATTCCATCAAACTCCACTCTATGTGCACACACGTGTCCACATGGTACACGTGAGGCAAAGTCACGGAAGGGTGCACACTCCACTGAAGTGGACGCGGCTGTCATTTGATGACATCGGTGATTTCTGGGGAAGGGACAAGAACAGGATGGTGACCAAGGGAGATTTTTTAGTCCCTCCCTGAAGTTTAAAGAATAAATCCACAATTACTTGTATGATAAAAAGTAAAAGACTTTAAAAGCTTTTTATAATATGAAGGTACCTTGTCATTGAAAGCTGTTTAGAAAATGATGGCAACGAGGACATAATAGGTTAAAACAGGAATGGGACCAGAGCTGCACCCAGAGAAAATCGCAGACGGTAGGCTCCCGTTATTTAAGGAAAACCACCCACGGAGCGTCCGACTGAACTGTGTCCTAGGCGGGGCCGACAGCCGGGGCCCAGACCTGCCTAAGGGGCGGGAGGGATGCCGGGGTAGCCGGAGTAGAGGGAGCGAGACGGGAGAGAGGCGGAGGCCCGGGCGCACAGGGCACTGCGCAGTCACGCGGGACCTGGGCTCTTGCTCTGTGTGTGCCGGGCCGCACAGGAGGGTCATGAGTCCAGGAGGCACGGAGCAGACTTGCACCTCAGAGGGCCCTCAAAGTCCCTGTGAGGACAGACCCCAGGAGGTGCAAGGGTGGGATGAAGATCAGTCAGGAAGCTGCTGGAATAATCCAGACGAGAGACGACCAGGGTGACAGCGGAGGAGGGAATGAGGTGAATCGTGATGGTGGAGCCCAAAGGACTTCCTGGAAAACCGGATGTGAAGTAGAACGAAGAAGCTCCAGGCTGGCGTCCGGTTCCGGCTGCAGCAAGCGGGACACCCGAGCCGCACGGGTAGACGAGGAAAGCGGAGGGCAGGTCTGCAGTGAGAGGCCAGTGAGAGACCACCCCCCTACGGGGGTGTCAGGACGCGGGTGACTATCGGGGCACAGGGGCAGCTGGGTAGGTAAGTGCGGAGCTCGGGGCCCAGGCCCAGTCTCCGACTCGAGCACTAAGGTCAAGAGAAGAGGCGCCGGCCTGCCGACGAGGGGCGGGAGGGGAGACGTGAGGAGCTGCGGTCCCCTGGAAGCCAGTGACCACGGTGACCCAGGAGCGGCCGGCGCGCATGCGCAGCTGAGCGAGGTGCAGCCTGAGCATGCTCCCTGCTCTCGCTGAGCGCTGTTCCGCGGTGCGGTGGGGAGGTCTGCCCCCATGGGTCCCAAGAAAACACAAAGAAAGGCTACACATTGCTCCTCTGGAAAGTTTTGAGGTTTTCTCTCTCTGAAAATTAAAACAACAACACCGCTAAAGTTCTAGGGCAATTGGAAAACTCCAAAAATATCTGCACATGTAACAAAGGGAAAAAAAAAAACTTAGTAGGAAAGTGTTTTCTCATGGAAAACGTCGACCACATGCAGAGCACGGTGAGATGCCCGCTCAGGCCTCCACCCCGGAGTCCCAGCTCCTGCTTCGGCCAGTCCTGTCGGTCAGCACTGCAGCCCACGCCCCGTCTCGTGCCCCTGATGTCCTACATCTCACTTATTAGTACTTACAAAAAGAGATTCTTTTAAAAACATATGACATTTTAAAAAGTTAGGAACTCTTTAATAATAAATATCCAGTTGGCATTCCAATTTCACTTTCTCCCCTAAACTATTACTGAAGCTCTGTGGATTGAACTCGGGGCCAAGTGAAGGCCCCACTCAGACTCCGCCCCCGACGACGGTTCCCGAGGAAGAGCGTCCCTCTTGGGGACAGCGTCGTGCGTGCCTGTGTCACGTTCAACACGACCCCCTCCCCTGCACTTCTTATAAACTGGTACTCAGACCTGAGGCTTGACTGGACTCAGGTTGTTTCCCTGGAATTTGGGGGACAAAAACCCATGGGTATTGTTTTAAATGTCTCTGATGTGTGGGTGCTGCTGTTTTTGAGTGCTCAGCGGGCTTTCAGAATCATAGCCTACCATTCAATCATTTGGAGTTGAAAACTGTGACAGTCTAAAATTCTTTCTTCATGTTCTCAGCTGGGATTTTCTGTATAAAAACCTGTCATCTATTTGGTTGCCCTGCAACACAGTCTGCAAAACGACAACAGGGTAAACACTTGATTCCTCCTTTTATGGTTCCCAAGCATCCACTTGGCTCCGCACAGGTACCCAGTGACCACGGCAAGCTCAGGGTCACACGAACTCACAGGTTTTACGTCTGTGTGCCGATCAGCTGCCCTTGCTCCTCCCACTGAGGCTCGCTCCGGTTTGTCTTTGACCAGAAGCAGCCTCTTCGAGGTGCCTCTCATCTTTGCCAGCCTCCTTGCTCTATCTCGCACACACAGGACACATGAGCACGCACACACAACACTCACACCTGTATATGTGATTACGTGTGTATGTAAAGTGAAAACACAAAGGAAGTATGTCAAAATGTTGATACTAAAGGGATAAGGGTTTAATTTTTTCTTTAAATCCATTTCTACATATCCCAAATTTCTACAATCAACAGGTATTATTGATAATAAATAAATATAATGATCTAGCTTAAAAATTCCAGTTGGTGCACCAATTTTCAAGCTCCCAAAACTACTCCTTTAGTGATACATAGGATTCTTTAAAGTATGAGGGGGACCCAAAAACGCCAGATTTATATTCTGGCAGGCGGGCCCCTTGCAGGCTCCCCCACCAGGAGAGGGTTCCAGGAACCCAGCTGTATCAGTGCACCAGCTGGCGTTGTTGTGAGAGGCTGTATTTGGCTTCAGTGAAATTTTTTTTAAAAGACTCTTTCAACACGTTCAGTCATTGCATGATGGGTGATTTATGAGCACACCTGCCTACACCCCACTAAGTGCTCAGCAGTTTCTGACCAAAAACTGCAGGACCCCCATGTCCAGCCCTCCCTGTTCACATGATCTCACCCTGAGCGACTTGTTTTTTGTTTCCCCAGATGAAAAAAGTCCTCAAAGGGAAACGTTTTGCCCATGTGGAGGAAGTGAAACAAGAATTGGCAGAAGCACTAAAAGGCATCAAAATCAACAAGTTCAAAAACTGTTTTGAGCAGTGGGAAAAAACGGTCTTGATAGGTGTATCGTTTCAAATGGAGAGAACTTTGAAGGTGACTGAAGTTTAAACATGTAAGAATAAACACACAATTTTTATAAATAAATTCCTGGCTTTTTTGGGCCCCCCGCTTCTATATTAGGTAAACTCTAGCCTTAGGACCCCAAAACCCTGCCACGGGTCACCACTGCCCCCCCATCTAGCAGCCCAGACCCCCAAAAGGAAAATCACTCACGTCTCTCACGGATATCGTCTCCTCCACGATGACCTCCATCTCTGTCCCAGGCTGAGCGCCGCTGCCCACAGCAAAGAACAGGAACAGCTGAAGGCAAGACAGAAGAAATTTTAAAATTCTACAAATACATTATTTACTTCCAAAAAAGAAACACCAATATAATCCATGAAACTTGATGTGAAGACAAGACTACATTGGACAATTTAATGTTACAATTTATTTTAATTTTTAAAAATTTTATTTATTTTTAGAGAGAGGAAAAGGGAAGGAGAAAGGGAGAGAAACATCAGTATGTGGTTGCCTCTCATGTGCCCCCTACTGGCTCGTAACCCAGGCATGTGCCCTGACTGGGAATTGAACTAGCGATCCTTTGCTTCGCAGTCTGGCACTCATTCTGTTGAGCCACGCCAGCTAGGGCTTAATGTTACAATTTAAACAGTAGTCTGGACTACTACCTAGATACGCATCACCTCCTGGAAGAGGCCTCATCACTGGTGTCGTCCCTCCCGCATGCCCCTGTCCCAGACTGGGCACCCCTCACGGGGTCTGCAGTCTCTGCACACCATAAGCACCGGCTGCGCCGTCTCTGAGTCACCTGGCTGTGACCGTATTTTCTGCCCAAGGACTCGAATTCCCAAGACCCCACAGGGCAGACGTAGGTCTGACCCCTTGTCATGTGGCTCCTGCAGTCCCGCTCCACTTTCCACTCAGCGTCCCGTGCCACGTTCCCCTGCTCTCGGCCCGCCGTGCACCATGTGCTTGAGGCCGGGAAGGACAGCTGAACGGCTGGGACACTAACGAAGCGGAACCAGAACCAGGGGGTCCCGAGATAAGCCTAGCTTACCCCGAGAACGTAACAGCGAGGACATAAATATGACTGTAACAGAGGTTCACTAAGTAGTGAGGGCTTCTGGTGAAGATTGACCAGGTGGAATTTACACAGGAAATGAATACTGACAGACAGAGCTGCTGTGAGGCTATCATATTCTTGCAGAGTAATTAAGTTCCCAATTAATATACCGTCGTTCATTAAATCTACACACTGCTGGCTGTTACCAACTCCTTTATGTACCATAAAGGAAGAAAGAAAACGGCCAACTACGACCGCCGGCCACCGTGGACGGAGAGGTGCGGCCCGGTCGCACAGAGGCAGATGGGGGGGCGGGGGCGTATTTCAGCGTTTCTGAGATACAGTGACACTGGCAGCCACTCCACTTTAAAGATCCCCCTTGCTCACAAAGCCTTCACAGGAAAAGAACCTTGTGAGTATGCTTTGAAGTAACATTTTCTATTCAAACACAGAGAACTATACGGATCTGCCCCTCAAGTGGAAGGCGCCCCGAAGGAACAGGAAACACTTAGGGGGCACACATCCCTGCGGCAGGTAAGGCTCGGGCCGGGGGACGGACCGGCCGGGGGACGGCGGGCTTTGTCGGCAGGCGGCCTCGCGTTACCTGAGAGGAGGTCGGTGCTTTCCCAGGACAGAGCCCCAGGGAGCTCCCCGTCTTCAGCTCTGCTTCCTTCAAAGTGTAACTGTCTGGCACTGTAAGTAATTTTGATAAAATAATGAATGTTATCAATTCCCACCTGCTCGGGCAAAAATATACTGAATCAGTTTTCCTCTGAAAACCAAGAACGCCAGGAAAGAAAAAGCTGCATTCCACGCAAAAGGACTGCATGTTACCATTATGCTCGATTCCCGATTCCCACACTCTGGAATGCACAGTTCTCGTTACTGAACAAACGTGGAGACATTGGAGGCAGCTGCGGACATTCTGGAGTCATACTTATAAACACCAGAAAGCTGCTGTTTTCACAGATTAGAAGCTAGACATTCCGAGCTCATTCATGATGGACTAGGTTGTTCCCAGTTCAAAGCTGCTCTGGTAACAACCATCAACATCTAGACTCAATCACGTCCAGCGACAACAGGCGCCCCAGAGGTGGGGACAAAGACTCGGTTCCATCACAGATGCCTCACTGAGACTGGCAAGTAAAATGCTGACAATAAATCTAGAAAGATGGAACTGGATCATAACCATGACTAAAAGGAGGACCAGCTTGTCAGAAACACAGGTGTTTCACTTTAGAAAACTGAAAGGCTTGAATTTTTGGTTAAGATATTCTGTAATACAAGAGGAAGATACCTGGATGACAATATGTCCTACAAATCAATTCTAAAAGGTAATTTAGGAATATTAGGTACTAGGAGCCGATATTTGAAAATATTAAAAAAAAAAAGCCAGATGGCAGGGGTAAGCGTCAGATTTTGAGGCTTACCCAACAGACTGACCTGGACAAAGGAGCTTCCCGTTTCTGTCAACAGGCCTCAGACAGCTGCTGTCGGCTACAAGTGAAGAGAGGCCGGTTAGGGTCGGCGCAGCAAGCGAAGAAACGAGCGAGACCCTCCGCTACGCTGACCAGCAGGAGGCCGCAAGGAGCCGCGAGGGGCCCCCGCAGGTTCCCCGTGCCCAGGAGGGCAGGCTGGGTACCCAGGACGGCAGGCCGGGAGGAAGGCCCACACAACCTGCAAAGCGGGCTTTAACAGCCGCCAGAAAACATCTGTTTTTCTTGACCTTTAAAAATGTTTGTGAAAACATTTAAAACTGTCAGTAATTTATGTAGAGTGAAATGAAAAAAAAAAAACCCAGTGAAACTAATATTTACACTGTAATTTAAACAACTAATATTTTACACTGTGAACTGGAAATGCTGATGATTAAAATGTTCTACTTCTTTGTAAAAAACCCACCCAAGCAGTTTAAACAGGGCTCGCTGCCTTCGTCTCATGGTGCAGCTCACAGCCGGAGCGAACCCCTCCTCCGCCTCCCGGAGAACTGTCACACCCAGATTTCTGCGTTTTGGCCAGCCCCCGACATTCTACATGCTGTGCCTCCCACCTCGAGACGTCTCTCCAAGCGCTCCTGTAAGGTGAGGCTATTTGCCAGTGGCACTTCTCCTGGGAGAGCTTCATCCCTTTTGTCACAACCACTGTCCTTACTTCTGCGGCTAAGCTCACGTTCTTACCAGGTGTCGTGTGGGTTTACCACTGGGGGGAAGGGAGGCAGTGAAGGGCACACTGCGCTGTCTGTGCGAGAAACCCATGGTCACACACCCGCTACTTCCGCAGCGACGGTGCGCCAGGGCTAGCACAGCCGAGCTTGTGTCTATGTAGTTACTCGCTTACTTACATCCAGTGGCAGCTGAAATTTGCGCTGTGTTGCTGGGTAACCAACGGAATATAATAAACCATGATAACTGAAATTCACGCACATTGGAACTATGCAGAGACTGCCTCTGTTTAAAATGATAAGTCATTTTTTATGCCCATTGTATCCTATTTTCGAGAATGCAAGGATTCCTGCTTTGTGGGAAGGGTTAGTCCGAACAGAATTCTCACAAAGTCGGCTAGGAGTGGGGCAGCTGGGAGCAGAGGGGCCTGCTGAGGGGAAAAGAATGGCATGGGTCTTGGAAGTCGTGACTTTGTTAGACCGTGGCAGGATCTGCGATTCCTGAGTTCTCTATCTTACCTTACAGTTCGTATGAAACTAGCATGTGGTTCTAATACAAAGTTCTTGACAACGCAATCAGCTGATGAAAGAATTCCCCAGTTGAAGAGAACACTTTAAATACTGTCTCCCTGCATGTCTGTTCCCTTTCCTTCAGAAAGCACGGGGTGTCTTTCTGAAGACACGGGGTGGCACCTGTCTCCTAGGTGCCAGGCACTGCCCCAGAAGCTGACCGCACAGGAGTGAGCAAACAGCCGTGGACCTGGCTCTCAGCGCCTCAGCTAAAGGGGAGGTGGGTGTTCATGACACAAACACGGGTGCTTACAGTGTAAGTGTGGTGCAAAAAGCACAGGACACTACAAGAGTAAAGAGAGATTAAGTGAGATTGTGTGGCCAGGGATGGCAGGAGAAGTCACATTTCCGCCGAGACCCGATGGACGACAGGAGTCAGTGGAGGAACGGGGCGCTGCGGTTCAAGGAGAGATGATAGAGCTACGAGCCCCGGGGGGGGGGGGGAGAGCCTGTGCACTAGAAACTCAGGGGAGGTGAGCCTGGGGAGCGTGCGGTGCAGGTGCAGAGGCGGGGACTGCGGCGGGGTAGGGGCAGTGGTGGGAGGAAGGCAGCTCGTGGGGGCTGGGCTCGGGAGGCAGCCTGCGTGCACTGGAAAAGCAGGACGGGGCTGTGAGCAGAGGGATGGCAGGGCCTGACTCGCACACATTTAAGATCGCCTGCCACAAGGACCGTTTGGAGGGGAGACCTGCACACGGGAACACAAACTATTCATTTTAATGCACCACATACTTTTAATCAACTTTTTTGAGGTATAATTTACTTATAATAAAACATATCCATTTTAACTGTACAGTGCAGTGTTTGGTATAAACACTGGGCAACCACCAAAAACAAGATAAACTAGCATCTCCCCGCCAGTCCCCTCGTGGCTCTCCGTGGTAGGTCGACCCTCCACCCCGATTCGGGTTTGCCTCTGCAACTAGAGCTCAGGTGTGCTGTTTAAAAATGTCATGCAGGTGGAATAGTAAGAGTGTGCTCTGTAGTGTCGAGCTTCTTTTGCTTGGCATAAGGTCTTGGAGTCACCCACGTTTTGCAGGTGGTGGTAGTTCAGTGCCCTTATTGATCAGTAGTATCCCACTGTATGGATACACCACAATTTGGTCATTCATTCACCTACTCGTGGACATTGGGATTGCTTCCAGTTTCTGGTCATACACAAGCAGTGTACAGTACGTGCAAGGATATGTTTTAATTTTTCTTGGGTAGATATGTAGGAGAACTGGTGACTGAACATTTAAGTTAATAAGAAACAGGCTGACTCCACCACAGTGACCATCGTTTCCACTCTGCACAGCCACGCATGAGCGCGGCAGTCGGGCCCCGTCTCCACTGCCCCTTGGCGCTGTCGGTATTCCAGAGGTCAGCCATGCGTGCAGTGTGGAGCGGGCACCATTATGGTTCTGGTTTGCTGGCTAATGGTAACCGACCATCTTTCCCTGCACACTGGTCACTTACAGGTTGGTCTTCTTTTTATAGAACCTGATACAAATCTATTGTCGAATATGTTTTACAATATTTTCCTCCCAGTCTGTGGTTTGCCTTTTCAAATGCCTTTTGAAGAACAGATGTTCTAAATTTTGAAGTAGTCCAATTTATTAGTTTTTTCTTTCATGTTTGTACTGTTTGAGTCTTGTCTAAAAAAGTCTTTTCCTGCCCTGGCTGATGTGGCTCAGTGGACTGAGTGCCAGCCTGCAAACCAAAGGGTTGCTGGTTCAATTCCCAGTCAGGGCACATGCCTGGGATGCAGGCCAGGTACCTGGTGTGGGGTATGCAAGAGGCAACCACATATTGAGGTTTCTCTCTCTCTCTCTCCTCCCTCCCTTCTCCTCTGTCTAAAAATAAATAAAATCTTTAAAAACGATTTTTTTTCCTTCTGGTAAAAGTAACAGAGATTTTTCTCATGTTTTCTCCCAGAAATTTTAGTTTTAGGTTTAAACATTTAGGCCTATAATCCATTTTAAATCAGTTTTTTCCGTGATGTAAGGCAAAGCTGGAGATTCATTTTTGCATCTATGGGTATCTAGTTGGTCCAGCACTTACGCTGAAAATCTACTCTTTCATGGAAATACTTTGGTGCTTTTGTTGAAAGTAAACTGACTACATACATGTGCACGTATTTTTGGATTCTTAACGTCGCTCTGCTGCAATATATTTCAGCTTCCAACACGAGCTATGGTCCCTGCTGCACATTCTTCCTACAAGAGCCCGCCCGAAACATGAAAACTGTTCTCCATTCGCTGGCTAGACAGAGCAGGCTGCAGGCCACACCTGCCGCCACTGCCGTATGTCCACTCTGATGCCAACACTCCCTGTCCTGACCACGACAGCTCTGGGGCAAGTCTTGACATCAGACAGCACACTCTCCCAGCTTTATTTGTCTTCCCCAAACTGGGCTGGAGGCCTAGGTTCTTTGGATTTGCACATAAACCACCAGCCTGTCAGTTTCTCTCTTGCGCGCTCACGCGTGCTCTCTCTCTCTCTGACACACACACACACACACACACACACACACACACACACACACCCCCTGCTAGGGTTTTGAGTGAGACTGCAGTGAATCTACAAATTAATTTGGAGAGAATTAGCCTCTTAATGACATTGTGTCTTCTGACCCAGGAATATGGTACATTGCTCCACTTACTCAGGTCTTTTCAGTTTTCAAAGAAATGTTTTCTAGTGTTCAGGGTACAGGTCTTGCACACATTTTGTTAAATTTATCCCCGAGTATTTCGTGATATCTTATTGAGTGTTTTCTTAATTTCTAGTAGATAAACATACAATGGATTTTTGCATATTGATTTGAGTTCTGTTAAACTCATTTGTGTTTCCAGTGGCTTTTTAAAAATTTTTTTAATTAATTTATTTTTAGACAGGGAAGGGAGGGAGAAAAAGGAGAGAGAGAGAGAGAAACATCAATGTGCGGTTGCTGGGGGACGTGGCCTGCAACCCAGGCATGTGCCCTGACTGGGAATCGAACCTGCGATGCTTTGGTTTGCAGCCCATGCTCAATCCACTGAGCTACGGCAGCCAGGGCTTCCAGTGGCTTTTTAACAGACTCCTCAGGACACACAGACAGACCGCAAGCACATCTGCAATGCTCACTGTCACTGCACGAGGAAAATACATTAAACCTACCATGGAACCAGTTCCCCTTCGCTACAATGGCCACAGTAAAAGATGCAATTACAGCTATTGCCAAGGATGGGGACAAACTATAACCCTGATACATTGTTAATTCAGCTGCTTTGGAAAATAGCAGGGCAGTTTCTTATTAAGCTAAACATAAATGTACCATTTGACCCAGCAGTTCCAATCCTGTATATCTACCCAAGAGAACGAAAACACATGTCCACACAAAGACAATGTTTACAGCACACTATTCATAGAAGTCAAAAAGTGAGTGACTCAATCAACTGGTGAATGAATAACCGAAACGTGATACATCTATACAATGGAATAGTAGTCAGCATAATAGAAAAGAAGAAATTACTGGTACATGCTATCACGGACGAAACCCCAAATGAAATGTTAAGTGAAAGAAGCCAGACACGAAAGACAACATAGTGTATGGTTCCGTGTGCATGAAATTCGCAGAAAAGCAAATCCAGACAGAAAGTAGAGGAGAGGTCGCTGGGGGCTCCGAATGCAAATATGAATGAGAGACTGTTTTGGAGTGATGGAAATGCTCTAAAACTCAATTACTGCGAGGGCTGTACAATTCTCTAATTAACTAGTAATCACTGAACTATACCTTCAGACGGGTATTCAATGGCATGTAAGTTATACCTCAACATGATTATTAAAGAAAACCCAATGCTGAGTGAACAGCGAATGCTCTGTGCAGTGTGACATTTCACGTAAATGCGAAAACACAACGTATGCATAAACACATACATATGGAAGCATAATAAATACAACACGATGTGAGTACACAGACCAGACACACCCCCAAACCAGACACACTGGCTGCGTCGGGGGGGTGACTCTGCAATGTTTCACACAAAAACAAGCGTATGGTAAAACGTTAACATCTGTCCATTTTGGGTGGTAAGTCATGAGTTTTCCCTAAATTATTTTTTGTACTGTCCCATAATTTTTCAATTAAAAATCAAAACTAAATTGAACCAAAAAGCCAAAAGCAAACATAAATGATTACCTAGTTCCTTCATTAATTTTAATTCCTTTATGGCTTTAATTCGAATATCAAACACCACCTAAAATAGAGAAATAAACTAATGACTGTGTATAAGTTGAAACAATGGGAGGAGAAGAAAATGGAGATTGTCAGTGTGTGCATATGCAGGTTGAGCTATTAATTACCTAACATTTGGTAGTTTTGCCTACTTGAAAAATTTTTTTCCATCACTGAAATACATTTCCTCTTTTCTACAAAGTCAAAATTAAAACCTAGACCTTAATAGTTAAGTTTTTACCAAAATGATGTTAATTGGGACAGAAAGGACTCCTACAGAAAACCAAAGAAACAATTCTAGGTAGAAAAAACAAAAATTGGCAACCGCTAACATTTCTGATGAGAGAAAACAAAAGAAATTTCAGGTAATCACACCTCTCTATGTTAAAAATAATGAATTCAGTGCCAATAAGTAATATAAAAATGTAGAATGCTAATCCAAGGGCACTATTTCAATTGCTTTAAAACTTTCTTCTTTTGTTTAGGCTAACTGCCTCTAGAGCATAAAACTGCAGAGGTTTAGGGGCAAAGTGAAGTCAGAGGCCCACTCTGCCCGCCCACCGGCGCCCACGCTGTGCTGAGGAGGATGGGGACTTCCCCCACGTCTCCCACGCGGGGCCGGGGGTGGGTCTCCTGAGCTTTAGCACATCGGTCTTACACCGTCCCCCGTACTGTACCAACAAATATTAACGCGCCTTAAGAAATTACAACACTCCCTTTGGCTTTGTCCATGTGTCCTTTATGCATGTTCCTGACAACCCTTCCCCCTGTGACCCTATAGGATTGAGGGTAGGAGGTGGGGTTGGCTGGGGTGGGAAGGAGTAGTGGGGGGAAAATGGAGACAATTATACTTGGACAACAATAAAATAAATAAATAACAAATTAAAAAGAAATTACAATATTCATAAAGAAATCACTCTGTTTCTTTTAATGTTACAGAAGAAACTTCATGAATTGAGACTACATAATATAAAAGGATGTTTTCTAAAATAATGTCTAAGGAGACCAGCATCACAGTCTTCAGAGGGAAGAGTGAGGGAAGGAACCCCTTTTTAAGAGAAGCTGGCTTTATACACAGCACAGGGTATAATGTAGGGCAATTTCAGTTAAACTTAAAAAACAAAAACAAAACAATACAACACAAAAACAAAACATAAATAACTGGTTTAAAAAATACCAAAAAGATCCATGAAAACAGCATTTTATATTGATGTATTTTGATAAGTATAAATATATATTTGTATTTTGGTATAGCATTATGTATTTGACAACGAAGCTAAAGGATTCCATGTACTAATTAAACAGCTAACTCCCACATTCTATTCTAGGCTTGGGAGGGAAGACAGGAACGTTTTCTTGAGACATGTTAAGGATATGTTGAGATAGGTAAACATACAATAATTAAATATTAAAAATAAAAAGTTCATTTCTTAAGATTTAGAAATCTACTGAGACTTTCCCGAAAGAGTACACTATTGGTTTCTAAGAACAATTCTGTTAACTCAAACACTGTCAACTGAACTTCATTATTATCTACTCACTGTGTTAACAGTTGCTGGTATTGTAATGTGCTCCTCTTCCGATTCTGACTGACATAAATTTTTAACTTGGACCCAGTCGACCTCATTTACACTAGTGATCCACTTCCCTTGTTTGGTCAACAAACTGTAGGTAAAAAAATGTTAAAAAAAATGTGTCTTGTAAAAGGCAGAAAACTGTACTTGAACAACAATTAAAATAAAAAATTTTTTTTAAATGTGTCTTTACACAGCACTTTTGTGAATGAGGAAGGATCAGAAAAGCAGCATTTTTCCTGAGGCACCACTTCTAGAATTCTGCATGTGCCCCTTAATGTGGCTGATTAAAGGTGACCAACTTCTGCTGAGCTGGGGTTAGGCAGCACACCACAGAGTCCATACATTCAGGACTCAAATATTCTTTGACTTAGAGAAATAATTTGCTGCCACACTTCAAAGAGAGCTGTTGTAAGGGAACAACCAGTGGCTGACTCCTGCCTGCAGACCGCAGTCACAGGGGCTGGGTGAGAGCAGCCGTGCCCGGAGCCACCACGGACGGGGTCACGAGTTCAACAGCAGGACAGCCACGTCCAGACCGACACGGCACCCACGTGCCACAGCCGAGGGGTATCATTCACACCACACGCTGCGCGTCTCCATTTCGCTACAGAGCGCTACTGCACGTGCAGACGGCAGTCAAGGGTCTGGCTCAAACAAGCTTTCCCTAGTGGTGGTAATAAAGGATCTTGAGGAAGGAGTGATGTGTTTCTATAGACACAGAGGCACTGAATGGACTAGCAGAAGTCCTCTTTGGGAGAGAGTGTCGGAGCCCTGAAACACAATTCTACCCTCCCTTTCAGTTACTCCTACCCGGGACTCCACTGAAGTTCACAACCCTAGACACAGCAAAGCTTTAAGCACAAAGATGCTCTCTGAAGACAGCCTTAAAGTGGTAAAAATCTGGATGACAGACCACCAACTTACACCATACACCGGAATAAACTCAACATGGATAAAAGACTTAAATGGAAGTCATGACATCATAAAAGTCCTAGAGGAAAACATAGGCAGGAAAATTTCAGATATCCCATGTAGCAATAATTTTGCCAATATATCTCCTAGAGCAAGGGATATAAAGGAAAAAAAAATAAACAAATGGGACTACATCAAACTAAAAAGCTTCTGCATGGCTAAAAAAACCATCATCACGATGAAAAGGGAACCGACTGTACAGGAGACCATATTTGCCAATGATACATCGGACAGGGGTTTGACTTGCAAAATATACAAAAAACTCATACAACTCAACATCAGGAAGACAAACAATCCAATTAAAAAATAGGCATAGGAGGCCCTGGCTGGCGTAGCTCAGTGGATTGAGTGTGGGCGGCGAACCAAAGCATCGCAGGTTCGATTCCCAGTCAGGGCACATGCCTGGGTTGCAGGCCACAACCCCCAGCAACCGCGTATTGATGTTTCTCTCTCTCTCTCTCTCTCTTTTCTACAGACTACACTTTTAAACTCAATACACATGGTGGGGAAATAAGTACCTGGAAAACACCTCTTTGAAGGAATAACAGTGATAACTGTGATACAAAACGAACACGATTCACAGATGCTCTGCCCCTCTGCGTCACGGCCACTGTGAACAATGACACGGGGACTCTGCAACCTGACAGCATTCACAGCACCGAGAAGGTAGGGGACTGGCTCTTGTCCGTAACCTACAGTCTCCAGCACACGGAAGTTTGGGGGAGCGACACAGTGTGTGGCATGATGACCACAGGACCGACACCGCACACCGCCGAGACACGGGTAGCAAACACAGAGAGAGACAGTATTTCTGGGTTCCGAAAGTGACTTCGGGAATCAAAGGCGCAGCCCGCATGTCACCGCCCTGTGTGGGCAGCTGGGAGGATTTCAGGAGCCAACCGAAAAAGGACCGTGATGAAAACGGAATTGCCTGTGGCGCTCTTGTGACACGACAGCCAGAGAAACTTAGCTATGACCTTAATGCCACCCTCATGAAAAATGTGAGGGCGCTTCTTTGTAGGAATGGGTCTTCAGTTTTCCGGTGGGCGCGAATCAGAGTTCCTCAGACAGGGTTCTGCTTATAGTCAACTAATCCAGGCTGTATCTTGTCTACCCTTGCCTATCACATTTACAAAACAAAATCCTATTCCAGTATTTCTCTCCAACTTGCCTAACCTAGAACAGTCTTCCTTGCAATACACAGGACGCAACGTCTAGAGTTAAAAGAAACATTTAACTCTCATTAAAATAAAGGTTTAGAGTTCTAAGAGATAGTACTCTAAGGTAAATAACTTAAAAAATTATCTTTTCAGCGAGTTACCTGTTATTCTCATTCCTGGAATCCTGAATCAAAACGGAGCTCCCGTTTCCGAGGCCCTGCTCCCGGAACGTCTTGGCCAGGCCCTCCTCGGGGATGGCGGCCCAGCGCCTGCCGCCCGCAGACCCAGGCTCGTGGACGAGGACGACGCCGGCTGGGACCCCTACGGCTGTGAGCACGCTGCCCACTTCCGCGTTAGCCGGGAAGACCCGCAGGGACTCCGTCAACCGGGGACACCCTTCGCTGCCTGTTGCCAGACGCAGAACGTTTAAGAGCACAGGTTCACAGTCACTGCCAGTTGGAATCTGGACTCCACCAACCTACAAAAGCACCAGGACCATCATTAGTACAGCTGACATTTGCCAAAACAAAGTCAACATGATAACGTGGGGTGAGATACCACTCTTGCAGAGCGGCTTCCGTTTTCCCTTCTTAACCACGCTTCGTTGGTTACACCATTGCAGCTGCCGGGCTTCCGCGGCCCCGTCTTCTGGCGACTCCGGGACGTGGCTGTCCGGACCCCAGCGTCGTTTCTCCCGTGGCTGTGCGAGCAGGCCGCCCATGTTTGCCCACGGAGACCTCCGTCCGGACCCTGACCGGACGTCTCCTTCTGTTCTTTTCAAGTGAAACAAAGTTTTCACAATGTCTTTTAAGTGTCAGGAAGTCAACTTCAGACTTTTCTTTGCAAACTTTCTCTCGGCCAGCCGTGTTTTCAGGAGAGCAGTCTGGAGCAGGGCCGGAAGGGTGCCCCGGGGAACACACGAGACGGACTGGGGACGGACGGGGGACGGACCGGGCCGCGCGCCTCTCCCGACTCAGAACACCCGCTCTGCTCCTACGTGCCAGCCGCCCCCACCGCCTCGCTCCGCACGGCTCCGCGCCCCCATGGGGCGCTGGCACCAGGGCCGCACGCCGCGGAGCCTCGTCCTTGTGCCCGGCTCCCGACACACCGGCCGGCACAGCGCAGGCGCTCAACACTGTCTCGCTCGCACGTGAGTGCCTCTGACGGCGCCTAAAACTGACTGCCTGTTTCCGCAGCTGTCTGATACCCTTCACGTGTGCTGAGCAACGCCTCATCATAATGACTTAAAACACCCACAACTACCCGGGCATCTCTTCACCACATCTCACCTCCACTCCGTCCCACACAAAGACGTCTTCCTCGTCGGCGACGTCCAGTTCGCACAGAGTCAGGCCGTCTCCTGGGGAGGAGAGAGCAGGTCTCGGTGAGACTGCGCGCCAGGACGTCACAAACCCCACTGAAGAGAGAGCTGGGACACTTCAGTATTTTTTTTGAAAAAGCATCCCCATTTAGAAAAATTAAGGACAAGGCAGTAATTATGTTTATTATACTGATATTATTTTAATCTTCGTTCCTTCCATCACACACCTTACTTTTTCAATTTTTGTAAGCATTTCCCCATGTTGCTACACAAGCTTTGCGAGCATGATAACATGAAAAAAGAGTCTACTACCAAGGCCAACTGTACTTGACCCTGAACGGGAGTAAGGCTTAGGCACCAAATGGTCTCAGCTCCGCCACAAAAGAGCTGCTGTGTAACAATCAGAGGGATAACCTACATAAAATGCTCATCTCAGTACCTGGCACAGTGAAGTCCAAACCAGGCGTTACCACTGTGACTGCCATTCTCACTGCCTTGTTGGTATTTAAGGCAGTAAATACCTCTAAGCTCTCGAAGTACATTTGTGTAGCTACAGGAGTACATTTGTTTGTGAGGCTAAGAGTTGGGTGAAAAAATCACACTATATAAGTAAGGTTTAAATGGCCTCAAATACAAGTAAGTAAAAGGAGTTGCTGCGCCATCTCACCATCGAGTGTCTGGTAGACGTGAAGGCCCGCTGGCAGGAGCTTTGCCACACTGAGAACCACGTCTCCTTCCCAAGACTCTAACAGCTACGGAACGTGTACAGAAGAAAACAAGGAAAAGCAACATAGACATCACACTTCCAGGGTAAATGGGACAGGCAGCGTTCAGTTTACATGTGTGGAGGGAACAGAGAGCGAATGAATGAGGGTTCCCACCCCCGCCCGACGACAGGGAGGAAAGGCGGCCCGTTTCGTCCACCGGCGACTGGAGAGCCTGGGCGCGGACAGGGAGCGCTTGGCCCCTCTGCCCGACTCTACGTGACTAACAGGGAGGAGCTTTCGTCAGAGGCACACCGCCCACCATGCCAGCCCAGGAATCTGTCCAAAAGAGCAAAGATGATTTGTTCCATCCGTGCCGCTCAGGACGAAGCAGCACGACTCCACCACACACTAACATCCAGTGTGTCCCTGAAGGAAATGTTTCCCACTGACGAAGTGTAACAGATTGCCTGGGGCGTGTGTTAGGTTTCTAGACTCAAGACTCCGGAGGCTGTGGAAGCCTCGCCAAAATGAGGGCCCCACACAGACGAGCCCTACTGGGTCTCTTCCCCACCACACACGAGGCAGTGCTCGTCACAGGAACCTCGTGTTTACGAGGGACCGGTTCCCTGTGTCAGTCCCACGGCGTCCCGCCAGTGGTTCACTTCTCAGCTAAGAGAGACGTGCACTTAAACGTCTTTTCCATTTGCCACCCGAGGTCACACTAGACAGGGCCGATCCCCAGCTCCACCTGTATCAATACTGCCGGGACTGGCTCATAAATGAACTTTTAATATAAATGTTCAGAAATATTAGGCCATTTTAGAAATCCTGATGCTGATACAATATTTAAGATTATTCAAATCAACTAAAGTTGAAAATTCACTTGTTTCTGAAAGAAAAAAAAAACCCTTTTATTTTATATTTCTCTTTTCCTTGATCAGGAAGCAGTATGGGGTGAAGACATGGTTAAAAGCAAAGAAAAAATATGAGACCAGGACTGGATTAAATCACAACTTCTTCACCTTTAAGGGGGGGTTAGTCAGTGTGTTCCCATGAGGTTCAAGGACCAAAAGACGTAATTAATACGAAAGCAGTAGAAGTAAAATAAAGAGCACCATTGTTGCTGTCATTAACACACAACTGGATAAGTTATGTGGAAACAATGATTGCGACGACGTTTGCTTTTACTATAGTCAGTAGATGTTTTCCTGCATTTGGTGATCTTATTAATAAATGCTATTGTGTACTAAAAGACAGAGAAGTTAGCTGCTTTTATTTGTTTAGTAGCTCTTGGTTTTAGACAACATGCTTATCTTTGTCTCTTCATTTTCTTTAAAAACAAGTCTCTTACATTTATTTTTCAAAAAAGAGACAACCTTGTCTTCTTTCTCTCCCCCAAACAGAATATACCAGGTTTGATTCTGCCCCCGAAAACCAGCTGCAGGACTGCCTCTTGCCTACGCAGAGAACCCTCCAGAAGACTTCCCAGCGAGGGGCGAACATCTGGGCCATCCCTCTCTGAAACTGGCAGAGGTAGGGTTCTCCTAAGAAGCTTTGAAACATAAACAGTTGTATCTTAGGCAGGATGTTTGAAAAGAAGGATCCAGCTTGAGATGGACCTTAATATCTAAATTAAATGCGGCTGAATTACCTGAAATATGGATTGTCGCAGATCTCCTAAAGTCTTCCTTTGATCAAAGGTTAAATCCCACACGCTTTCTGTTTCAGAGACTACGGGGTGCAGGGCCCCATTGAAGAAGTGGTAGTGAGGGCCCAGGTGGAGATGCAATTCGATATTATTGTTTGTAGAATCATATTCTGCCCTTTAAAGAGGCATAAAAATATATAAATGCTATGTTTTTATAACAAACACGGTTTCATCTCAAACTACAAGTATTTGATTTGCAATATAAGTAAGTTCTCCATTCCACTTAAGTGTCATGAGCACCATTTTCTTCCACGCCCCAAAATGCCTCATCTCAGGGTCTCAACAATGGCACGACTGCAGCTCCGCCGCCGTGAATGGCGAGGACAGCGAGTTTAACGGACACACTGTGTGATGCTGCTCTCAACGCCGCACTCGCAACCCCCCAACCCAGAGACTGCAGTTGTGAGCAAAATGCTGGAGGCCTGCTTCTTGTAGCTGCGCGAGGAGTCAGACCTGCCAGCCCCTAACTCATCCTTACTTCCTGAGAGATCCGCACCGCCCCCCGAAACACCCGAAGCCGGCCTCACAGTCCTCCTGAGCCTCCTCCCTCCAGGGCCCCGGGCCTCGGTGGCAGCCTCGCGGCACGCTGCCGCACACCCCAGCCCGCAGTCGGGCGGATGGCGAGCTGGATGAGGTGGCCACCCCTCGGGTACCTCTGACGCAGTCTATGAGTGTGGTCAAAGCCAGCACTAGCTTTTTTGACGACCACATGACTAAAGTCTCTTAGGGTGTTCTTTTTTTTAAAAATACCAACTGCTAAGCCATACTACTCATGCGGGCTCTTTTTCACGCTTAAGATACTTTACTCTTCCAGGCTTTTGTATTTTTAGTGTCTTGACTTTTGTCAACATTTCCTTTAATCCTGGTTTGCCACTCAACTGCCTGCCATCCCCCAGCTTCAAGTCAGTGACACGCGCTGAGCACGCCCCTGCTGCACAGCCAGCCTCCTGGGCCCACGGGCAGGCCACGGGACACCCAGTTATCCAGCCCGGTGCCCCCCCGACCGTCGGAGAGCGGAGAAAGAGCCGGTTCTTCCGGGCCCAAGGCTAGACCTCGAGGGAGAATGCTGAGATAACCAGGCGCTCACAGAGCACCCCTCTATGACCCACTGCAGGAGCGCACTGAGACCGCCAGTGAGCCCACTAAGCGTGAGCGCCCCGTTTCCTTCCCTGCCCGCCTCTCCTGTCCCCACATGCCAGCTCCCCACAGGAGCTGAAACACGAGGGGTGCTTTTCAGAGCAGGTGCTCTCTGCACCGGGGGGAAACCGACAGGCCAGGATACAATTCGTTTCGCTCCACTACGTGCTCACAGACTTCTCTGGTCTCTTCAGCTTTGGTTCTACTCAGCCACGGCAATGCGTGTCACCATTTCCTTCCCTCTCGGATAGGATCATTTCAAAGTGAAAGATACTCACACCATACAAATTCAGCGGCTAGACAGATACTGCATTACCTAGGTTGACTTGTTTCCTTTTTAATTTTCATTGTTGAATACCTAAGACCTAAATCAGATCCTCTCTCCAGAGAAACCACTCAGTCTCTCAGAGTCAGTTAAAGGTACCTTCTTGCCTGAAGTTCCGTGTTGGCCGCATCCATCTCATCCAGTAAATGACGCGGAACCTTGTGCCGGGGATTAGCGCGAGCTGTGAACAGAATCCTGCGTCACCTCGTGCGAACTGCACGACGTCTGGCTGCCGCAGGGGCAGCGGGGAGAACTGAAAAGGACTGTGCCGGGAGCTGCAGACGCCCCGGCCGCCCGTGCGAACACCCTGTTCTCCGGCTCTCAGTTTCCCACTCAGAAAACGAAGGCGTGAGAACACATGGAAGGTGAACAGTTCTTCAAGCCAAGCTAGAATTCCACTTCTTCAGCTCTCTTTAAATATACTTTTGGAAAAGAACACCGTTTTCTTCCTAATAACAACTGCAACAATTTGTCCCTGTAAAAATTCTAAAAACTATCTTAAAAAGTGTAACAGAAATTGATATTATCTATAATCCCACGCTCAAGAGATACTGCTAAAATTTGGTATACAAACCCCTGGTCTTTTTTCTAGGCTACACTATGTGTCTTGTACACACACACACACACACACACACACACACTCTCTCTCTCTCTCTCTCTCTCTCTTTAAAGCAACTGGATTTGTTTCAAAATGGAATTGTATTCAATAAATTTTTAACTTGCTTTTTCATTGCATATATTGCCGAGTATTTTTCCAAAGCTTTAAATGACTGCATAGTAGTCCATTCTTTGAACAGTACGATCAGTCAAGCAGTCTTTTTCTGTTAGACATTTAGGTGACATCCTTCAGTCATTATTATAAAACAATGGGGGTAACAAGCATCTTTGAACATAACTATTTATATACAGCTCTGAATACTTCGAGAAACATTTGTGGCAGTAGCATTAAGTTAATGGTTTTAAACACACACACCAAATGGGCTGTGTGGCTTTATGTGCCTGCCAGCTGTGGGGGAGGGGCCGGCCGCTGAGCACCGGATTCTTAGAAGTGTCTGACTTGGTGGGAAAAGTGTCATCTCAGTGCTGTTTTGATTCACATTTTTGATTATGGACTAGGATAAGACTTTTTGTAGTTTACTGGTTGTTCCTCCTTTTGTTTCCTGTGTATTGCTTACTTATATCCTTTTCCCAATTTACTACTGAGGACAATACATATAAGAGCATTCTACAGATAGGGGAATTATACTTGTCATATATTTTGCTGTTTTCCACTAGCTTATCATTTGTTTCTTAATATTGCTTAAGGTTTATATCATTTTTCTTATTTTTTTCTTTCTTTGCTTTTAAGCTTAGAAAGGTCTTCTCTATCTTAAGAGCAGAAAAATATTTATATATTTTAAGGATTTTTTACACAAACATTAAAGGGCTATAATTTCATTCAAGTGAGTAGTAGAGTTTTAAATAGTAATTAGTATAGTTACAGCTTCATAAGTATGTTTTTCCTGAGACAGCAATCTCCTTCAGCAAGCCCCTTCTTCTGTTTCCACCAGTTTACCTCCCTCTGTCAAGTTCAGAGTCATTGTCAGGTACCACTCCTTCGTCCCCCGCAAAGAGTCCATCAAAACCTTGGCTGGACCTTTATTCAATTCTCAAGCTAATCAGAAAACTGTCATTTAGTATATATTTCAATTATGCACACACTAAAATTCAATTTAGTGAAAAACACAATAGTTCATCTGAAAATGTTCTTTTTTCTGTTAACACTCAGTTTTATAACTGTGAATTCTGCCCCACAATGTATTTATCAGGACCATCACCGTATCTTCCCCCTGTTAGGAAAATACAAAGCCCTTCCTGGTTAACAGAATAGTTATGCAGCCGTTTCAGATCCAGAAAGTTGATCTCCTTCGACGGACACGCACAGTGTTGATTGCTTTATTCTCATTCTTTATAAAAATGACCACTCTTCCCGTTCTCTAACAACAGTATCTGCATCTCTAACCACAGATCTGTCTCAGTCTAGCGAGCTTGCCTCGTTAGGAGTTTCTCGTTTTGAGTGGACTTGGGAAGTGGTCGGAGTCTCCCAGACCGACTCATGATAGTGGCCTCAGTTAAATGGGTGTCACTGTCGGTCCCGGTGTTTGACTTCCTTAGTATAGCTCCCTGAGAAGGTTCAACAAAGAGTGTTTCAAAGATACTCCAAAGGCGCAGAGAACACATTACCCATGGAGGGAGAGGAAATCAGAAACGAAAATAAAAGGGACAAAACGAAAATAAGACCGAGGCTGCTCACCACTCACCGGGAACACGTGCCCAAATGACAGGGCCGAGCGTGAGGGTGGGCGCCCACCCTCGGGTCTGCCCGCACAGCGAGACCCATTCGCCCACAGCGCGTGAGCCCAGAAAATCCAACTTCCAAAATCCGACCATGGCCTCATATTATTAGAGGAAAAAAAAAATAGGAATATGTGATCTTAAAAAATGACAGATGGCTGTATTTCTTTTGGTATCATACATTCTTACTGTTAAGTATAAAAATGTTTTTAAATGTCCCAAGAGTAAAACTCCTTTTGAAAGGGTAACAGTGCAAATATTATTTAATATTTATCTTCTAAAGTCATCAATTTACACGAACAGGAACGTTTTTCTCCCCGTACCTTCAGCAGGTCTCTGCAGCTGGGACTTCCGATAAAACAGCATGTAGGCACTCTCCTTGCCCTGAAACTGCTGTTTGATATCCTTTTCCTCAATGGGCTGGACCTTGCAATCATTTATATCAAACCAGTGCGGACAAGAGGCTCTACCATTTAACCCAGCGGAGTCTGAGGTGAGTGTCTGGAAAGCGGGCTGGTCCTTTCTTTGGGAGTCTGGCTCCGCCTCCAGGGAACAGTTCTTCAACAGACCAACTGTGCTTTCATCTGAACTGAGCAGGAACACCTGAGAATGAAGCTGTAAGAACTAGACAAAAAACAAACACTAGGTCAACAAAAAGATTTTTTTAAAAAGTAGAAATGATTAAAAAATCTCTTCATCTTCCTTCCTGGTATCAGATATTTTAGCTTCATCTTTATTTTTGGCCTGGCCAGCTAGGAGGGAAAAAAAGCCATTTGGGCCATAATGCAACATTTAATAAAAATCAGTGAGTTCTCTGTGAAATGGTTTAATAGTTATACCAAGCAAGTTACGCCACAATCTAAAAAATATTTTCATTATACCCTAATGACAGTCTTATGAAGTATTTACAGAAACAGATTAGGTAGGACGAAGTTTTGAAAAATTTAAAGCAATCTAAACAAAGCACAAAACAAAGGCAATCACACAGTGAAGTCCTGTAGAAGATAATTCCAAAACCAATGACTCAGACAAACTCTGCTGGGATAAACTAGTAATTATAAGCCTAAATTACTGTTTAACATCAACTAAATTCCATGTTTTTTGTCCTGGAAGCTGACAGGCTAGCTCAGGAAACCAATGCATAGGAAGGCTTAAGAGGCCTAAGTCATACTGCTAAAGGCCATTTCTCAGGTTCTGCTACTGAAGTACTGAAGTACTGGGGAGAAGAACAATGTCCTCTGCCCGCTGCCTCCCCCCTCCCCCTCCCCTCCTCTCCCCCCTCCTCCTCTCCCCTCCTCTCCCCCCTCCCTCTCCTCTCCTCATTCTGTCATCTCTGTGCTGCCTTGCATCTCCCTGCTTCTCTCAGCACAGTTACTTTATATAGGAAATCGCTTGGCAGGTCCATGTGCCATTCACTGAGCTCATCAATTATTATGAAAAGGTGCACATTTCTCTTGGAAAGAAGGAATCTGAGGCAATGCCAGCTCTCTAATCTGAAGTGTGATTCTATCACTGATAGAAGGCATAGGGTACACGGCACAAAGACTACGTTGTTAACACTGTGTAGCAGACAGTAAAACAGTCTGGTAGCCACTTGTTTCAGGTACAACAAAAACCCAACAATCTGAAAAGGTTGAGTGGGTGGTGCCCTTTCTGAAGGGCAACCAAATTCTGTGATTTGTTCTGTGGTTGGCAGCTGAGGACTAACTCTTTTAAGCCTTGAACTCCAGGGCCATCTGGCCCCAGCAGTGACAGAGAACTGTCCCTGAACTCACCCCCCTAATAAAAACAATAAACTCTAAAGAAAATAATGAGAACAACTGTTTGCAGAGTAGCCAAAAGCAGGCATAACGTGGAGGAAACATAGTCCTTCTAAACAGAGAAGCAAAGTAGGCGAGTTCTCCATTACACACCACTTTGCAGTTCGCATCAGCATATGGTAGATGAGAGTTTAAGCAAAGTCTCAGTAAATTCAAAAGAACTAAAATCATAAAGAGCATGCCCTCAAAGCACCAAGAAATTAGTAAGAAATCAACTTACAAATATAACAAAAAATACTAGACAGCCCCCAAATATCTGGAAATTAAGCAACACTTCTAACTCATGGGTCAAGGAGAGAATCACAAGGAAATTACAAAATATTTTAAATTAAATGATAACGAAAACCTCAAATTTAGCTGCAGCTAAATTACTATCAGAAGGAAATGTAAAGCTTGCAGGGTGTGTGCGGAGCCACAAAAACCCACTGTTCCGAAGCCTGAGGGGGAGGTGGGACCACAGGGGAAGCCTCCTTTTCTTAGGCACATGCTGCCCTGTTCTTCACGGAGGTGTCCTCCCTGCCTCCGTTTGCTCTGTGAGTAAAACCCCGGAATGAAGACAGGCCTTGAAGTGCTGCGCCTGACACCTGACTAGGGAGCCCGGACGTTCCTCTGGCTTCTCGGGGGCTGTACGGAGGGTCTGTACGGAGTAACTACATAACGGGGAACATGAGGCAGGTAACTGAGTAAGAGCCAGATGCGCAGACCCCGCCTACTGGGTTCTCATGGTCCTATCTCCAGCCACCCCCAATCAACACCGTCTGCTCTTCCTGAGCACCGATCAAGAATACAACCTTCATAAACATTTTATCAACAAACTTTAATGAGAACAAGAATTACTGTGGCAACTGCAGTAATGACATTTATATCATGTGTTTTATTTTGAATATTCCATATTACGTAGTATACTGAGCATATCAATAAACATATCTTCACACACATAAAAAAAGCATGTGTTTAAAGGTTTAAAAACAAGCCCTAGCCGGTGTGGCTCAGTTGGTTGGGCATCATCCTGCAAACCAAAAGGTCGCTGATTCGATTCCAAGTCAGGGCACGTGCCTGAGTTGCGGAGGTGGTCCCCTGTGGTACGTATGGAAGGCAACCAACCAATATTTCTCTCAGAGCATTATTTCTCACCCTCTCTTTCTTCCTCCCTTCCCCCTCTCTAAAATTAAAAAAAAATAATAAAATAAAAGGTTTAAAAACAACTGAGATACCAACTCAAGAAGCTAGAAAAAAAGATGATCAATGATCAAGTTAAATCCCAGAAGTAAGAGGAAGAAATAATTAAAAAGCAGAAATCGGTGAAACAGAAAACAGATGAACAATAGAGAAAATCGAAGGCAAAAATTTGTTTCTGGAAAAGTGTAATACACCTGATGAGCCCCTAGCAAGACTGGTGTTTTAGGAAAGTGAGGAAACACAAGTTACTAAGATCAGGAATAAAAAGGAGGAAATAACTTCAGGTTCTACAGACCCTAAAAAGCAGCATGAGATGTTTTGAACAATTTTATGCCAATATATTTGACACTATAGATAAAAGGACAAATTACTTTAAAAATATATACTGTGACAAGAATAGAAAACAAATAACTCTACAATCAAGGAGAATAAAAATATAATTTAAAAATCCATACTACAAAAAATGTCCCAGGTTTAATCAGCTTCACCAAACAGTTAAGAAATAACAATCAATCTTAGATAAATTCTTCCCAAAAATAAAAAAAGGGAATATTTCGCAACTTGTTTTATGAGTCCTGCATAAACCTGATGCTAAAATCTGACACACATACAAAAGAAAACTAAAGATGAATATTTCTTATAAACATAGATACAAAAGTCCTTAATACAAGCCAAATGAATATAGCAACACATAAAATATATCATGACCAAGTGACTTAACCCAGAAATGTAGGATTTGATTTAAATCAAAATGATCAGTTAATAGAATCCATATGAACAGAGTAAGAAAAGAACCATGTGATCATATCAACAGATATAAAACGAACAGCATTCGATAAAAATCTAACAGTAAGATGAAGCTTCAGTCAAGTATGAATAAAAGCTACCTTAAACTTATAAAAGGTATTTATAGGTAAAAAAAATTCTTGCACAGCTAATAAAACGAAATACTGAAACACTGATGCAATCATTTTAAATGAAAACCTTAAAAGCTTCTATGGACTAACATTTATTTATGAACTGTGATCTAATTAGAAGCCCCACTTAAAACCACTGAATTGAAACGTGTAAGCCCTTGCTCCTGTAGGACACAGCGCCGAAATATTTACTGTGTTCTGCTGCTTTGCTTGTCTTCACCGAGTTACCTCTTGTTTCTGGCAGTGCCATTCCCCAGAACTGTGCATAAAAGAGCGATCAAGGGAACTTTGGGTGATACCTGAGGACACTGCTATAAGTAAAATAAATTTTAGGTTATAAATTTTGTGACATTTTTGCTGTTGTGATTAAAAGCCCCTTCCATCTTCTTCTGCTTATTTCTTGATTCTATAATAAATTACTTAATACAATACTTAATAAGTGACTTAACTGAATACTAACCATTAAACAGAAATATTGATCTTGTTTTCACCTAATTTAAATTTCCTTCTGCAAAGGAATTCTCACTGCTCAGATCATACTACACATTTTTTGGGAAAGGACTTTCTATAAGAATGTCATTGCCCTGGCTGGTGTGCCTCAGTGGTTGCAGTGTTGTCCTGTACATCGAATGGTCATGGGTTCAATTCCCGGCCAGGACACATGCCTAGGTTGTGGGTTTGGTCCCCAGTTGGGATGCATACACGAGGAAACCAATCAAAGTTTCTCTCTCTTTCTCCCATCAATGAATATATCTTCAGGTGAAGATTAAAAAAAGAAAGAAAGAAAATGTCATGTATTACCTTTCGCAGTGGTCCATACTGTTTTCTGTACTTCTTGTTCCAAGATATTCCTATCTTTTTCAAAAGTTTCTGGCCAAGCTGATCAACAGGAATTAGATTACTCTCCTCCTTGTGAAAGAAACACAAAGGCATTTAAGAAAGAAAATCTGATGAGCCCAAGCTGGTGTGGCTCAGTGGACTGAGCACCGGCCTGTAAACCAAAAGGTTGCTCGTTGGGTTCCCAGTCAGGGCCCGTACCCGGGTTGCGGGCCAGGTCCCCAGTAGGGGATATGTGAGAGGCAACCACATGTTGATGGTTCTCTCCCTCTCTTTCTCCCTCCCTTCCATTTTTCTAAAAATAAATAAAATCTTAAATAAAATCTGTAAAAAGATAAAAAATGAAGGAAGGAAGGAAATCTGATGAGATATAATGGCAACACTAATGAGTTCAAAGGGACCAGCAGGATTATATGTAACAGCAAACATGTACGTAGATTAATCAATTAGTTCAAAATAAAAAAAAAATTTTGAAGGTAGATTAAGCACCAGTTTAAAGAACTTGAATTTTTCTATTTTCCATGTGCCAAAGCTTAAACATTTAAAGAAGAAGATCCAAAGAGTATTCTGAGGTTTAGTAAATTTCTGACATTATGTGGGATGTTTAGAAGGAATATTTACATGCAAAAAAGGATTATTAATGTCTTCCCAAATGTTTCGGAGTATAAACAAGTTCTAACAGGGGGCAAGAACTGATTATTGCAAGCAGTGGTTTCCAACCTTTTTGGCACCAGGACCAGTGTCGTGGAAGACACTTCTCCCGCGGACAAGTCGGGGCAGGGGGGCAGGGGCGTGGGGACAGGAGACAGAGCTCGGGGGGTAGTTCAGCGAAACTGTGCTCATCCGCTGCTCGCCCGCTGCCGTGCGGCCCCACAGACCAGTCAGTGGCCTGGGGATGCCTGCGATGCAGGATGAAAAGTGACCCTTCCACCAAAATTGCTACGTTGAATCCCTAACCCTCTAAACTCCAACTGGGACTGGTTTTGGATAGGGCCTTTAAAGAAGTTAAGATGAGGCCATCAGGGTGGGCCGTGATGCGATCTGAGTGGCGTCCTGAGAGGAAACCTGGACGCACACAGAGATACCAGGGACGTACATGCACCGCGGAAGGGCCTTGGGGTCACCGGTTGAGGGCAGGCCTCGACAAGCCAGGAAAGGGCCTCAGAAGAAACCAAACCTGCCGACACCTTGATCTTGGACTCCCAGCCTCAAGAACTGCGAGGAACAAATTTCTGTTGCTTTAAGCCACCCAGTCTGTGGTATTTTGTTATGACGACCCTAGTGAACTAATACAGTGACCACAGACCAGTATTATTGTAGTTAAAGGGGTCAGCCTACGTCCCCAGCAAAGAATTATAAAAATCCACTTATTAAGAATGAGTGAATAAATAAAAGGAGACCTACTATCATTACAACAGGGTACAAGCAAACATTAAAAGTCATCTACATGATGTAGTACCGATATTAGGAATGAGAAAGGAGGCGTAACTCCAGGCCCTACAAGCATTAAAAGACAATGTAGGAAGAGTAGACTGTAAAATAGTATGTAAAGTAAATCCAAATTCTATTTAAGATGACAATAACAATATCAAAGAAACCCATAACCCAATCCCAATACATGTGTATAAACAGAAAGAAAACAGAATTTGAAGAATATGTCCAAGTGTTAACAATGACTTGAGCATTTGGTTTATTTATACTTTTCATTTTCTTTATATACTTTCTAGTTCTCTTCTCTCTCAAGTTTTCTACCATGAATATCTATTTCTTTAGATCCAGAAAGTTTCCAATTTAAAAAAATGTTTAAAAATAGATATAATGTCCAAAAGAAAAAGAGGGTATCAGATCTACCAAACTGATCTCCTTCACGTGTGTCTGACACACATACCCACACAAACACAAACACACTCTCTACCTGGGACAAGATTGCTTTTAGAGTCCTCAGCGGGTCATCCATTGCTTCTTCATTCTGATGATCTTCCAAATTCACACCTGGTTTACTTTTTTCCTTCTAGGAAAGAAAACAAAAAAGTTTCTATCATGGAGGGATCACTTGGTAAAGTATATGATTAAGCACTATACTACACACCTGAAACTAACAGAAGATAATACTGAATGTAAACTTAAATTGAAAAAATAAAAAATTGTTAAAAAACCTTTTATCACCAATCCCTTACAAGGAATTAACAAAATAGAAGTGTTTATGCTTTGGAGGTTCCAAGATGGAGAAATAACAATAAAAACAACAAAATCTGCCCATGGCTCTGAATTCCAGCTCGGCTGAATAACCCTGGGCAAGCCGTTCTATCTTCCCTGGCCTCCCCCGTGATCACGAGCGTGACAGGAGTGCAGCCGCTGGCACCAGACACGGTGAGCCCCAGCACTGTCCCGCTCAGCACCACATTAGCTGTGCTCTGCAAATTCTGCTGTGCTGTGCTCTCAACGTCACAGAGTTAAAGATATTTTCTGGTCTCCATCCAATTTATCCTCTTGTGTTGGCCTAATAAAAACCCTACCCATCTTTGTGAACTCAGCTTAAATACTCCCTTCCATTTCCTGATCATCCAAGTTTTCACGCCACTCTATAAAGTTATTTGGGAACTTATCTAAATTCCTGATACAGTATTTTTTACCGACTTATTTTTCACATATGCCATCTTGCAATGGACCTAAAAAATTAACACAAGACAAAAATAATGGGTAAATAGTAGAATATGGCAGATTAAATACAACCATTCTGCTGTAAAATTACTAAAAATGATAAAGTAAAACATAAAAAAAACAAAAAGATCTTTTTAAACACATGCCGAGCTGGCCAAAGACCAGGAGAACCCCCGGCGAACAAGCGAGGCGGGGACCCAGGGAGGAACCCCAGAGCTGAGCCCCCAGCTGCCCGGCGCGCCGAGCTGGAGCTGCCCGCTCGCGCTCGGACAGGGCAGGGTTTGGGAGAAAAAGCCCACGGACCTACCCGCAGTAGGGAGTCTCGGGTCTGATTTTCCAAAGCAGTTCTCCCAATTCTCTGACACCGCCTGGGTGTCCTACCCCTCAGTTCACTTCTCATACAAACTTCACTAAGTTCCATGAGACTGCCTCCCCTTACCAGCCACAGATGGGGTCCCCAGGCTCTCTGCACTTCTGCCTGGCTGATTAAAAATTCCAGGGTCCCCAGAACCCCCACTTCACGTTTGATGATTTCCTGAGGCAGTTCAGAAACCAGGAACTTACACTCAGGACCACTGGAGCGAAGCTCTGCTCAGCGCCCTGCTCCCTCCTGCTGTGCGGCCCGGGTCCTAACAGGCCACGGACCGGTGTATTACAGAGGGCACAAATGAACACTGAGACGAAGAAGCCCCCAGCGGAGGGTGACAAGGGTCCTGAGTGCAGGAGGCTCTGTCCCCGTGGGGTCACTGTGGCCACCCTCTGCATACAGGCGCATTCACCAACCCGGCAGCTCCCTTATCTCCTTATTGTGGAGTTTTCACCCAAGTCTCACTTTGTAGACATGACTGGCTGCATCACTGGCTCTTGGTGACGGAGTCTCCAGCCTCTCTCCCCTCCCAGGTTGGGGGCAGTGCTGAAACTGCCAACCCTCTTGCCATGGGGTCGGGTCCTCCAGTGACCAGCTCTCGCCCTGAAGCTATCTAGGCCCCTACTAAGAGTCGCCTCATTAGTACAAAGTCAGGTATGGTTGACAAGGGTTCATTATGGACAACAGAAGATATGCCTATCACTCAGCAAATTCCAAGGCACTCCATGCCAGACACCTGGGACAAAGACGAAATATGTATTCCTATTATACCATAGAGAGGTTTCAGCAAAACGCTGAAAACCTGAAAGGGCCACGCTCCCAATAACACCATGAACTAGAAGAAAACCCACCCCACAATAAATGACAACCAGGAACTGGCGTGCTTTGACCATGACACAAGATGAAGGCGGAAAATCATTTCCTCTAATAATTTATCATCACACAGAGGTCCCCGCGTGGGTTTGGTGTCCAAATTCACATGAGCTGTTGGGATCTGAAACCACTGCGTCAAGACCCTATTTTAAAGCTGTGCAGGGTTGGTTGGAAGTGGGAGGCGTGGAGGAAAGACAAACACGTACCTCTCCTGGAGGAAAATACTCTCAACAAAGGCCTCACATTACTTGTGTAAATCATGTTCTTAAAAAAAAAAAAAAATCAACCAACCAAGCCAGCAAGCTTATAGTCTAAAATCACAAAATCACAAAGAAATGGAATCAGCAGATATCCAAATTAGACACACAGAGTCTTTAGATGCTGCAGTTATCAGACACAGAATATAATAAAATAGCACGTTTAGTATATTTGAAGACAATTATGACTAAGGAACAAGGGATTTAAAAATGGCAGGAAGGGAAAGGCCAGCTGGCACTGCCCAGTATTTGACGCACTGGTGCAGCGGGCCCACAGGCTGGGCCCAGTCCTCCTCCACTCTGCCGGTGTCCAACCTTGGCCTTGTGGGGACAGGCTGGTGCCGCAGTGACACCTTCTCGGTCTCTCTTCCTTGATGTACAAGATAGTATGGAAGTGAGGGTGACCATCAGTGAGGAGAGCGGAAGGCGCAGAGCAGGCTCTCGGAGAGACTGACACGCTGACGTTACCCAGGGGAACTCGCGTGAGGCTGGTTACCAGACGGCCCCGAACGGAGAACTCCATGAATGCAGGAAACCACCCGTGACAGGGAGAAACCGCCCAACTACGAGCAGAGAGGACAGTGGCGGGCTGTGATAAGAACACCCGGAATCACCTGTCTCCGGGCACAGAGATCCCTCGGGATCCCGGCAGTGAGAGACAGCACTGTCCAGCGGCACCACTCACTGTTTGCACACCAGGAACCCCTGGATGAAAAGCTAGTGGTTCTTAAAGAGCAAATGAGGAAGGCGGTAACCAATGGGATGCTTCCTTAGAAGCCACGAATAAGGAAACACACTGAACACGATGGGAAAGCAATCTTCTGCTTGCTCTCTGAGGCCTAAGGAAGACCGTGCGGGAGTAACAAAGCTTCAGGAACAAAAAAGCAGTGCAGAGGGCAGAACCCAGTGCAAGGATGCCCGCGCGCCCTCCCGAGCCCCGCAACAGACCCAGGAGGAGCTGGGCCCGGCCGGAAAGGGGCTCCTCGAGTCTGAAGAGGGCAACACGGAACTGCAGAGATGGCCAAGGAAGCAACCCCGGAGGCAGACACGACTCCTGAGACCTGCTGCCCCTCCGCGGTGTGAAGCCACCTCTGTGCATGACCTCAACGGGAAATCTGAAAATGAAACTGCGATACATATTGTATGCATTGAAAGACGGAGGCTAAGTCCCTCCAGCTAGGAAAGTGCTGAAATGTGACCCTGGCTGAAGAGAAGCCACGGCAGACGCGGAGGGAAGCAGGCACATGCGCTGGGATGGAAGCTGAACTGCTGGAGGCAGGGAGCACGTCCCCAGGCTGGACACATGCTCCACTGGAAAGGTGGGCACAGCAGAGAGAACATAAACATCAGACCTGTTCACGAGCTTCCATCAGAGTGTAATGAAGGCTTCAACTGCATCTTCTAGACAGAACGGAATAAAGCTAATACGGCTGAGAAGGCGGGACAGGAGGCTCTACAGAGGAAGAACGCTCTGCTACGGGACCCCGGAAGCGCAGGAAAGCAGAGGGAAGGAAGGAGCACGGTGAGATCAGCTCGAACTAAGCCCGGAAGCTCCGAGGGCCGCGTTAGACCAGAGGGGTAAGTGCCTCCCTCCACCTGACGGGGAATGTGCCCGACACGCTGGTGTCTTGGCAGATGCCGCGCACGCCTTTGAGAGCGGTGCTTGTACGGCTTTCGTAACCCAGGACTGGAGATCTGGCAATAAACGAAATGGAGGTTAAAGGATGGGAAGAGGTGAAGCAATACTGTCTTTTCCCAAAGATATCTATAACGTAAGAGGGTTTAGCAAGATGGCTGGTTACAAGATCAATATGCTAGAAATAACTACATTTCAATACACCAGCCAAAGACAGTCTAAGAAACACAAAGTACAGATCTAGCCACACAGAACATCACCTTGGTAAACGTTTTCCTGATAAAACAGTTTGGCTTTTTAAATATCCAAACTACGTAAAACTGCCCTGGCTGGTATGGCTCAGCGGATTCAGCAACGGCCTGTGAACCCAAGGGTTGCAGGTTCAAGTCCCAGCCAGGGCGCATGCCTGGGTTGCGGGCCAGCTCCCCAGTAGGGGGCATGCGAGAGGCAACCACACATTGATGTTTCCCTCTTTTTTCCTCCCTTCCCCTGTCTAAAAGTAAATAAAGTCTTAAAAAAAGCAGGAAAATCTTTTAAAAATATCACATGCACCTCTCAATCCACTCCGCGAATAGGGACACAGAGCAGAAACAGAGTTCTGAAAAGCGAACTGGAAGCTGACACGAGGAACCAGCAGCCCGGAGAGGCTCGGACCCAGGGCAGCCCGACTGCTGTGCGTGCAGCCGCTCCTCAGTGACGACATGGTCAACCGCTCGACAATCCGGAAGACATGCTTTAATTATTCTCCATCCTAACATAAGGGTTTGCAGCTTACGTTTTGACATTTTACTGTGTTTTAGTTCCATTTTAAAAACTGGTTGAGAGTTTAGGGTTGGTGGGTAATACATTACAATTTTTCCCATTGAAAATAATTGGAACTAGATTCTCAGTTCAGGCTTTTCTTCCAAATATCTGCAAGTTCTTTTCCTGAGAATATTATAACACTTTTTCAAAAAAATAGTTGAAAAAGATCTAAAAAATAGATACACTGTTTTCATGTGTAGATGAAAAACTGCACTAAGCATGCGCAAGAGAGAGCATGACACGCTGCTGACTGTAGAAGCGCCCCCCCGCACCCCCCGAAGCTCCAACAGGCTGCACGGCCCACCACCCCCGCGGAAGGGCCGCACACAGCGAGGGCCTGGCCGGCCAGACTCCACGGCTCTCCCGCAGCTACGAGGCTAACAGTGCGGTACCGGCCTGGGAACAGAGAAGAACAATGCAGCTGAAGACAGAGCCCAGAAACAGACTTGCACATAAACAAACAACTGATATAACAGGACTGGCATTGTAAACTGGTGGGTCAACAGTGGATTATTCAATCAATGGTGATGGGCAGCTGGGCACTTAAATGGGGGGGGGGGGAACAACCTCACACCATCCACAGGAAACCATTCCAGGACGAGTGAAGTTTTCAATGTAAATGAAAAAGAAATTTTGAACTTGGGGTGGTGAACACACAATCCAACATACAGATGATGTATTATAGAACTGTACATCTGAAACCTATATAACTTTATTAACCAATGTCACCCTAATAGATTAAAAAAATAAAAAACTAAAATAAAGATAAAAACAAAACAAAAAACTCCCACCAAAGTTTTAGGAGATGACATGGGAGGAAAACCTCCCCTGTTTTTGGTTGGAGCCGTGAAAGACAGAAGAAAAGTTAAGGAGTGACTCCTTATTAAAGGGGACTTAGCGGTACGCCGACTGAAGGTGGCACGTGTCCCGCGCTAGAGCGGGGAGGAACGCGCCGCCGCACAGGGTCTGGGCCAGACAGCCGGTGGCACCCAGATGCGAGCTGCACGTTGGATACAAATATTCCACCGGCCCTCAAGTGGCTGATCTCGACCTCCACTGACGGAAGGGAGCACCCTCGCTTCCACGAGATGAGCACTGAAGTGTGCAGGGGTAAACTGAACCCCAAATGGCTCAGCTCTAGAAATGCTAACTCTGGGTGTGTGTGTGTCTGTTTACAAAAAGTGTGTACTTGCACAAATGTGGCAAAATGTTAACAACTGGAAAGTCTACTCCAGGCGAAGAGTATACAGGAAGTGTTTGTCCTATGCTGGTTATGTTTCTGTAAGTGTGAAATTATTTAGAAATAAAAATTTTGAACTTTTATCTGTACTAACTTTCAGTGCCTATGAAACTACTCTACAGAGTGTGAATATATAATAAATGGCGAAAGATCACAAGGAAAAAAAGTCAAAGGCACTTCTGAACTAACGTCTGTGCTCACCTGGCCCTGCCAGCTCCCCAGATGGTCCACGTCTTTAACGTACACGTGGTAGTGTCCTCCGTGGCAGCCGCCCTTGTGTATGATGACCGAGAAGAGGTCATACTCATACTCCGAGTCATCTAGGTCACTCTACAAGGGAAGAGAACACATCGCTGACGTGGCCTGCACAAACGGGGAACATACCTAACCACACAGGTAAAAATAATTTTAACTACTGGAATTAATAAAAATTTCACTGTTTACTATTGTTACTTAAGGGTAAATTAAGGTAAATTTGAATAACTGACTTTAAATTTTAAAGTTCTTAATTCTTAGATAGAAAATTATCTATCACTGATCCAATATCAAACACACTACACCAACCAAATGCTGCGTCATAGTTAAATATGAAAACATAGGCCCAAACAAGATGCCATTTTTACGAAGTTTGGCTGGGATAACGTAAGCCACTGTGCTAACAAAACCCACCACGCCATCAGTGAGTCTGTAAGGGCTAGCATACTTATCTTTGTACGATACCTGTTTTGCTGCTTTATAAGTGTGCTCTTTAACTGTTGAATTTCCCCTATATGCCAACTAGATTTGTCACCTGTCTCAAAGTCAAAGCCACATCTACTATTTGTCACAGCTCCTGACACACCAGTCCTCGGTAGGTTAGAGGAATTTAACAATCAATACCAGCTGGTTTTGTTCAGAAGCAGCTTAGTGGAATAAGAAGGTTTTTTCCTGATTTCTTAATTCTACGATCAAGTTTTTCTATAATTAACGTGCTCTATAATTATGACTGACCCAACAGATGAACACCTATACTGGCATTTAGAAGAAAAATCTACTTTAGGTTAAGGTGCTACTTGAAGGGTGCAAATTATTTAAGGAACTTATTTGCTTAAAAAATTGTACTTTTAGAGTAAGCAGCATTTTAAAAAAATGTCTGGTTCAGGCAAAAGACAAGAGAGATATAAACAGATGTGAAAGGATACATTTTTTCATTAATACAGATATCAAAAAGAAGTGTCATCGTGAGCTTCTTCAATGAGTGCTCGACGCTCTGCGTATTTCAGTTCTGTCACTTGGCAGCACGCTAAAGCCACCGGACACGCGGCCCTTCATGCGGCAACTGCAGGCTCCCACCGGAGACGGGGGGCTAACGAACCCCTGCGGCCACCGTCTCACGGCACACGTGAGCCAAGCCCTCGTGCTGCCCACCTGAAACTCCGCCGCCAGTGAGGCATGCCCGGTACTGCTCACTGGGAGAAACAGAATTAACGCGATTATCCTAAAAAATGTTTTTCAGGAAATAGAGGGAAGACTGACTCACTCTGGAACAACTCTCTCTTCCATGTGTGCCGATAACAAGCTCAGGGCCAACACCAAATTACCACCTTTGAATGGTGTTTCATGCAAAGAAACAAAATCCAAAAAGCTCAGTAATTAGGACTGAAGTAGAGGAAGTGCCATCTAAATTTAAGGTTATTTTTTGAAAACAGTACTTTTATACATAGATATTCAATAGCTAGCTAATAAATATTCTGATGTTAATAAACACATAAGGAATGATTTATAATAAGAAAAACATCAGTCTCATCACTATAATCCCGGTATGTGTGGTAATTATATAGAAAATACTTTAAAATGGCTCAGAAAGTAGGTTGAGTACGTAATTAATCGGTGTTCAAGCCTGCTCTCGCTGGTGTCTTCAGTATCACACCTCCCAGGGCAGCGAAACCCAATAACCTGTTCACTTTCTAGATGTGTAATTTATTATTGCATCTCAAGTAAACTAAGTTCAAATAGCAAAGTGCCAATCAATGGTAACTTCTCCTAATACAAGGTCATTTCTAATTTTGCTCTTAAATTTTCATTACAAAGATTTTTCAAGGAGGTTTAATGACAACAGCTGAAGACAAATCCATGCTTCGGAAATTCAAGAGGACTGCAGCAAACCAGTGGTTCTCGTCTGGGATGATTTTGCCCACTCTCCTTCCCCAAGGAGACGTGGACATCTGCCCAGGTCTGAAGACACTTCTGCCACTACTAGGGAGGAGCAGGAGGACGCTACTGTCACCCAGCAGGCAGAAGCCAGGAAAGTTGTCTCCCATCCTATGATGCGCGAGACAGCACAGGGCCAAGGCCGAGATCCTACAGTAAGCCAACTGAACAGCGGGTCAATTCAGGATGCGGTCTCGAGAGAGGAAAAACAAAGAATTCCAAAATGAAAGAGTTCCAACCTGTTCACAAAAAGGCTTGAGGTTGATCCGGAGAGGGAAGGTGTAACAGCTAGTCTCCTTGTATCGTTCGCACTTCACAAAATCGAAATTAAATCTTAATAATGAAACAGTAAGAAAGGGAGGCAGCTTACGTAATTTGGCCGACTGTTAAAAGAAAAATGTTACAAGTTTTTAAAAAGCAGTTACATAACAGAATACATAATGTTTCTTAACATGTGAAAAAGCAAGTAATGACAACTGCAGAGTCAAAAACTTACCGTGCTGGTTGCACAGAGCCCTTGATATAAACTCACGTCTTATCTTACGGGACAGAAGGTGACGTCCCTCAGTTGCACTTGCAACTAAGAACTCTACCCAATTTCATGCTGTCAGAGTTCATGCCCTGAACTCAAAGCTACCTGATGGGCATGTCCTAACTGCACACCCCACCCCCAAGGGTGGTGTCTCTTTCCTGCCTGGGCCCTGACCTTTCACCTTCTCCCTTTTCCTGACTGAAGAACTGGGACTTCAGGAGCTGTTTCAATGGATCCAGACCCCTGAAACTCTATGAAAATTGTACGTGTACATGTATTTTTCTGAGAAGATCCACAGGTTTAATTAGACTTAAGATCCACTGTTTGAGGTTTTACAGTTACTGTTCTTGAAAGCAGGGCAGAAGATGTGTTTTAATTTCTTACTTTATTTTTAAAGATTTTATTTATTTATTTTTAGAGGGGAAGGGAAGGAGAGAGGGAGAGAAACATCAATGTGTGTTTGCCTCTCCCGTTCCCCCTGCTGGGGACCCGGCCTGCAACCCAGGCATGTGCCCTGACTGGGAATCAAACCGTGACCCTCTGGTTCACAGGCCTGTGCTCAATCCACTGAGCTACGCCAGCCAGGGCTAAATCCTTACTTTAAAACAAAATAGAAAATTAAGCTGCTCTTTACTTAAAAGTCATCAGCTTTTCCCAACCCCCCTGCACTAAATGGCACATCAGGAGGGCAAGAACAATCCTTCCCCATACATAAAGTTATCCAGAATCATAAGTACCTAACATTCCTAAAAATATATTTAAAACAATAATCCTACAAATTGAGGATATAATAAAAAGAATTTAAATGATAAAACAGCACTTTAACCACATGGCACATTTTCAAACAAGCTAAAAAATATGTCTAAGAAACTGAGTAACTCAACTACAATGTGGCTGAAAAAAGACTGCTCAGAACAAGATAATCTGTATTAACCTAAATTTAGAGTGCAATAAATCTAATGCAACTAGAACATAGTATAATTTTTTAAGCCTCACCTGAGGATATATGTATTGATTTTAGAAAGGGAGAGCGGGGGAGAGGGAGAAAGAGACATCCATGTGAGAGAGAAACATTGGTCAGTTGCCTCCTGTATGCGCCCCGACCCAGGATCGAACCCACAACCTTTTGGTGTACAGGATGATGCTCCAACCAACTGAACCACCCAGCCAGGGCTAGAATGTAATTTTGAAAGTATCAGGATCAAGCATTTCTACTAGAAAAAAAAAATAAGCCAATAATATAAAAGTCGCATGAAAGAACTGCTTTGGTTGAGCAGAAGGTTGTTTTACTAATGTGCAAGTTAAGCCCAACTAAAACTAAGAATGCAATTAAGTAACTTTCTCAGAGTTTTTAACCCTCTGAATTTTATATATTTTTTATTAGATTGTAGTTGTTAACACCAAAGGTGAGATGCAAACTAAATAAGCAAAAAATAAACCTCTTCATCTGAGTTTCATAAAGGGGTGAAAGCTGGACGCAAATACGGACTAAACAATATATTCATGCCGGCTGCTAACCCTACAGTGAAAGCTACGGGCAGGGGTTTATTGTTTTTATCACACTTTCGCCTACAGTCTCTAGGACCCAAATCAATACCATGTGCTATCTCAATCATCCCTCACTTTCTCTGCCAGAAAATCCAGGAACTGTCGTCAGCTGCAGGAGTAGTGTGATCTCTCTGTCATAACAGAGTGACTGCACAGACGTGCCTTCCGCGGTGGTTCTTTCCGCCAGCAGGCAGTGACCACTAACTGAATCACTGCAGTGTGTCAGGCTGGAAGAGCCCGGGAGCCCACCGCCAGCAGAGGAACAGCAGCCCCTGCAGGTAAGAGTGGCAGCAGCAGGGCTGGAGCCACACGGTAGGAAAAACCGCTGCTTACACAGTGCCCGCCTCTCATCCCGTTCTGCTCCCTGTCCAACAGAAACCCAGAAGTGCTCGGTCGGCCCTTTGATCAGCAAGTCGAGTGCTGCTTGCTCCAGCTGTGGGGAGAGCGAGCACGTCACACCTGCGAGAATCAGGGAGGAGACACACACACGGCCCAGTACCGTGAAGTCACTGCACATGCAGGAAGCGAGGAAAGCCATCTCTTTTCACAGTGGTGGGCGAAGAAAGGAAAGCTCAACAAGCTTCTTGGTCGGCAGAAATAAAAACACATTGCCTTCTTCATAATGGTAACTTGCAAAAAGCAGGGATGATGGGGAGTTTATCCACAAAAGGTGTATTTAAGAAACACTAAGGTACAAACAACTTTTTCCAGGGAAAGAAAGAAGTTGAGAGAACTACTGGGCTAAAAACTTAAAAAGAATTCTTCACTATAAAAAATTAAAGCCCTGGCTGGTGTAGCTCAGTGGATTGAACGCGGGCTGCAAACCAAAGTGTCGCAGGTTCGATTCCCAGTCAGGGCACATGCCTGGGTTGCAGGCCACGTCCCCCAGCAACTGCACATTGATGTTTCTCTCTCTCTCTATCTTCCTCCCTTCCCTCGCTAAAAATAAATAAAATCTTAAAAAAATAAATTAAAATACAGATATGTATAATGTAAATGTGGTTTTGATTCTTAGTATTAACTAAAGGTTTCATGTATGAGGCCCCCCCCCCCAAAAAAAACACCCTGGAATTATCTTCCAGAGGGCGGGCCCCTTGTAGGACAGGCTCCCTTCCTTGGGTGCATGTTCTAGGAACCCATCTCTATCAGTGGGCCAGCTGGCGTTGTTGTGAGAGGCTGTGTTTCATTTCAGTGAATTTTTTTAAGACTTTTTCAGTGTGTTTGCCCCCTTCACGATGGGTGGTTTACAAGCGCACCTGCCCACACCGCGCTGAGCGTTCAGCGGTTTCTGACCAAAAACGGCCTGACCCCCATGCCCCACCCTCCCTGTCCAGCCTGTCGCCCCAAGGAGCTTGTTGTTTGTTTCCATGGATGAAAAATGTCCTCAAAAGGAAACGTTCTGCCAATGTGGAAGAGGTGAAACAAAAAATGCCAGAAGCCACCAAAATCGGCAAGTTCAAAAACTGTTTGGAGCAGTGGAAAAACATCTCAATTGGTGTAGTGCACCCAATGGAGACAACTTTGAGGGTGACTGAAGTTTAAACATGTAAGATTAAACACACAGTTTTTAAAAATAATCCCCAGCTCTTGTGGGTCCCTGCTCGTGTACCCTGCAGACTGTTTCAAACAAGCTGGCTGCACCTGGCAGACCTGCCTGCCCCAGGTACGTTTTCGAGGCGCGCTCCCCGAGGAAAGGGGAGGCCCGTCTTACCTTCGCTGCGCCCACCAGCCTGTCACAAGCTCCGCAGTGGTACAGGTTGTTGGAGTCGAACACCTCCTCTTCCACATACATGTTCCAGAGCGCGTCTTCCAAACCCGACACGTTCTTGACTGCTACTGTGAGGTCTAAGAAGTCTTCCTGGAATACACACAAATAATTCTAAAAAACAACTTCAGAGGTTCACATAATGTTACAAACTCATCTACATCTTGGGAATAATCAGACATATTTTTCCTAAAACACTGTGCCTACCAAAGTACAGATCTCCTGATCATTTACTGTGAAATTCTTAACACCAAACCATCTTTTCTAAAACAAGCTGTAACTGAGCTTGAAACACGCCAGGAGCTAGTGCGGGAGTCCCCTGCTGACAGGCTGAAGCCTGGACCCGCGTGTGAACTGAGAAGGGTGCAGTGCAGCGCGCATCCGCGCTGCTGGGGTCTCCAGGCCAGAACAGCGCGGGCGGAGCTGAAGACTCTGTAACAGACCCTCTGCTGCCCCCTCTGCTGCCGCCGGGCTGGTTTAAAACACACTGCGCAAGGTGTGAGGAAAAAACCAGTCTGAGCCAGGATGAAAAGGATTCTTATGAAGATTAGGAGGAAGGAATTTTGCAAAATGGGAATCTATTAAATTCTACTATACATTTGAATTACAACATGTTTCTAGTAATACACACTTAAAATCTGACAAATTTAAAGAATATTTCGTTTTAATAGCATTAAAGGGATTATGGGACTGAAAAATGACAGTACTAATCAGTTCATGGTGGAAACCTAAAGTAATAAAAGTAACATTTATATATAGTTCACTACATATGTGAAAAGTTAATGTCTGTAACTTATCACGTGCTTTAATATACAACATGGTTTAAAATTAGTTTGTGAATTATTGTTATAGTTAAATCAATCGTACAGTAATTCAAAGACATACATCATCTTAATATTTCCAAATTAGTTGGCCAAACCTACTAGCAAAGGCAATAAGAGACAAAAAGTATGTTTTATCGCCAATGCTCATGAAAAACAGAAAGAGACAAAAATATATGTTCCCAAAAAGCAATTACTGTGACACTCAGACAATGACATCTAGTTTTTCCTCATACAACACAGAGACCCCTGTAAGGCCCGCGCTCACAGGAGATCTGCATCAAAGGGCAACGGCTCCAAGGAAGCCGCCTGCCTCCGAGGCTGGGGGGCGGGTGGGGGTCGCTCCAGTCACATGAGCAAATTCCAAGTCTACTTTCCGATGAGTCTAAATGGGCAACCTGTGCAAGACAAGGAACTATAATGGTGCACATGCGTGCTCTCTCTCTGTATGTATTTTATACACATAATAACCATATATAATATTTAAACATAAGCACACACACACAGATGAACTTTCTCAAAGACATTAATAAACTAAACCCAATATTTAATTACAGATGTTTGTTAGCTCTCTGTATTTTTCTGACTTCCCTAATTAACCTCCTAACAGTCCAACCACCAGCCAGATGAAGTCACTCTTCTTGTGAGGCTACAGATCTCTACCTGTAACACCCCCCAACCCTACTTTCTAAACATGAGGGTGCTGAATCAAACATCACAGCTGTGTTTTATGAGATCTGCTTCTTTGGGTTTACATGGAGAAATCGGGATATAAACTTATGACTTGGGTATAGCTGGAGTTAAAAAACCAATACAACGATTTCTAGTAATAAACGCTTTACTCATGTGATGCTGTAGGTCACAGAATGAATGACACGAACTATATTTAATGATATCACTTACTACTCAAATGCTCTCGCATACTCACCTGCTTTTCACTGACATTCTTACATTCTTTACAGACAATCTGGTTAACAATGGTTCCGTGATAGAGGCGATTGATGAGGTCGTGGCCGGAGGTCCCGACTAAAGAACTTTCCAAAGCGCTAAAGAGAATCCGATTCAGTTCCTGCACATCATGTTGCCTCATTTCCTATAAAACAGGTGACTTTTAAATGTCATTTTGTGCCTCAGATTTTTAAAAACAGATTTTAAAAGTATTGTTAAAAAGCCCCACAAGATTTATCAAGAAATCCAAAGGTAAACCTCGATCAAATATTAGGATGACTAATCTAAAGGGGCTGAGAATAGGTTAGAAGATCACCACCTACTTTTATTTTTATTACAAAACGAAAACATGGACAGGCAGAGTTCCGTGTGCACACGTAACTCGACCGGACAACAGGAAAGCACATTTGTTCCCGTGGGAACCACGCGCGCGGCCACAGGGCGGGCACAGAGCGCCCACCACGAAATCTCCCTCAGCTCAGGGGGCTGGTGAACAGTTCGAGTACCGGTGCTTGAAAAGAGCGGGGATTTACTGCTTTGACCCACAGACCGACCAGAACAACACTAACACAGGGCTACTGAGAAAGCTCCACGGGAGCTCGCTTTAATCTGTGCGTGACTAGACTGAACTACTCCTCCAAGACAATGTGTAAACCAAAGCCGAGGGGTACACCGACACCTACAGGGGAGGAGAGGACGGCTGGCAGGAGGCAGCAGCAGAGCCAGAGGGCAGCAGCTGGTGCTTGCAGAGGGGCGGTGGAGTGTGACCAAGAGCCCGCTGGGAGCAGAGAGCCCGGCACGTGGAGCTGGCACGTGGATGTCACGAGTGACTCTGACAAGAGGGGTGGAAAGGAGCTGGAGGAATAAGGGGAAGGTGCAGAAGCAGAGGCAGTGAAGGAAGACGATTTTAAATTTTAAAAGTAAGCTTCTCGTAAAGAGAAGCTGACCAAGTGGATAAAAGCTGCGGCAAGACACAGGACTCGGGATCTCTTCCTTCCTTCCTCTTTCCTTTTTAAGCACCCAAGACCCCAGAGGAAGCGAGCCTTCCAGCCTCACTGGCTTTGCGGGAGGGAGCGCGCGGAAGTGTTCAAGCTCTGTTTCTGAACAACCCCGAGTCGGCCCAAAGTGTCTCAGAGACCCCGCCTGCCACTGCAAGTCCAGTCTGGAGGGGTTTCCTGCCAGATTTTATTGAGAAAGAAATAAGGTTTTCACAGCTTTAACAAGCATGAAATCAGAAAAATTAATGGGAGCTCGTTATCCAAAACAAAGGGAAATCCATGAACCGATGACTAGATTTAAAAAAACATGTGGAACATCCGCCCAACAGGCTATTACGCGGCAACAAAAAGGCAGGCAAGGCTGATCCATTCCGTCTGATCCCACTGCTGCGACACGTGCAGAGCGGGCAAGTCCACGGGACAGAGAGCGGGTCAGTGGTTGCCGGGGCTGGGCGGGGGACTGGGGGAGGGACACGGCCGATGGGTACGGAGTGGGGAAAGGGTTTCTAAAACTGATAGTGGTGACCGTTACACAGCGCTGCAAATACAGTAAAAGCCCACTGAACAGTACCCTCTAAACGAGGAAATCTTAGGACACGTGAATTATGTCTCAATAAAGTGGTTATTTTTAAAATAAGGAAAGAAAGAGGAATTAACCCTAAGCACTGCCCCACCCCAGAACTTTTAATATTCTGTTTGGGCAATGTATCGTGAACCCATTAACATCAGAGCCCAGGCCCTACCTCTGTAACCACACAGCCTCGCCCAGTTAAAGGAGCGTTCCTGTTAGAAAAGGACCACAGTTCAGAGCTGACTGCTGAAGGCAAGATAATGCTATTTTGATCACTGCCTCTTTAAATTCTGTGACAGTCTCCCAGATCTGTGTCTTTACAAGAGCACACCTATTCCATAAAAAAAATTGTGGACTTGGTTTTGTTTGATTTAACACAGCTAACAGCTATTGACAGCAAGCACCTTTACCTGCTGCTGACAAATGTTCTGTGCTTGTATACAGTGAAATGCCCTTCAGGGACGCAGACGGAACAACAGACGGAACAACGAGACAAAGCCTTACAACAAACAGGACACAGGCGGACAACAAGGGGAGTCGGGGGAAGGCAGGGCAGGGAGAGGGCAGAGGCCTGCCTGACAAGGACGGTCTCACAGTTTTGCTTGAAGCACATGTTCAAGTCTGAACCCCCGGATTCAAACACCAGCGCACGTCACAAAGGCAGATGGAATTATAGCTAGTCAGCGCTCTGAGCTGTTTGCTATGTAAATGGTAATTTCCATGTAGTCGGTGTTATATCTCAGGTAGACCGTATAAAGGTTCTCAGGGTGTAAACTGCACAAAACAGCTCTTACACTCTCCTTGTACCCACAACCCTCCCACCACCCACAAATCACAACCATTCATAAATCTTGCAAACAGCAAATGTTTGAAAATATATTTCTGGCTTGGAAGTATTTAAAATGAGAGAAGCAAATATTTAAAAGATACCTTGAGACCCTAACACAAAGCTGAAGAAGTCAGATAACACGTCAACCCCGTGTTTACTCTCCTGGGGAGGCGGGCCTTCATACCTCGTGGCTGGTCCACCCGAAGCTGTCCGTGAGGTCCTCCGTGGAGGCGGCCTCCTGGTCCAAGAGCAGGAGCTGGGCAAACAGGCGCTGCAGCTGCAGCGGTATGATGCGCACCTGCAGGGGGACAAGGGCTGTTCTGAGCGAGCCTCTTTGGCCTTGGCTGGGGCCTTTTAAAAGACTGCACACTAGTTTTCTTACACCTCCTAGCTCATTCAGTTCACCCAGAGGGAAGTTCATATATATCTGATTACAGAGAGTGAACCATCTATAGCTAAGATTCATTTTTCTTTGAAAATTCAATCCCAAATGTTTTAGGTTTCTGGAGTTTTCCGCCTTGACATAGTTCAGATGAATATTAAAACCCAAAGAGGCCTTCATAAACTACTCAATTGATTACAGACTAACAGTAATTTAAGTCTCTAACACAGACTTGTCAAACTCATTTTCACCAGGGGCCACATCAGCCTCGTGGTTCCCTTCAAAGGGCCGAACGTCATTCTAGGACTGTATAAATGTAACTGCTCCTTAACTAGGGGCAAGGAGCTCGGTGCTGCCGCTGGGCAGAAACAAGGTGCCCGCCGGATAAAACAAGGTGGGGGGCTGGACTCGGCCTGCGGGCCTGGTGTCTGCCACCTGTGTTCTACTAGTTCATTCTCGAAGATACCTCCGAAAAAGACACACTCCCACGCGGAGTTTCCCAGTCGTGGGCTGGCTGCACCCGGCCTCACTTTCCTCCTGCAGGCTCCAAGCCCAGTCCTGCCTTACTTGGGGTGCTGAGGGCCGGGCTGGCAGAGAACGCTGCTCAGAGCCTGGCCTGCACCACATTTAAGCATCTAAAGCGAGAATCCGCCCTTAGAAACTTCTATGGCAATTTGACGTTGCCACAACATCTTTACTGTATCCTATAGACGCATGACCTGCAGCAGACTGGGAATTACACACACACACACACACACACACACACACGCACACACACACACACACGGACACTGGCCCTTTGAGGCACCGGGGGTCTGTGCCGCGCTGGGCTGGGTCATGGAAGGCTGACTCCTCGTAAGAAGCACCGACTGCAGCCAGAAAGCACCACGCTTCTGAACGATGTTTAAGCAGGGGCGGAACACAAGTAGACCTGCACTTATGGTAAAGCGACTCCTCACTCAATGCATTCCCAGAACACCAGACTGAAAGAACACTGCTCTCCGTTTGCCGCTGTGACGAGCAAGTGCGGTAAGCAGAGTTTTCGGCAGGCCAGTGCAGAGGATGTGCGAACCCCCCTCCACCCGGAGAGAGGGAATAAACACAGCAGAGTGAGGTGTGTCTATCAAGCTGCAGCAATGTTGCATTCGGAAAAGTAATGGCTTTTTGGAAGGAAAATTCCATTACTAGTAGGGAATAAGCCAAGTCTTATTTTCAGACTTTCTGAAAATAAGAATCATGTTTGGTAATTAATAAAATTACTGATTTCTATAAGCAACTTAATCCTTTCCTTATGAAACATTCCCTCAATACTGCAAAAAACCCTTGTAAAGCATAAATTTAATACCTTTGCATCAGGATTATCCTTTTCCTCTAAAGAACCAAGCTCTTCTGGGCCAAGAGAAAATAAAGCTTCTAAACAAAAGTAGAATCAGAGATGTCAATGACATTATTTCATCTTAGAAAAACAAGACCACCAGTAAGTAAAATCAGTTAACGATTCAGAAATGTGACGGTGGCGATAGTTCTACCCTTACTTTATACATTGTACTTTCTGGTAACATTATTTTTAAGCACTGACTACAAAGGGCATGCTAGGGTTTCAGTATGAAAGATCTATAAAAGGAAAATAATGCATATAAAACTATAAACAAGAACATCAGAAATCGGTGATGGCTTCCTACTGCCTAGGGTGTGGGTCCCTAAAGCCACATAAGGAATATTAGGAAATGTAACAAATGTAGAGCAATGTCCCCGTGATCAGTAACAAGCCACACGTGAGGTTCCCGGCCATCCTCTTCTGAGAAGGACCACCTCGACTCTGTGGCCATGTCCTTCCTCTTTTGAGTGTGCACATGTCCTTCCTGTGTTGAGGGTGGTAACAGGCGGCAGCGGTCTTAGCTGGAAAAGCAAGTTGGGGGCCCAGGGTGCCAGTCTCCAGGATTTTTTTTTGCAGTCCAACATCTAGCTACGTCACCCGACAGAGAGACATCTGAACCTTCTGGGAAGTCTATATTCCAGCCGGGAGAGGAGCTCCTACCAGGAAACTCCGATCCGCCCCACAGAGAGAAGGTAGGACGGGTGTGGTCTCCTGCTGGCAGCCACCACGGCCTGGCGATCACTGTCAGAGTGCTGTACCCCTCCCGGGCCCCAGCCCCCGGGAGGAGCTGGGCTACAGGAACCACAGACGCACAGGCGAAGGCACAAAAACCACGCCAGGACCCTGACAGTCACCTCCCACTCCTCTCAGCTACACTGACCTGGGAGTACAGTGGACCCGATCTAGCCCTACTCTGTAAAATATGGTTGCAGAAAGCTCCGAGATTCCTCTCCCCCAGTTCTCACTCTAAATTACACCTCCCTTCCAGGAGCATCAGGATCCCGGCTGGGCCCCGTGAGTGCAGGGTCCGCACCACCGGGCCAACCCATGCGCTGGGCCTGTCGCCTCTGCCAGGGCACCGTGTCCTGGGACTCGGCCCTGTGCTTGCTCAGTGATATTCTCCATGACCGCCCCAGCCTGAACTCAGTCTCTTTTTAAGGCTACTTTTTTACTTCAAGTTGCTCTTAAACTTCAATTACATTAAAACTCGGAGAAGTTCTCACCCCCCTAGGAATCTGCTTCTTCACACTGAAAAGTTCTAACGGTGGAGTTACTGAATGCGTCAGGGAGATACTTTTACAGAGGGGATGGAGTCAAGGACAAGAGGCCCCTCTCTTAACTCCCACCCACAGCCCAATCCACTAGGAAAGCCCTGGGAAGGGGTAAGGGTAAATGTTTACTAAATCTCTGGAGTCAGAAAGTCTTTCTAAGCGTAAAAGCAACAGAAAATGTCACAAAGATGCACAAGATTTGTGCTTCAAATCTGCACAAGATTTGATAAGTGTGCAGTGGTGGGAAGGGGCACGTGGCAAAGTCGATACAAGATGAACCAGGCTGTCTGTCCTCAGAATACAGACACTGTGGAGAGCTGAGCTAGAGCCATGCAGAGCTGGGGGCCCCCTTCAGGGCCACGTGAGGGCCGAGTGACGTTCACATTGAAACCCAGGCATAGGGAGAGTTAGTTGTAAGACTCCTGCGGGGGGAGGGAGTGTGCAGGGAGGGGAAGGGGACAAACAGGGAGAGAGAAACAGGGGCAAGACAGGAAGGGTCCACTGAGGTTGGCCTTATTCCTGTAGGCCTTTTCTGGGAGTCCCCTATATTCTGACCACAAATCTTCTTTCAGATTGAGATTTGAGTGGGTTTCTGTTCCTAGCACGGGATCTCTCTGTCTAACTTCTTGGGTCTTTGGAATTTACTACTTCCAGATTTTGGAAAGGTACTATGGAGGAACTATTTACAAAGATACTATGAAGGTATTATGGTAACATTATACCCCCTCCTTCAGGGTCTGGGACAAATAGCATTGGCTAATCAAAGAGATTAGCATTACTGCAACAAATCAATGAATATTCACCCAAGGGAGATAACTAGGCTATAGGAGGCCTCACACCAGGTCAGGTTCTGACTCCAAACAAGGTCAGGCCGGAGGAGGCTGTCAGTTTCCTGTGTTTCAAAAGTGCAGGTGAAGGACTGCGGACTGTGTCAGCAATGTGACGCCCCTCCCCACTCCAAAAGGCAGGATATTAACTGCTGTGGGTGCCTGTGGCTTGTGTGTTTATTACTGGGGAGAAATTTTACAACTCAAATGCAAATAGTGCAACAATAATGAAAGCCTGCACTCACAACAAAATTGTCTCTATGTCGTCCTTTAAATTAGAATTAGAGCCCTGGCTGGCGTAGCTCAGTGGATTGAGCTCGGGATGCGAACCAAAGTGTCGCAGGTTCGATTCCCAGTCAGGGTGCATGCCTGGGTTGCAGGCCATGGGCCCCAGCAACCGCACATTGATGTTTCTCTCTCTCTCTCTCTCCCCCTCCCTCCCTCCCTTCCCTCTCTCTAAAAAGTAAAAAAAAATTAGAATTAGAAAAGAAATACTGCCTTCATTTCTTATTTTGTGACTAAACATTACTGTCATTACACAGAATATGTGTAAGATAATTAAAATTTCATATTCAGATCATGTGTTTTATTAGTAAATGCAGGCTGCAGAACACACCTTTAAGATACTTCATCTTGTTTTTGTCTCTTTCTGCTCTTGCAAAATCAATTATGTACGCAGATGAGGGTACATATTACTAATCAAATGCATGTAACGTGGCATACCTCTGAATTCAGGTGTGAAATGAAGAGTCTGAAGGAGGGAATTGAGGTAACAAGTTCCACCCTGATTTCTGATTCCGCTTAAATTGGTGAATTCTCTAGGAGCGGGGGGCTCCAATGCTTTGGTCTTTAATTTCTTCCTTTTTCCGTACTGATTATTTGACACACTGGAACAATCCTCTTCAAATAGGTCCCCAAACATTGTGAAACTAAACGCTATCCGTAAAAAAAATAGGACGTGTTACAAAATGCTTTTATTCTTGTAGCAAGCTTTCCCCACACCTCCCTATCTTCCACCTGGGAGTACGGGTGTTAAGTCGTTCCCTTGGAGAGTGCGTGGGTTGTTTGGGCTTTGGAGGCGCCAAGACCCGGATTTTCTCGCCCCTGCGAGGACACACGACCTCGGGGACCCTGGGCAAGTTACTTAACCCGGCGTCCTCATTCCTAAAGCGGGACTCCACCTATCGCGCACGGCCGCTGAGACAATCCCACGACAGAACGACGGGAAGGGACTCAGCGCGCAGGGTTTGGCCCACCCGCAGTAAAGACAGCTCTTTTTAAAAGGCGCGTCGGCATCGGCAGTGAAAAAGGAGTGAAAACCCATCACACCACACCTAGTCAGCTGGGGTGGCAAAGGCAGCCCCAGACTCCGAGCGCTGACAAGGGCCCGGGGACCGCCAATCCCTTCCTACAATCTCTGCTGCGCACTCGCCTCGGGCCAGATCGCGGCACTGGAAAGGAGTCAGTGGAACAAATTGACGTTTGCAGCAGCTCTGTGCGCGGGCCCGAAGCTGGAGAGCCGAAGGAGGGTCGCTGGGGGCGGGGGGGAGGGGAACGCTGCCGCTAAGACTTGCGAGCAAAAGGCCCTCTCGTCGTCTCCGTCCGGCGACGCCGACGGGCGCCCCGGGGACCTAGGCCACCCGCTGAAGGGGCGGAGGGCCCCCGGCGAGGAGACGCGCACCGCTCCCCGCGCAGTTCCCGGACGGCAGGAAATGCAGGGATGCGCCTGTTTTCCCGGCCCACCCCTTCCTCGGAAGCACACAAGATGGAGGGGCGACCTCCAGGTCGCGGTCTGGACGCCGGCCTCTCCCACCCCCACTCCCGGCCGAGGCCAGGCCCTCAAGCCCTCCAAGTCCCCGCGGGGGGCCCAGGGTCGCCAGGAGGCCGACCTCTGGCCGAGCCGCCAGGACCTCGGGGGCCCGAGGCCGCCTCGGGCCGTCCCTCATCTCCCCTTCCTCAGGCCGTGCCGCCCACACGGTCCCTTCGGCCTCCCGCGCCCCTCCCCGGAACCCCGGCCGCTAGCTCCACTTACTGCCTAAAGCCCAGACCCCCGCCCCGGCCAAAACTCGAAGAGAACGGTCGCGCCCCACAAAAGTGCCACCGTGTTGGCGTAGGCGTGTCTCCCGCAGCCCCGAGCGTGAGCGATTTCTGGAACGCGCGGACTACTCCTCCCAGGATGCCCCGCGGGAGCACCGCCTGTCGCGCGCGGCCTTCTGGGCAATGTAGTTCTTTTGCCCGGGAGTTCGGGAGTCGTGGTGGGAAGGCGGAGCTTGCTCTCTATCACCTCTTGGGTTCCCAGGTCCGTGGGCTCTCTAGGTCAGCCGACCACTCATTCAGTCACATTTAAAATGTATACTTACTGGTGCTCACAGCCCGTATTAGTTGCAGTGGAGTATGCAAAGATCACTTGTCTTTGGTAATGGCTAATTCCCAGGTTACCTAAACATTGGCAACATTTGTGTAAGGGCTTCAACTTTCCATGCACATTCAAAGACGTTTTCCAGTTATCTCTAGTGAAACATGTCCCACGGAACCTTGACTCTTTATAATACCCTCAATGTTTATTTTGTCTGCACAGACTCTAAGTGGCATGCACAAGAGTACACTAAAAATGTGTCAAAATTAGCTCTGGCTGGCGTAGCTCAGTGGATTGAGTGCAGGCTATGAACCAAAGCATTGCAGGTTCGATTCCCAGTCAGGGCACATACCTGGGTTCTAGGCCACGGCCCCCAGCAACTGCACATTGATGTTTCTCTCTCTCTCTCTTTTTCCCTCCCTTCCCTCTCTAAAAATAAATAAATAAAATCTTTTTTAAAATGTGTCAAAATTATTTCCTCTTGCAGACTTGAATACCTTTGGTGGACTCTTTCAGTCGCGTATGTAAGCAGGCTCTGCTTCTGGCCTCTCCCCGACCCAATCCAGCCTGCACCCCAGGATGAATGAGGGAGACAGGGAGAAGGTCCTCTGGACTTGAGCTAAAGGTGGGAGAGGAGAGCAGCTGTCACGCAGAAGTCCAAGGGAATGCCAGCCCGAGGGAGGTGGCAGGGCAAGCAGCAAGGGCAGTGGGCCGGTTAAAAGGCCGGAGGCCTAGAGGGAAAAACAGAGTGGGACTAGCCAGTCCTCATTCTCAGTTGCCTTCACTGAGCCACGTCACGCTCGGCAGCCTCCTCTTCGTGACTCCTCCCGGCCCCTCGGCACTCTCTCTCGCTGCTTCCCTTCCTGCCCTTTGCTTCTCTGTTGCCGGCCATGCTTCACCCCCTCATCCAAATAGTAGATCGTCCTCAAACTTCCATTCCCTAGTCAGGAATGAGCACTGGAAGGCTGGCTCCACCAGGACACAGGCTGCTCGAACCAGAACAATCGTGGGCAGGGAGGCTGAGACGTCTCCGAACTGAGGGCACCAGCCCTGGAAATCCCAGATCGTGACCGTGGCAGGGATTAGGAGAGGCCAGACAGACCAGCGGGTGGTGCAAAAGCTGCTCTGTAGAAGAAAGAGGGCCAGAGAAGGCCTGGATCAGTTACCCAGGCTGAGGTTCGGTCGTTCCCTGGTCAGGAGTGATGAGTTGCTTTTTAGTTTCTCGTTCATGTATTCATTCATTCTTTAATAAATATTCAGTAAACATCTGTATTTATTTAACAAGCATCTGCTAAGTGGCAGGCACAGAGCTAGATGCTTGAGATTCAAAATTAATCAGACTGACGTGGGTCCCTAAGTTCATGGGGCTCACTTGCTGGTGGAGGAAACTAAGAAAAAGCCAGATGGTAGTGACAGCAGTAAGGAACCTGAGGGAAACAATAGAGAAATGTGGCAGTAAGTGCAAGGATAGCGGTGGGGCTGCCTCTGATGTTGGCCTCAGAGCAGACTTCTTAGAGGATGACCAACCAATGAGGAGGCATATGAAGAGCTCAGGAAAGACCTTTTCAGGCTGACAAAACAGCAGATAAAAGGTCCTGAAATGGGAAAAAGAAATGGTCCTGTTCAAGATGCAGGAAGGAGGCCTTGAATGAGTGGAAAAAGCAAGTGGAAGCTAGCTAAGGAGATGGATGGGAGCTGGACCCACCCGCCTTTCGGCCAAGGCAAGGACATTTTGGAATTGCAATGGGAAGCCATTTGGTGGTCTTATGCAAAAGACAGCATTGCGATTGATGTTCAAAGAGACCACTCTGGCTCCTGTCTGCAGGGCAGGAGGAAAGCAGGAAGACCAGTTGAGGAGGCTGCTCTCGGAGTCCAAGAAAGAGATGACGGGGGAGTGCTGTCAGTGGCAGTAGAGAGAAGGGCAGACCCGACACGTGCTTTGGAGATAGGGCAGGACTTGGTCACGTGGTGGCTTTGTAATGTGCCAACTGGGCGGAGCCGAGTTTTGCTTCCCAGATTTTCCTTCCCTGGATGTTTCTAATTAGGGTTAGTCACAGGGGCCTTTTTTGCTGGAAATTGGAAGACCGGTTTTGTTTTCTTCCATGTAGCAGTTTGAGACGGATGCTTCTGTAGCTCGAACACCTTGCCACCTATCTGCAGACTCACCTCATTGGCATAGAGCAGCGGTTGGACCTGCAGCGGCCCTTCCTTCCCCTGGCTCTTCCTTCAGCTCCTCCCACCTGGGACAGGTGTGCATTGAGCTCTGCACAGAGTTCTCCTGCGGGACCCCCACATCATCGAGGTTGGAGGCAGTGAGAACAGTCCAAGGTTCTAGTCCCTCCTTGTGGATTCCAGTTCATCCTTGTGGGTCCGAGCTCCTCCGTCTCTTCCCTACGGCACACCCGTGCGCCCTTCCAGAACACCCACCCTGCTGCCCTGAAGCTCCAGCATCGGAGGTAAAGACTGTTGAGAGAGATCCCTCCAACCAGCTCCTACATGGGTCAAATCCCTAGGACAAATTCCTGACTATTTGTGCCTTTGGGGGTTCTGCCTCTCTGATGGGACCCTGACTGGTATAGATCAAATGGAGGGGCTGTGGGGAAGTGATAGCATGTACATGTTTACTTAAAACTCCAGGTAGTGGAACATGGCATTTGCTGAACCAGACTGGGAGAGGGGAAAAGAGCCCAGGTACAGGGGGAGTTATTAAATTTTAGGAGCCAGTGAGGTAACATTTGGATGCTATCACAGTGTAAGCTGTAGGGTCCAAGCAAATAGATTAGGGCCAGGGGAGCAGCTTTTGAATTGTCATGATAAGAAAGCGCTTCCCCCAAGTCTGGGACGTCTGTAGGTAACACAGGCTGCTTCAGACATGGGTTCAAGAAGGGCCACGTTGGCAAGAGGGGCCGTCCAGGCAATGAATGGGGTACAAAACCATCCTTAATTTTAGGTGGCCTTCTAAAAATTGTTTTCACTAAAAGTCTATATAGTCGTGAGGCCTCCTGCATTCGATGGAACAGCACCAAACCTATAGGGCCCACCCTTGCCAGAAACCCCGAGGTGACCCCCATGTCTGGGGGCCCCCCCCTGCACACTGCACTAATCTGGGCCCAGCTCCTTTGGGGTTCATGATTACTTTTGCAAAAACTGGGATTTTGATGCAAGGGGTTGGCATAAGGTAAAAAAAACAAAACAAAACACAAACATGGCTCTGGCCTGAAATACTTGCGATTTCATTGGTGTTTTTTGATTCCTAACCTATGCCGTGTTACCTAATCTATTTGTTAGGCAATCTGTACCCAGTGCTGTAAACAAGAACCTTTCAAGCCTGAAGTCGTGCCTTATTAGGAGGCTGACAAATTGAGAGGAATACTAGTCAGCATTTTAAAAGAGAGAGAGAGGAAAAAGGGGAAAGAACGATAATAAAGTCCAAGCAGATACAAAAGTCAGGGTCCTGAGGAGGAAGGCAGCGAGGACGTGGAAACTTTGTTTCAGATACACAGGCCCCCACTTGTGTACTGATTGTCGGTGTGGTATGTCAATGAAGGATGACAAACTGGGGGGCTTCAGTCCCCACAATACTGTGGTCTCATGGCCCTGGGCCCAGGAGTCGGACATCAGGGGGCTGGCAGGGCCTCGCTCCCTCTGAGCACTGAGGGGAGACTCCTCCCTGCCTTTCCCAGCTTCGGGTGGTTCTCTGGCTCCCGCTGCTGCTTCGGGTCTCTGATCATGTGGCCTTCTCCCGCGTGCTCCTGTCTTCCTGCAAGGACACGGCTCATGCTGGAATAGGGGGGGCCGCCCTACTCCAGTGTGGCCTCGTCTTAACTAATTCTACCTGCAATGACCTTATCTCCATGTCATGTTATATCCTGAGGTCCAGGGGGTTAGAACTGCAACATACCTTTTCTATGGGGTGTGGGGAGGGAACAGTGTAGCTCCTAACAGCCTCCCAAAGTTTCCCCGTGCCCACGTGTAACCCTTCCCCCTTCACGCTTGCCTGCACTGTTGGCCTCTCCGCCCCTCCCCACCTCCCCAGCATGGCACCGCTAATCAGCTCTTTGTCACTATAGATCGGTTTGCATTTTCTAGAATTCTGTACGAATGGAATTATACAGTATGGACTCTTCTTTTTGGTCTGGCATATTTTATTCTACAGAATTATTTTGAAATTCATCATTGCTGTTCATACCTGAGAAGTTCACTCTTTCTCTATTGCCCAGCAGTGTTCCACCAGGCAGACAAAACCCAGCTTGTCTGCCCACTCACCTGTGGGTGCACATCTGTGCTGTTTCCAGTGTTTCCTGTGACAAACGCAGTTGCGAGGGAGGGTCATATATAAGCGTCTGTATGGAAGTATTCTGTGTTCATTTCTGTGCTGGTCCGTGAAGCGTGGCTACAGGGGGAGACACAGGAGGGGCTCAGGAAAACAAAGTTTATTATCATCACAGGTCCTCAGGATATGAGGGGCGCATGCCACGCAGGGCCACAAGGGCAGCACCGGGCTGGTCAGTAGACAGAAGGAGCAAGACACGAGGGGTAGGGCGGGGCGGTGGCCTATGCCAGGGCCCTCCTTGGGGTTTTGTGGAAGGCGAGGCAGGGCGGGAGAAACAGGCTGGGACTGGCTGGTTAGAACGCTTCAGCAGGCTCTCAGTGGTAGGGGTGTCTAGGCCACTGTGCGGGGCCCCCTGCCATGCCGAATTCTGGGTGGCCAGGTGTGCGATGGGTACCTGCTACCCTTTCCACGTCACCGCCACCCCCCCCCCTTGCAGCCCCCCAGAGGCACCCAAGGGGTCCCACTCCTCAACATGCTCGCCGACACATGGCATGAGTCATCTTTTTATTTTTAGTTATCCTAATGGGTGTGTAAGTGAAATCGTGTTTAATTTGATTTCCTTAACGACTCAAAAACATCAAGCCTCTTTTTATGTGTCTGCCATGTCTATGTTTTCTTTCTTTCTTTTTTGGTAAAATGTCTGCTCAGCTTGTGGCTGATTTTTAACAATTCTTTTTCTTTTGTTTTCACAATCTTGAATTTTGAGAACTCTTTACCTATTTTAGGCATCGTAGATGCAGCACAAATATTTTCTCCCAGTCACTGAATTATCTTCAATAAAAATGTAATTTTCAAAAAACCTCAGATTTATAACAAAATTGCAAGCACCAGTTTAAAAATTTTTTCCAAAACCTGCAACATCGGGTGGACAGTCCCGGCTCACCAGGTCGGAGGCCTTGGGGCGTTCGGAAAAGGACCGAGAGCAGCGGGGCCCTCTGTGCCCTGGGGCTCCCCTGCCGGGGGGCGGGGGGAGCCAGCAGTCAGGGGCGACCAGTCTTTCCTCGACACTGGGGGTGTCCGTCTCTAGGCAAAGAGACTTTGGTAGCCTGAGGATAACATCCAGATTTCCCTTTCAGACATGCTCCCCCCAAAAACAGCTTTAACGAGCTTGCCTTTTCTATTTGTCTCTCTGAGTACTCAGGGTCCAAACACCATTGTTTAATAATTCTCTTTGCAAACTGGCACTGCAGTGCAGGGCAGGAGTTCTGCCCAGGCAAAGATCAGAACTATTCTTGTCTGGGAAACAACCCAGGAAAACATGTTCTTCTCTACGTTCTTGTGAGGAAATCATTGACAATGCGTGGTTTGGGAATTTCTGTTCGTTTGTTTTTTTGTTATAAATACACGCCCTCCCCTGGGGCAGGTGCTGTGCCTGTACTTCTCCTGCCCACAGTGTCTGTCACGGGAGCTCCGAATCCTGGCAGCTGGCTGGCTCGGGGCTGCCACTATCCAATGGCTCCTGCGGCGTTGACGGGACTCCTTGCTCTGTGTGCGTGTCTCCTGCTGGCACCCCGCTGTGCCCAGGCGGGCAAGCTGCTGGTGGTACCCATGGACGGGAGCCACTGGTTTACCATGCGTTCTACTGTGGAGAGTCTGGTCCTCCGGGGGCACGAGGTGGTCGTGGTCAGGCCAGAGGTGAATTGGCACCTGGAAGTCTCGGCCAAATACACAGTGAAGACTTACTCCACACCGTACTCTCTGGAGGACATGAACCGGCTGTTCAAGGATTTTGCTGACGACCGGTGGAAAACTCGGGCAGGCAATGTATTTTCTCTGCTAATGCATCCATCCCACGTTGTTTTTGACTACTTTTTTTCACGTTGTAGGAGCTTGTTCAATGACAGGAAATTAGTGAAATTCATAGAAGACAGTTCCTTTGATGCGGTGTTCCTAGACCCTTTTGATCTGTGTGGCTTAATTGTAGCCAAGTACTTCTCACTGCCGTCTGTCGTCTTCGCCAGGGGGGTGTTCTGCCACTATCTGGAAGAGGGCTCGCAGTGCCCCAGCGCCCCCCTCCTACGTTCCGCGAGGCCTCCTGGGATTCTCCGACAGCATGACCTTCTGGGAGAGGGTGTGGAACTACATCACCCATGTGGAGGAACGACTCTTTTGTCACAATTTTCTCAAAACCGGGTTAGAAGTCGCCTCCGACATTCTCCAGACCACCGTCACAGCTTATGACCTCTTCAGCCCTGTGTCCATCTGGTTGCTGCGCACCGACTTCACCCTGGACAATCCCAAACCCGTGATGCCCAACATGGTCTTCGTCGGCGGCATGAACTGCCTCCCGGGAAAGCCGCTGTCTCCGGTGAGTGGCCTGGGCTTCGGCAGCTCGCCCTGGCCTGGCCCGGGCGGGGAAGAGAGACGGCTTCTGTAGGAGCCATGGCTTGTGGTTTCCATTAGCAGCCTTTGCAGGTCCTGCCTGGTTCAGTGAGTTGCTTTGTGTCCATCCATTTAATTGTGTTGGCAGATTTTAGGAGCCGTCTGCTTTGATACTCATGCGTATGCAATTATAAAAGTTGTTTACCATTCCCAGGCTGCATTTGTAAATACTGTTTTGGCAAAAAGTATTGGAAAGCACAATAAGAAATGAAACTTTGCTTTTGTTCATGCAGTGCTAACACAATAGGAAGATGTTCTTGGCAGTTTTGTGTACATCTCTTCCAATTTTTACGAAATTGTTTTACATATATACGCATCGAGCTAATGGGAATTCTCACAGTCATTTTGTGAAAATGAAATCTACTGTCAGACTGGACATGTCGTCCTTCACCTTCCCTTTTCACTTGCCCATTTTCCACGGACTTTCTACAGCCTGTGCATGCACGTGTGTGACACTCTTTCAAGAGCTGCATAAAATTCTTCACTTTGGATTCACTGTAGCTCATTCCACTAACTCAGGTTGATAGATAATCTTTTGAAAATGTTTGGTAAGACTGCATTCATCACTTTATTTTTTTTAAAGATTTTATTTATTTTTAGAGAGAGGGGAAGGGAGGAAGAAAGAGGGAGAGAAAGATCCCTGTGTGGTTGCCTCTCCAGCGCCCCCTACTGGCTAGCAGCGGAGGCCTGTGTTCTGACTGGGAATTGTATCAGTGACCCTTTTGGTTTGCAGGGGGGCACTCAATCCACTGAGCCACACCAGTCAGGGCTATCTCCAGTGTTTCCTGTGACAAACGCAGTTGCGAGGGAGGGTCGTATATAAGCTTCTGTAGGGAAGTCTTCTGTGTTCATTTCTGTGCTGGTCCGTGAGGCGTGGCTACAGGGGGAGACACAGGAGGGGCTCAGGAAAACAAAGTTTATTATCATCACAGGTCCTCGAGACATGAGGGGCACAGGCCACGCAGGGCCACAAGGGCAGCACCTGGCTGGTCAGGAGGCAGAAGGAGCAAGACACGAGGGGTAGGGCGGGGCGGTGGCCTATGCCAGGGCCCTCCTTGGGGTTTTGTGGAAGGCGAGGCAGGGCGGGAGAAACAGGCCAGGACTGGCTGGTTGGAAGGCTTCAGCAGGCTCTCAGCGGTAGGGCTGTCCCCTACTTGCTTGTTCCCCGATTCTGGGATGATCAAGGAAGGCTGAGGAATACTGTCCCTGGTGGCGCCAGGTTGCTTGGGTTGCATGCCAAAGGCATGCACTGTGCCAGGCCCTCTGCCGTGCCTAATTCTGGGTGGCCAGGTGGGCAATGGGTGCCTGCGCCCCTTTCCACGTCACCGCCACCCCCCACCCTGTGCAGCCCCCCAGCGGCACGCAGGAGTTCTTTGTTTTGTTAAAACAGCCTTGCGTTTGTGGAAGGATCCCACTTAGCTGTGATGTGTTATCCTTATACATTTTCTATATTACATGTGTTTTATGTGTGTGTCTGTGTGTGTACCTTTACAGTATTGAATTTGATTTGCTAAGATGTCTTTCGAATTTTTGCATCTATGTTCATGGGGGGTATTGGTCTGTAGTTTTATCTTCTTGCAACAGCTTTATCCGGCTTTGGAGGGTGGCAGTGCTGGTCTCCCGGACCTGTTCTGTTGCGCCGTAGACTGAATTAGGGTGCTCTTTGTGCTTTCATTGTGTCTGTGTTCCAGAGGATGTTCTGAAAAGATGATATGTATTTTTCTCTTTCCCTACTATTTGGTGGCATTTATCAGCAAAACCATCTGGGGCTGAGGTTTAATTTGTGGGAAAGTTTGCATTACAACTTAAATTTGATTTTAAAGATAATGATGTTATTTCCATTCGGCTTATTTATTTCTTCTTCATTAAGCTCTCGTAGGCTAGAATTCACCCCTTTGATCTGAGCCACAGAATGTATTGGTATTAAGTTGTTCATGATATTCTTGTATGATGCTTCTAATAGCTACAGCACCGCTGATGATGCCCTCTCTCTCCTTCCTGCTATTGGTCATCTTTCTCCTTCTCTCTTTTTTCCTGACCAGTTTGGCTAACGTTTTATCGAGTGTACTCACTTTTTTCAAAGAAGCAGCTTTGAGGTTCATTGATAATTTCTCTTGTTACTCTGGGGTTTTTTTTTGGTATTTATTTATTTATTTATTTTTAGAGAGGGAAGGGAGGAGATAGAGAGAGAGAGAGAGAGAGAGAGAGAGAAACATCAATGTGTGGTTGCTGGGGGTTATGGCCTGCAACCCAGGCAAGTACCCTGGCTGGGAATCGAACCTGCGACACTTTGGTTCGCAGCCCGCGCTCTACCCACTGAGCTACGCCAGCCAGGGCTTCTGTTTTCTATTCTACTGATGCAGTGAAGCCTCCCAGGAGGGTAGATCACTCACCCCCACTTTCAGTTTTCAGACATTCCCCGGAAAGTCCCCTGTCTCTAAGGTAAACGGGGACCCAGCAAATTTCCGGAAGCAGGCTGGGAGTTTGGAAGGGGCCCGAGGAGGCTCCTCCTCCCCATGAGCTCACCCACGCAGTTCTCTCCGACATGAGCAAAATGAAAGTCAGTCCCAGGCAACAGACGTTCCTGGCGTGCTGTCCGGGCGAGGCGTGACCCCGGGGAACGGCCGGAGGAGGGGCAAGCAGAGAGAGAGATGCCCTTGCCCTCCCGGCGTGGCCGTGCCGGGCGGAATGTGGAGGGCCCCGGACTGCGGGGGTCAGCCCGCAGCAGGGGTCTGAGCAGAGGGCTGTGGGGGGAAGGAGTCGGGAGTCCCAGCAGAGTGCTTCTGGGAAGCGGTGGGCAGGTGACCACCCACTGCAGGTGACGTGTCTCGGGATATGGATTCAAAATGGGTGACGGTCACACCCGCCTCCGCCCTGGAGTGGTTCGCATAGAATGGGCTTGTCCATGGGGTGGACAGTTCCCGCTCACCAGGTCGGAGGCCTTGGGGCGTTCGGAAAAGGACGGACAGCAGCGGGGCCCTCTGTGCCCTGGGGCTCCCCTGCCGGGGCGGGGGGGGGGGAGCCAGCAGTCAGGGGCGACCAGTCTTTCCTCGACACTGGGGGTGTCCGTCTCTAGGCAAAGAGACTTTGGTAGCCTGAGGATAACATCCAGATTTCCCTTTCAGGCATGCTCCCCCCAAAAACAGCTCTAACGAGCTTGCCTTTTCTTTTGGTCTCTCTGAGTACTCAGGGTCCAAACACCATTGTTTAATAATTCTCTTTGCAAACTGGCACTGCAGTGCAGGGCACGAGTTCTGCCCAGGCAAAGATCAGAACTATTCTTATCTGGGAAAGAGGTCAGAAGGTACCTTGGTAACTGCTATCATTCATTATATTTTGCTGAGTAAATTGTTGGCAACAAGAATGTATGTGTGCGTGTGTGTGAGTGCTTGCGTGCGTGCGTGCGTGTTCATTAATATATTAATACACGCCCTCCCCTGGGGCAGGTGCTGTGCCTGTACTTCTCCTGCCCACAGTGTCTGTCACGGGAGCTCCGAATCCTGGCAGCTGGCTGGCTCGGGGCTGCCACTATCCAATGGCTCCTGCGGCGTTGACGGGACTCCTTGCTCTGTGTGCGTGTCTCCTGCTGGCACCCCCGCTGTGCCCAGGCGGGCAAGCTGCTGGTGGTACCCATGGACGGGAGCCACTGGTTTACCATGCGTTCTACTGTGGAGAGTCTGGTCCTCCGGGGGGCACGAGGTGGTCGTGGTCAGGCCAGAGGCGAATTGGCACCTGGAAGTCTCGGCCAAATACACAGTGAAGACTTACTCCACACCGTACTCTCTGGAGGACATGAACCGGCTGTTCAAGGATTTTGCTGACGACCGGTGGAAAACTCGGGCAGGCAATGTATTTTCTCTGCTAATGCATCCATCCAACGTTGTTTTTGACTACTTTTTTTTCACGTTGTAGGAGCTTGTTCAATGACAGGAAATTAGTGAAATTCATAGAAGACAGTTCCTTTGATGCGGTGTTCCTAGACCCTTTTGATCTGTGTGGCTTAATTGTAGCCAAGTACTTCTCACTGCCGTCTGTCGTCTTCACCAGGGGGGTGTTCTGCCACTATCTGGAAGAGGGCTCGCAGTGCCCCAGCGCCCCCTCCTACGTTCCGCGAGGCCTCCTGGGATTCTCCGACAGCATGACCTTCTGGGAGAGGGTGTGGAACTACATCACCCATGTGGAGGAACGACTATTTTGTCACAATTTTCTCAAAACTGGGTTAGAAGTCGCCTCCGAGATTCTCCAGACCACCGTCACAGCTTATGACCTGTTCAGCCCCGTGTCCATCTGGTTGCTGCGCACCGACTTCACCCTGGACAATCCCAAACCCGTGATGCCCAACATGGTCTTCGTCGGCGGCATGAACTGCCTCCCGGGAAAGCCGCTGTCTCCGGTGAGTGGCCTGGGCTTTGGCAGCTCGCCCTGGCCTGGCCTGGGCAGGGAAGAGAGACGGCTTCTGTAGGAGCCATGGCTTGTGGTTTCCATTAGCAGCCTTTGCAGGTCCTGCCTGGTTCAGTGAGTTGCTTTGTGTCCATCCATTTAATTGTGTTGGCAGATTTTAGGAGCTGTCCCCTTTGATACTCATTTGGAAAAAATATTGAAAAACAGTCAGAAATCAACCTTTTATTTGTCGGTCCAGTGCCACCCCCTTAGAAAATTGCTCTTAGCAGTTTTGTATGCATCTTATCCACATTTTTCTGAAATTATTTTACATATATGCAATAGCTCTTGTAAATCCTCATGCTCACGTTTATGAAAATGAAATCTACTATCAGACTGGACATATTGTTTTTTACCTTACCTTGGTTTTCTGGGTCACCTGTTGATAAATCATGGAGTTTTTACAGCCAACACATGCAAGTGTGTGACATTCTTTTTAAGAATTGCGTAACTTTCCTCATTTTGGATGCATTGTAGTTTATTCTAGTAAGCAATATTCTTCGATAATTAAGCTTTTTTTCTTTTCCTTTTATGACTGTACTAATCATTTTAAAAGGAGTTCTTTAGATTCATACATGTCCATAATCTGAGGAGTTCAGGGAAGGGAGAGAGGAGGCTGGTGTGTAAGGCATCCTGGGACAGGTGAGAGAGTGCTGGGGGCTGAGGAGACTTTTGGGAATCCGAGGGTGGATCGTGTGGTTTTGAGAAGTTTTTTTCTGTGCTGCACTGAGACAGCTCCTACCTTAGGGACCCTTGACCCTCATAAAAGTTTTGCTACGTGAAACAGCCTGGCCTTTGGAACTGCTGCGTGGGGGAGGCATCAAGGGGTTGAGTGTTATGTTTGATCTGAAGGAAAAGAATATCCTAAAGACACAGAAGAGGAGGCCAGGATTCAGCAGAAGCTGCAGATCGGAGTTGGAAGGGGACAGTGACCAGGAGGGCCTGATTCTGCGGACGGGACGTTGCATGGACGTGTCACTCAGTCTTACCCAGATCTCAGGGAGCTAGATGACCCCCACGGACCCAGAGTTGGCTCTCGGTGTCACAAAACCCCGTTGCAGACTTCTCTCCATTCCTGTGTCCTCCATCCGCCTTCCTTGCTCTTCCCCGATTACCTTTCCTCTCTGTTCCACTTTCCTTCTCCCTCTCCTTCCTCACCCACGTTTTTCCTTCCTATGCTACCTCCTCGCCATGAACCTGTCACCCACGGGGTCAACCAGGAGGGGCATCCCACTGGCTGGCTCACGCACAGTGGGGGGCAGGAGTGGATAAGTGGGCGGTGAAGCTGTGCCCTGTGGCCTGCTCTAAGCACTACAGGGGTCAGGAGGCGGAGCCCTGGGGCCATCCCGACCCGCGTACATACCTCCTCCAGCTCTGCCCCTGGCAGCCACGGAGCCTTTGGTGAAGAAGCTCGGGCACCAAACGAAGTCAAATAGGGGTAAAATAGTACCAGCACACGGGGTTCTTTCTCAGATTAAGAACGATGACGTGTGTTAGAGCGCCTGGTGTGTGGCTCGGGGTCCGTGACGGCCGCAATTGGGTGGGCGATACGCATTTTCCAACCTCCACGGTATTAACATGAACCATAGGATCAGGCCCTTGAAAACATATATGGCCTGGCCAGGTAGCTCAGTTGGTTAGAGAATTGTCCCAACATGCCTAGGCTGTGAGTTCGATCCCCGGTCAGGGCACATGCAAGAGTTAACCAATGAATGCATCAATAAGCGGGATGTCAAAAATCAATGATTTCTCTCTCCCTCGTCCCTCTCAAATCAATACATAGAAGATTTAAAAAATGTTTAAAACATGATCAGATGTCAATGTTGTCCTCTGTTGGGGAGTCTCCGAGAATCATTTAACCCTCAGGTGGCTGGACTGCCCCTTAGGGGGAGTTTACCAATTCAGGGTAACAAAGGCTAGCACAGGCTGGCGTTCCTCCACGCCCCCTTGGCAGACAAAGGAACTGAGGCGCAGACAGTTTGAGGGACTTGCCCACGGTCGTGCCTCGGGATGTGGTAAAACAGGATTTGAATCTAGGCTTTCTTTGTTTTTTGATTGAGATATGATTCATATCACAGCCTTCACCCTTTATAAACATACAATTCAGTGGTCTTTAGTATACTCATGAACACAAGCAACATCACCTCTCTCTAATTCCAGTGCATCCCCCGCCCCTACACACACTCCAACATGAAAGCCCATGCCCACCGGCTGTCACCCGCCCACCCCACCCCGCCAGCCACGAGTCTACTTCCTGTCTCTACATATGTGCCTATTCTGGGCGTTTCACACGAATGGGATCAGGTGCTACGTGGTGCTTAGTGTCTGACTTCTTGCACTTGGCCTTTGAAGTCTACAGGCTTTGTAACAGGTGTAGGTCCTTCGCTCTTTTCATGGTTGAATACTATTGCATTGCATGGCTAGGTTATATGTGGCTTATTCATCCATCAGTCCACGCACGCTGGGCTGTTTTTAGGTGTTGGCTCTGGCGAATACGCTGCTGTGAGCATTCGTGCCCAATGAACCCAACAAACCCAACATTGTGACTTTGGAGCCCTGGCGCCTAACCTTGCACTTGGCTGCCTCCCTCTGTTGACTGGAGACTTTTCAGGATATGTCCTGCCTGTGGCCTTTTGGGAAGTTATACGCTGTGAAATTAGCCAAGGGTGTATTTGGCCCACATCACGTGGCTTCTGATCACTCAGTGGATATGACATTTGTTGGTTGCGTGGTAGTTACAGAATAACATACAGTTGACTCTCCTTTTTTGTTAGTTAACATAAACGGTTCTTTATTGAACAACTATCTATTGAGAGCCTTGGGTGCGCATGGCTTGTCAGGCAACGGGGAGACAGACATTGACCAGTTATGAATTAGGAAACACGCTTTGGAAGAACGTCAAGGGAGTGAAGAAAATTGGTACCAGGGCGCCTGGTTGGGTGAGGCGGAGAGACCTGGAGGAGCCGGGGGAAGAGCGTGCTGGGCAGACAGGACAGCGGCAGGCTGCAGCGGGAAGCCAAGTCCCGTGAGGACTTTCATCTTTGGAACCTAGACATGGTCTTTGCTCTCCACCCCTGTGTCCCAGGGTTGCTCTGCCATCATAAATGCAGGTGAGTGGAAGTCCTATGTTACGTCTCTTGGGAGTAGTTCCTTTGTTATGGCTGCTCAGTGGCCCATGCCCCACACCACTCATGTGGATGGAATCCCGCAGATGCAACGTTCTTCGAAAGAACATGCTGGGCTGTGCCTGCCCTGGAGGGGTGGACCTGCACTGTGCTCTCTTTGTGACCATTTTGGGTCTTCCTGTTGTCTAGGTGGACCCACACCAGGGTGCGGTCCCCCCCCCCCACCCCGGGAGAAAACCCCGCTGGCGCCTCTCTCCCGCCCTGGGGAGGCTGAGATGAATTTGCATCTCGGCTGCATTCTGGGGACCAGCCCTGGGCTTAGCCTGGCCCCTTGCATCCCGCTCCTCAGGCTTCTCCCTGTCTCCCGGGGCCCAGTAGGCCCCCGAGCCAGCAGGCATGGGTCAGGGCCGGACTCTGCGTGCCAGTTCCCTGTGCGTGACTAGCAGAGGGGGAGTCTGTTCTAGCCGCACTGGGCACCGCCTCGCACTGGGACAGCCTGGTTCCCACATCCCTTGCCCTCCCGGACCTCCCTCAGCAATGCGCTAGGTCAAGCAGGACCGACCTGACCCTCTGTCCCTGGGTTTCCGTTGAGCCCCCTGCAGAGTGGGAGGGAGCCGGGTCGTGCCCCTGGCTGGGCGGCAGGGCTGGAGGCAGACACCTGGCCTTCGAACTCCCGCTTGGGGCTTCTGCTGCGTGCTGTTTGGGCTGGTGCTTCTCAGATCCTGTTCCTGAAAGACGAGGGACAGACTCCAGGCTCATACTGGCATTGGCCAGCTTTTCTCAAAAAAGAGCACATGGTTCTTTCTTTACCTTTTATTTTTTTGGCCGTTTGATGTTTATTTATTTATTTGTGTATTTATGTATGTATTTGTTTACTTATATTGGTTATGCCATTACGGTTTTCCCAATTTTTCCTCCTGTCCCCACCTCCACCCAGCACCCCCCTACTCCGTCCAGGGATCCCCGCTCCTTAGACATGTCCATGGGTCATGTGCATACATTCTTTGGCTGTTCCATTTCTTGTACTTGCTCTTAACATCCTCCTGCCTATTCTGCACCTACCAGTTTGTACCTCTTCATCCCTTCACCTTTCCCCCATTCTCCCCCAGACTCCTGTCCCCACTGGCCCCCATCCCAATATTCTCTGTATCTATGATTCCATTTCTGTTTTGCTTATTTGCTTAGTTTGTTTCTTAGATTCAATTGTTGATATTTATTTATTGACTTTTTAATGTTCATAGTTTTGGTCTTCTACTTTTTCTTAAGTTCCTTTAACATTTCATATAATCAGGGCTTGATGAGGATGAACTCCTTTAGCTTTACCTTGTCTGGGAAGGACTTCATCTGTCCTTTGACTCTAAATGATCGCTTTGCTGGATAGAGTAATCTGGGTTGTAAGTCCTTGCTTTTCATCACTTTGAATACTTCTTGCCAATCCCTTCTAGCCTGATACATTTCTTTTGAGAAATCAGCTGACAGTCTTATGGGAACTCCCCTGTAGGTAACTAATTGCTTCTCTCTTGCTGCTTTTAAGATTCTCTCTTTATCTTTAACCTTTGGCATTTCAATTATGATGTGTCTTGGTGTGGCCCTCTTTGTGTCCATCTTGTTTGGGACTCTCTGTGCTTCTTGAACTTGTGTGTGTATTTCCTTCACCAAATTAGGGAAGTTTTCTTACATTATTGTTTCAAATAGGCTTCCAATTTCTTGCTCTTTCTCTTCTCCTCCCGGCACCGCTATGATGCGAATGTTGGAACATTTGAAGTTGTCCCAGAGGCTCCTTATACTATTCTTGTTTATTTGGATTATTTTTCTTCTTGCTGTAGTGATTGGATGTCTTTTTCTTCCTTATGTTCCAAATCATTGATGTGATTCTTGGCTTCATACACTCCACTGTTCATTCCCTGTCCATTGTTCTTTGTTTCAGTTGGTATATCCTTTATTTCTGCCTGGGTATTTTTTATGCTGTTGAAGTACCCAGTAAGTTCCTTGAGCATCCTTATAACCAGTGTTTTGAACTCTGCATCTGATAGATTGCTCATCTCTATTTTGTTTATCTCTTTTCCTGGAGCTTTGGTCTGTTCTTTCATTTGAGCCATGTTCTTTGTCTCCTTGTTTTGGCAGCCTCCCTGTGTTTGTTTCTGTGTGTTAGGTAGAGCTGCTATGACTCCCTGTCTTGGCACAGTGGCCTAATGTAGTAGGAGTCCTGTAGGGTCCAGTGGCACGGCCTTCCCTATCTTCCAAGCTGGGTGCTCGAGGTGCGCCCTCTGTGTGGGCTGAGTACCCCCTCCTCTTGTGGATGAGTCTTGATTGCTGACAGCAGGTCAACTGAAGGGATTTACCCAGGCCAGACAGCCGGTGGGACTGGCTGCGGCCCCTGGCCAGCAACCACCTTCTTCCGTGGCTTATAGAGGTGGTTGGGTGGTGCGCCAACGTTGCCTATAACTGTCTCCTGGGTGCGCAGGCTCTGGGGTTTCCCAGGTGGCGCAGGCCAAGGTCAGCCTCCACCTGTGTTCTGTCCGGGGCCCCTTGGCATACATTGTAAAGTGATCTGCAGATGGCCGTCGCTTATGCCAGGCCTGGGGCCACTTGGCGAGAGGTACAGTGCGGGGCTCAGCTGTTGCTTGTGGAGCAGATTTAGGAAGGTCCGAAGCCTGCACCCAGCCTGGCCCCTTCGTGTGGAAAAGCCACCGTTACCCGGGTTTTGCTGAGATGGGCCCGTGAGTTAGATGGGGTGGACCCTCAGGTGATGGTCAGGGCGGGGCCTACCGTGCGAGCCAGGTGGATGGAGGTTCAGACATGGTGCCTGAGAACACCGCTGTTTCTTCCGCCCTGCCAACCCCCACTGGATTTTTACAGCCAGAAGTTACGGGGACTTACCTTCCCGGCACTGGAACCCTGCGCTGGGTGGTCTGGTGTGGGGCTGGGATCCCTCACTCCCAAGACATCCCCTTGCTGTCTTATAACCACCACACGTGGGTTTGGGGCCAGCTCATTCAGTGTCTCCACGTCTCCTTATCTCTGCGTCTCCTACCTGCCCAGATGCACGTGGTTTCTTTAATTCCGTAGTTGTCAGATTTCCGTACAGCTCGATTTTCTGACAGCTCCGAGTGCTGCTCGTTCTATATTTTAGTTGTGATTTTGCTGTGGTCATGCAAAGAGGCGAGCCGTGTTTACCTACCTAGGCCTCCACCTGGACCAGAAGTTCTAGCACACAATTCTTTAAATATTCTATTTCATAGGTGAACCCTGACAACTTAAAAAAAAAACACAAAGAAGAAAATGAAATGGGAGAATAAAACCAACAGGGAAATCAAAAGCGAGTTCATTCATTCGGCAAACTTGTGCTGAGTGCCTACTGTGTGCCGGGCATTGTTCATGGGCACACTGGGCACACAGCCGAGAATGAGAAGAGTCGTCCCTGCCCTCGACTTTGAGAATGGCTGATCTAGAAATAGCCGACTTTATCTTTCCTTCTGAAGCTGCGTAAGGTACCAAAAAAGCCGTTTCCCGGGCAGCGGGCCTCGCTTGCTCATCTGCAGAAGGGTGGTCAGCTGGGGGTTAGTGTTGCCTGAGATGATGGAGGAGTGTTGGGGTTGAACTGTGCTCCCCCCAAAAGATATGTTGCAAGTCCTAACACCTGGAACCTCACAACGCGACCGTATTTGGAAATAACGGTCTTTGCTGATGTAATTAGTTCAGTGAAATGAGGTCAGTGGGGCGCGCCGTGGTCCATTTGGACCGGTGTCTTTCTTTATTCGAAGGGGAGATTCGGATGCAGGCAGGCACACACGGGGGACACCGTGTGATGGTGGAGGCAGAGGAGGGACGGTGGTCCGAAAACCTGGGGACTCCGAAGACAGCCAGCGAGCCCCCTGGAGCCGGGAGCAAGCTTGGAAGAGGTTCCCCCTCAGAGTGCTCGGGGCAAACTGGTCCAGCTGTCGCCTGGATCTCAGCCTGCCAGCCTCCAGAGCTGCGGGAATCACCTCTGCTTTCCAGGCCACCCAGAGAGAGCGTGGTGCTTTGTCCCAGTGGCCCCAGGAAGAGAAGACAACAGGAAATTGTTTCAGAAGCCGAGTGCGTCAGGGTCCTGACGGGGGAGCCACCTTCCTGTGGCCCCTGCTGGCCGGTCCAGTCACCGCCATCGGAGGCTCCGTCAGCTGATGCCGTCCCATCATTTCCCGTCTCGGCGTTTTCTTCCCTTCTTCATCTGCACCTGCTTTTCCGTCCCCTTCATCCCTCTGTAGTCCTTGCCTTCGCAGGGCAGGGCCACGAGATGTGTCAGGGGCGCTTTTAACTCCCCGAGTGCCTCTCAGTTGAGGCCACATAGAACCTGGCTGCCCGGCCCCACCCAGGGGGAGCCCCTCCGAGGGCCCTGTGCTCAGCTCCTGCTGGCAGCCCCGAGGGGGAGGTCCTGATGCCACCCCGAGAGACAGGCGCAGCAGTGCAGGCGAGGGGCGGTGCGGCCGCCCAGCCCGGAAGGGGCAGCGGCTCCGGAGCGCACGCACGCACTTCACCACCCAGTGGGGACTGCGGCGTGCGAGCACCGACGTCGGGATTCGATTCTGTCTCTGATGGGACAGAAGCCCCCAAGAGCAGCGGCACAACCGGGTGGGTGGGAGGCCTGGAACGTTCTATCAGACTCCCCTCTGCTGCCTACCTTTTAATCCTGCCGCCGCTGTGCCGACCAGAAGTTGGAAGTGAGCAGCGCCTCTGTGCTGTTCAAACCCCGAACAATCTCTGTTCACGCTTGCTGGCCGCCGTGAGCCAGGCTGCTCAGGAAGTGGAAGGGCATGGACCGCTCTTCCTCTGTGAACACGCCCAGCACAGATGCAGCGGCGTCCTGGCGCTCAGGGCGGGGGTGGCGGGGCCGGAGGGGTGCCGCTCCGGGCCGCAGGGGCCTCTCCAAGGCGTCCTCAAACCGGAGACTCAGGCATTTTGGTGCGGACCAAGAGAAAAACCCAGAAGCTCAGGCAGAAGCTGAGAAGGACAATTGGCTCAAGTTTTCCGTGCGCTTAGAAAGAGTTAAATATTAATTTGGGTTGTTGCAAAATTCAGAGCGTGGCGAGGTGGGCAGGGCAGGGTGGGGAACTCAGCCACAAGTGCTGTGGCTTAGGGAGTGTGAGTTAGTCATTCTCGTCGCTGCCTGCGCTCCCCATCAGGATGGCCTGCGTCCCGCCTGCATTTCGGGGCATGTCTGCAGGCGTGTTCCTCTTAGCGCTTTGGGGTGTGGTTCTGGGACACAAGCTGCTGGTGGTCCCTCAGGATGGAAGCCACTGGCTCAGTATGAAGGACATTGTTGAGGTGCTCAGTGACAGGGGCCATGACATCCTGGTGCTGGTGCCAGAAGTCAACCTGCTCCTGAAGGAATCCGCACACTACACCAGGAGAACCTTCGAGGTGCCGTACGGTCAGGAGGAGCTGCGGCAGCGATTCCGTGCCTTCGGGAACCAGCAGTTCGCCCAGAGGTCTCTCCTGAACGCCAGCCTGGTGGAGTACAGGAACAACATGATTCTCATGCACATGGTCTTCGCCAGCTGCCAGAGCCTCCTGAAGGACTCGGCCACCCTGCGCTTCCTCAGGGACAGCGAGTTCGATGCCCTTTTCACAGACCCGGCCATGCCCTGCGGGGTGATCCTGGCCGAGTACCTGGGCCTGCCCTCCGTGTACCTGTTCAGGGGCTTCCCGTGCTCCCTGGAGCACACGTTCAGCCGCAGCCCAAACCCCGTGTCCTATATTCCCCGGTGCTACACCCAGTTCTCGGACCGGATGACTTTCCCCCAGCGGGTGGCCAACTTCCTCGCTTACCACTTGGAGAGCTTTCTGTTTCACTGTCTGTACTCCCAGTACGAGGACCTGGCCTCGGGTCTCCTCGGGAGAGATGTGCACTTGCCCGTCCTCTATCGGAAGGTTTCCATTTGGCTGTTGAGATACGACTTTGTGTTCGAGCACCCGAGGCCGGCCCTGCCCAACATGGTCTTCATTGGGGGGACCAACTGTAAGAAGAAGGGAGTCCTGTCTCAGGTTGGTGGCTTTATTTCCTGGCAATGGTGCTGTCCCATCGCACTCTGCTTCACCCTCGTTTGGCTCCTCCAGCGACCGTCAGGCGGGAGGGCTGCCTGGAGTGGGGTGCCCGGCTCGGAGTAGGGGGTGAGGGGGCCCTGAGGCCGAGCCGTTGAGTAATGCAGAGGCTTCGAATGAAGACGGGGCTTCGGCGGGCGACAGCAGGAGACGGCCTTGGCTAGGGAATCCGGGGACATCCGCGGCTGAGCCTGAGAAGTCTCCAGGCCAAACCCTGCCCCTACCCGTTGGAAACGCAGGTGAGGGCTTGTGCAGGAGGACGCAGAGCTAAGAGATCAGTCCAGGCCAGAACCGGTTCTCCCGACTCCCTGTCACGCTGTTTGCGCTGGCCCTGAACCGGGGCTCAGCAAACTACAGCCGCTGAACCTCGTCAGCCCGGAGGCCTGGGGCTGTAGGGCCCAGAGCCAGGAATGGTTTTCATGTTTTCAAAGGGATGCTAAAAACAACAATAAGACATATGGGACAGAGGTGTACGTGGCCCAGTACGCCCAGAGAGTTACGATCTAACCCTTCACAGAGAAGGTGTGTTGACCTCTGACCCGAGGCGGGTGTCTGGGGGTGCCCGCAGACGCCGGGGGAAGAAGGCCAGGCCCTGCGGTGGGGAATACAACTTGCGAGGCTGCAGGGGTCCCTCCCTTGTCCCCACTGCATGGGTACAGTAGGAGTTCTAAGGCTTGGCTTTGAACCCGGCTGCGTGGCCGAGGTAGGTGGCTTACCTCTGAGCGTTTGTCTCTCCCTGTGGGACGTGGGAAGCCTCAGGACGTTGCGGCCGTGGGCAGAGAAGGCCAAGTTCACGGGACACTTAGTGTGACGCCAGTAGGACAGGGCCGCTTCGGGCTGCGATCGTGGGGTGGAGGCCCGCGGACGGGGCCGCCCAGCTCTGTCACGTAAAGGGGCACACGCGTGGGGCCCGAGGCCACGGCTGCAGCGGGTGCAGGGGCAGGACAGGGCCCCTCTCCCGGACGCTCTCCCACCGGAGGTCACCCGTTGGCGTGCTAGTAGCAGCCTCAGGCAGGGAAGAAGGAACGCGGAATGGTGCGTCAGCGGGTCTGGCCGGCCTGCTCCCGGCCATGTAGCCTTGGACTTCGGCTTCCTCATCTGGAATCGGGGCCAGCGCCGTCCGCTCGCCCCTGCCAGGGTTGTGTGGGGGTCACGGGGGCAGCAGGTAAAAGTGAGTGTGAGAGAGAGAGGACGAGCGAGGGAGAGCGCACCTGTGGGCTGTCAGGGGAAACCGCGACCTGCCCCCCGCCCCTCCCCGCACCTTCGCTCACTCCCGGCTGACACCTTCTCTCCGTGAGGTGATGAAGACAGGTGTTTGTTTGTTTTTTTTAAGATTTTATTTATTTTTAGACAGAGGGCAAGGGAGGGAGAAAGAGAGGGAGAGAAACATCACTGTGGGGTTGCCTCTGGCGTGCTCCCTACTGGGGACCTGGCCTGCAACTCAGGCATGTGCCCTGACTGGGAATTGAACCAGCGACCCTTCGGTTCACAGGCCGATGCTGGATCCACTGAGTCGCACCAGGCAGGGTGACAATGCGGTGTTCTTGCGACAGTCGGGGGAGCATTTCCCCAGAAAACTAGATTTCAGTTCCTCAGTACTAGCTTGTCTGTTCCTCAGTTTCCCCCTTTGGTGTTCCAGGATCCTCTAGATAGTGGTTCTCAAGTAAGGGCGCTTTTGCTCCTCACGGGGTCATCCCTGAGGACATTTTTGCTGCTGCATTTGGGAGGTGACACTGTCTTCAGGTAAGTAACGTCCAGGGGTGCTGTTAAAAATCCTACAAAGCACAGGAAACGCCCACCCACTCAGCCCCAACAGAGAATGATGCGGCCCCAGATGTCAATAGCACTGGCACTGAGAAAGGCTGATCTGAATAAATTCCAAGTGAGAATCAGTGACTTCTGTGCAGCAAGGCAGGATCGGGGTGAGGAGGGGGCACAAGCACGCTTTCCCCACCCCCGAGTCACCTCTTCCCCCTAAGAAGGGGGTGTCTCCAAGGAGAGCACGCTCAGGCTGAAATCTCAACACTGCCGGTGGAGCTGAGGATTGAAGTCTGAGCAAGTCAGGGGGACTGAACCTCAAAAATGCCAAGTCATTCTTAACAGGCACTTTCAGAAGCACGCGACCCAAGCCAATGTGTGCAGGTCCCACAGCGGTTCGCTGCTCTGTCCCCGCCTGTGTTTATCTTTATGGCCGGTTATCTCGGAGACGGGCGGGCGTGGGCAGCACTCTCACAGCTGCTTCTGTGACAAAGCACGGGTGCACAGAGTGGTGAAGTGCGAGCAGGGGTCAAGGTGAAAAAATAAAAAGGATTCGACTGCGGTGTCTGAACCACCAGAAACTAGGTCGGCGAATAATTTAGGTCATTCGAGGGGAATGAAATTACATGGGTTATTTTATAATAAGATGTAACTCACATACCGTACGATTCGTTTAAAATTTGAGATTCGATGGTTTTTCATGTCGTCACGGACTTGTGCAACCGTCTCCACAATCACTTTTAGGAGATTTTTTCAGTTCCGCCCCCCCCACCCCCCGCAAAGTATCAGTTAGCAGTTACTCCCGGCTCCCTCTTGCCCGCACCCCCTGGCAAGTGCTCATCCACCTCCTGTCTCTATGCATTTGCTTCTGCCGATCATCTCAGACAAACTGAATCACACCATAATGTGACGGACTTTTTTTCACTCAGCATCATGTTTCCGAGGTCCAGCCACGTCGCAGCGTTACTTTTTATGACCGAGTGGTGTTTTGTGCCGTGGACATACCACACTGCGTGTGTCTACGCGTCAGCCGGTGGACATTGGGGTTGTTTCCCCTCTGCCCGGGGCCTCGGCGGCTCTGGTTCAGGTCCTCGCCTTTCAGGAGCAGGCTCCCAGTGGGACTCCCCGGGTCCAGCCTGACCTACTGTGCCATCCCATACCTCTGCGTGAGCGGGACCTTTCGGGAACGCAGAGCCAAACCTACCACACCCGCCTCGGTGGCTGCCCCAGTCACTAGGAGAACGCTCAGGCCCCCAGCTTAGCCCAGGAGGCTGGCGGAATGGGGACCTCCTCCAAGGAGTCCTCAGCCCCCAGCACCTGAGAACGTGACCTTCTCTGCAAACACTGTTTGCGGAGGTCATCAGGTTAGTATGAGATCATCGGGGGGGCCCTGACCCAACATAACTCGTGTCCCCCTAAAAAGGGGAAATTCAGATAGAGGGAGAGACCTACCAGAGGGTTACAGCGAGAACACACAGGGAGAAGGTGGGCACGTGACTGGAGCCAGGCATCTGTACGCCGCGGAAGCCCAGGGGCTGCAGGCAAACACCAGGAGCTGGGAGAGGCAGAGAAAGACCCCCTCACCCCCCAGAGCCTTCAAGAGGCAACCGGCTTCTCTCTGGTTCTCAGGGCCCCAGCCTGGGCACTCTGCGTCCGCAGCCCTAGGAAGCGAACGCGCCGGCTGCGTGCGTCCTCCGGCCTCCTGCGCTGGCTGCTCCGGGAGTTTCCCGTCATTTACTGTCCTACTGCTCAGGATGCTTCCTGCCCTTCCCGTGCCTCTGTGGCGCAGGGGTCGGTGGGGACCTCAAAGCATTTGAGAATGAGTTTCAGGGGTGTGGGCGCCACACCAACGGCGGCTTGCCTGCCTGCAAAGAGCCATCGCAATGGGTGCTGGGAAAGGCAGTCTCCCCAGGGCCACCTTTTGGGCTCACTGGCCACATAACAATGAGCCCTGGGCGTGGGAGGCTTCCCACCTGGAGCTCGCGCTGCCTCATCACCCGGTGCGGGGCTGTCTTTCCAGGTTCAGGCTGGAAGAAAGCTCCTTTGTCTTCGCTGGAAGCCTGCGGGTCACGTGGCACCCGGCAACCCCATTGTTGTATCTACCCTCCAAGGGGAGGGGCCAGGGCCATCTCTCTGCAGCACAGGGAGGGGTGAGGGCGGGCTAGTTCTCTGTGTCTGCTGTGATAGACACCTGCTGGCCACGGGGGGTCGCTGTTGGCGCTGTCTCACTCTTTCCCGTGCTAGAAGAGTGCGTTGCATTCAATGAGAGATGGATGACGTTGTGTTCTCAGCGACTCGGGTGGCAAGATGCAGTGGGCAGAGGTGTTGGGCCTTCTTTCCCTGGCGGCTGGCAGAGTGGTGGTCTCCACTATCCTCAGTGCAGCTGGGGTCCTCCCCTGGCGTTGGCGCCTGGTACCCTGCAGTCTGCTCCGAGAGTTTGGTGCGGTGAGCAGGGTTGCCGAGGAAACAGGCCCCGCCGTGGAGGACACGTGTGGGCCTGTCTCACTGCCCCACGGCTGTGCTGGCTGCCCGGGGAGATAAGCTGACTGAGGTGCTGGCCACCCTCTGGCCACGTGGAGACGCAGGAGCTGTAGATAACCTCCCTGTCAACCAGGAGGAGCCGGTGCAACGGGTGAGGGCAGACGCAGGGGTGGGGAGGTGGGGGCTAGGACGAGTGGAGAGACCCCTGGGCCTGTGGCCACCCTCCTGTTCCCATGCCACGTGGTGTCCACTGGTTCCCCTTCAGTTTCTGCCTGTTTTTCCTTTTTGTCCAGGGCCTTCAGACAGCTTAACCATTTTGGGGGGGGGATAAAAATGTATAACGATGAGCTGGCAGAGCCCGGGTCCGGT